TCTTTTTTCAATTATATTTTTTATCTGTGTATTTGAGTATTTCCAAATACACAACCCAAAACAAGTACTTTTATTTAAAAGACATGCTCCAGGAACTTTGGCGACTACAAAGTATTTTTGAAACCACCTGCTTTGGGCTGAATGTGTCAATGTGTAGTTCATACATGCATAATCTATGAACAGAATTACTGTGTTACCTCAGCCACAAAATCCCTAGTTTGAAAGCAACTGTTTTTCTGGAAGCTGTGCTTTTCCCTACATTTCCCCCCATGTCGGCCAGCCCCCTAGCAATTAGAGTTCTAGCCAATGAGCTTCAGCCCCTCGCCATTTGAGTGACAGCTAGCAAGATGCACACACAGCAGAGCAAGAGAGAGAGAGAGCTCAATGACGTGGTGCACATATCTGCACATATTTGACGTAGTACGCAATTTTCTGGGGCTCGTGAGGGCTACTTTCAGATAAAAGATATACAAAAGTACAGGAGAATCTCTAAGTATTTGAATGGTTATTAGTCGACCAAATTGTATTTGAAAGTACTTATTTCAAATTTTCATATACTTTCCAAGTGTATTTCCAAATAAATTCCCATATTCAACTAATTTACTTGTTTTCTTTTTCAAATAAAGGTTATCATCTGAATACTTGTTTTGAAATGTATTGAAAAGTAATTGAAATGCCTGAAAGAGTATTTGAACCCAGGTCTGATATGAACTGTCTCTGACCAACAGATAGACTGACGAAATCTGACCATTCTCTTTCAATATAAACCTTAAAAGGGTAGTGATGGGGAAACAAAGCTTCCTGAAGCATTGATGCTTTCCAGCCAATTATGTCGAAAATAGGTTAATTACTCAAGGCTTTGATCAACACATTGTACACTAGTGGCACATGCTGGTCAAAATAATTTAGAGCAGCCTAATTATTATAGATGACGTCCCACACGGTGTCGCTCATGCGCCGAGTAGACATTTTGGCTTCTACCGAAACCAGTACCAAACCAATCAGGTGGTTGTTCGACGAAACTAAGCTTCGGACGTCATTGATCACGTGCTTTTGATAAAGTGATACAGGCATCAGAACACTGTTTCGAAGTAAACTGCTTAGCGATTTTGACGCATGCCTTGGAGCTCCGGTATCAAATATAACGTCACTACGTCACATAAGGTGCACTATGCAGAAATTGCTCTGCCATTTCCTGGTTGCTAAAATTAAAATAGTTAGCCTAATTTCAGTTTATGTGACAAAATAAGCAAGTATAGTGTTGCGAATCATTGTACCATCTAAACTGCTGTGAAATATATTTTCCATAACCAAAAATATTGTATTTTCAACTGTTTGAAGCTGGTGTACAACACCAAAAGCAAGATGCAAAAACAGAACTTAAGACCGGGGAGCATAGAAAGAGTGCACATAGAACAGATCTACCACTTATTAGACTTGCATATTGCAGCTTTAAGGCAGCTCCACCCAGCCACCTACATCACAGAGAATCAGGATAAATTGAGGTTGACAGAGATGTCATTCCCTTTTTGATGTACAGTGGGGGAAAAAAGTATTTAGTCAGCCACCAATTGTGCAAGTTCTCCCACTTAAAAAGATGAGAGAGGCCTGTAATTTTCATCATAGGTACACGTCAACTATGACAGACAAAATGAGAAAAAAAAATCCAGAAAATCACATTGTAGGACTTTTAATGAATTTATTTGCAAATTATGGTGGAAAATAAGTATTTGGTCAATAACAAAAGTCTCTCAATACTTTGTTATATACCCTTTGTTGGCAATGACACAGGTCAAATGTTTTCTGTAAGTCTTCACAAGGTTTTCACACACTGTTGCTGGTATTTTGGCCCATTCCTCCATGCAGATCTCCTCTAGAGCAGTGATGTTTTGGGGCTGTCGCTGGACAACACGGACTTTCAACTCCCTCCAAAGATTTTCTATGGGGTTGAGATCTGGAGACTGGCTAGGCCACTCCAGGACCTTGAAATGCTTCTTACGAAGCCACTCCTTCGTTGCCCGGGCGGTGTGTTTGGGATCATTGTCATGCTGAAAGACCCAGCCACGTTTCATCTTCAATGCCCTTGCTGATGGAAGGAGGTTTTCACTCAAAATCTCACGATACATGGCCCCATTCATACTTTCCTTTACACGGATCAGTCGTCCTGGTCCCTTTGCAGAAAAACAGCCCCAAAGCATGATGTTTCCACCCCCATGCTTCACAGTAGGTATGGTGTTCTTTGGATGCAACTCAGCATTCTTTGTCCTCCAAACACGACGGGTTGAGTTTTTACCAAAAAGTTCTATTTTGGTTTCATCTGCCCATATGACATTCTCCCAATCCTCTTCTGGATCATCCAAATGCACTCTAGCAAACTTCAGACGGGCCTGGACATGTACTGGCTTAAGCAGGGGGACACGTCTGGCACTGCAGGATTTGAGTCCCTGGCGGCGTAGTGTGTTACTGATGGTAGGCTTTGTTACTTTGGTCCCAGCTCTCTGCAGGTCATTCACTAGGTCCCCCCGAGTGGTTCGGGGATTTTTGCTCACCGTTCTTGTGATCATTTTGACCCCACGGGGTGAGATCTTGCGTGGAGCCCCAGATCGAGGGAGATTATCAGTGGTCTTGTATGTCTTCCATTTCCTAATAATTGCTCCCACAGTTGATTTCTTCAAACCAAGCTGCTTACCTATTGCAGATTCAGTCTTCCCAGCCTGGTGCAGGTCTACAATTTTGTTTCTGGTGTCCTTTGACAGCTCTTTGGTCTTGGCCATAGTGGAGTTTGGAGTGTGACTGTTTGAGGTTGTGGACAGGTGTCTTTTATACTGATAACAAGTTCAAACAGGTGCCATTAATACAGGTAACGAGTGGAGGACAGAGGAGCCTCTTAAAGAAGAAGTTACAGGTCTGTGAGAGCCAGAAATCTTGCTTGTTTGTTGGTGACCAAATACTTATTTTCCACCATAATTTGCAAATAAATTCATTAAAAATCCTACAATGGGATTTTCTGGATTTTTTCTCCTCAATTTGTCTGTCATAGTTGATGTGTACCTATGATGAAAATTACAGGCCTCTTTCATCTTTTTAAGTGGGAGAACTTGCACAATTGGTGGCTGACTAAATACTTTTTTTCCCCACTGTATTCCGTTTGGAGATTCAGGTTTGGCCGCCCTCTTAACTCATTCAAACGCACTTGCGTCTACAATGTGAAAATCAGCATGGTTTCTCACAGTACTTTTCTGCAAATATCCCAGCCCATCCAATTCCTTTGTACCATTTCTATATGTGCAAAACTTTCCCACTATCCTTATACTCCCCAAAGTGAGCATGTTCATCACAGGATAAAGCACGGCCTACAATTGCTCGGCAAAATGTGCAAAATAAAAATGGGATAAACATTGAAGCTGTACTTCTTTATTCCCATCACACTCATTCTCTATTCTCCTGTATCTTTCCCTCTCATGTAGTTGTTCAGTCAATTCACCAGTAGTTTAGTTTAGTTTAGTTTAGTTTATTTAGTCTCCAGTGGCTGCAGGGGGAGAATGAGTCAGAAATGGGAAGTATTTAAAATACATACTTCAATTACTTTTGACTATTTTGTCATTTGTATTTCACTGGCCTGCTCTACAATCCAATGTATTTTGTAAGTAGATACTTTCGAGACCTGTAATTTGTATTTTCAAAATACAAAATAATTGTATATACAATTTATAGCAGTTCACAATTTTGTGGCGAACTTTCACCCTGCATTGGTATCAGAAGTCTAATGGCACTATGGTGTGATAAGAGTGTCTGCTAAATGACCAAAATGTCAATGTAAAATGAAAACTTGTAAAGCATGCTGGGTATTATTCTAATGAGCTCCGCCCCCAAAACAAAGCCAATAATAATACTCTGTGTGCTTCGCAATTGTTTATTTTTACATTTAGGTCATTTACCAGACACTTATCCAGAGAGACTTACAATCAGTGCATTCAACTAAGGTAGATAAACAACCACATATCACAGGCATAGCAAGTAAAACTTTTTTGTTACCGCTACTGAGAATGTTGTAGTGAAGGAGTGTAACTGCAAATGTATTTTCTATTTCGAAATTACAAAATACCTCATTAAACCTGTATTATGTAAATACAATACTTTGCAAAAGTATTTTATATTTTAGTTTGATACAATGGCCTTTAGTGCATCTTGTATTTGTAATAAGATACATTTTGACGTATCTTTTTACCTTCTCTGCAAAGACGGATAGATTCATCGACAGGGAAGATGACAAGGGGGATTATGAAGCAAAATAAATAGAACAGTAAGAGAGACTGAACTCTTTGTGGGACGTTTTTCAGTAGATACAACAACGTGCTTCTGTGAAATACACATAATATGGCCCTATCTTGGATTGTATTATCATAAAAACAAATCTGATATAGCACGAGAAGAGGAGAGGCTACATTTGAGAGGTCCTTTGTGGTGTGAGAGAGTGATTCATTCCTGAGTTAACAATCCATTATTGATAATTATCCACCTCTGAAGCGCAGAGCCACTAGGTCACGTCTAACTTCACAAAGAAAAGCCTAACCCTCACAATTACATGGTGACAGGACGAGAGCTGAAATTAACTAGAGGGGGCTCAAGAGAGATCAAGGGGGTGGGAGAGGCAGAGAGTGCAAGAAAGGAACATTTCCCAGAGAGTAAACTGTATACTGTACTGAGATACTAAGCAAAGTAATGAGAGCAAGAACAGTGAACAGCTGTTTGATATTCTAACTTAACCAGCAAACATACACGTAAGTAAATGCATCTGGATAAATACTTGGAATAAGCTATTTAGTTTGCCGATTTCGAACTACCAGAGGTGAAACTCAACCAAGCCGATTGGGAAAAAATACAAAGGGGTAGCAGGTTAATAAAAGTGTGGTTGTGAATGTGTAGAGTGGGCAAGATGCTTAGAAGGTAATATATGAGTGGAAAGGGAACATAGGATTAACATTGGAATAAAACCCTACCTCCTGAAGCTGATCCCTGACTTTGTTGATGGCCTTCAACCAGCGTATTCTGGATGGAGAGAAGGGCAAAGGAGGCCCATCGTCGTGGAAACTGATGTGTGTGGGTTGAGAGACAAAGTGAGAGTCACCAAGAATGTACTTGTACTATTCAGTGGAGGTTCTAAATTCACAACACTTTCTGTAATACAAAGACTCACCTTTGTAAATGTTTGTTGGATCTTTTCTCTACTGAGTGGTCTAATTTCTTCAAAGAGCCATTTAAACTTTTCCCCACATCCAGGCAGGGTCTGCCCAACTCTCCCTTCCCCAAAACAGAGTGTCCATTGCTGGGGATGTGTCCGTTGGTAGGTTGCTGGACATTGGTGGAGGGGCGGAAGCCGGTACTGTGGTAGGAGTGGAATGACTCTTCCAGCCCTGAGCCTGGAGTACTCTCCTGGCCTGTCTCACTAAGCTGGGAGCTGGTCTGGCTCAGGTTCCCAGAGGACCCAAAGCGACTACTTTCCACCGGACTGGAGTGGTGAAAGAGGGATGAGAGAAGAGACTTAATATTAGAATAATCGTTGTTGTGATGAAGAAAAACTGGGTTCATTAATTGGATATAGACATTATTCCAACTAGTCTATAGTTTCTACTGAATTGTACAACATTTTAAAAGACATCCAACCTTACAGAGAAAATAACTACCTGTTGGTAAATTAGAATGAATATACCAATTGCCTGAAATAAATTGTAATGTACCAGATTATCCCAATGAATGTTTGTCTGTATTGGTTTAGCATGTACTGGTTTTCTGTATTACTATTTCTGGGAGACCATGAGTCACTGAAATCTCTAACTTGATTAAACTGAATGGCAACAGGGAATTTTGTAAGGTTTAGATTTTTTAAAATACATTATAATTGCACTGTATATACAATATTGAATTAATCTTACGCTAAGAGTTCAAGAGTAAGAAATATTTAGCTTATTATCAATATACCACGACATTTCACAATCAACCACCAACAACACATAGGCTACAGTAGCACAAATGCTAAAAACAAACATGGTTAAAGGAAAGAGACAGGACACAGGACACAGAACACAGTACTCAGTGGGGTGGATTGCGGAGCTGGACACTGGTTACTCTCCCCAAAATATCAATGCATCATAAATGGTGTTGGGGAAGACCATTTATTATGCTTCTACTGGCCTTTTAGCACTCAATAGGTCCTTCTTGGACTGGTTGTCCAGATGCACTCCAGAGGTGGGATCTGCAGAGGGGGGGTGGGGGGGGGGGGGTTCTTCTACAAGGCTTTCCTTCTCCTTTTGGGAAAGGGATGCTGGAGGATCTACCTCGAGTGTGGAGATGCAAATCTGGGGTTTGGCCAAGTCACCAGGGAGACCTACCGAACTCTGATCTATTTTCTCCTTGGTTGGCTTATCATTAGCTTTGGGCTGAGTGGTAACAACTGGGGGAGCTTATGGTTTGGGAGGATTGGCGGCCCCCCAGTAACCTAATTTTGCCCCAAACAGAGAGGCAGTGGATGGTTCTTGCTTTGCTACACCTGGCTTCTCCTCCTGAAACAGGCCTGCAGATATTGTTTTGAATCCTGAGAACACACCACCACCTGCTTCTGCATGAGGAATTATGGGAAGGGCTTGGGGAATTGTAGGCGTAGATGAAAACATGGATCCAAAAGACTTTCCAGCATCATCAGTTCCTGACATAAAACCACCAAACAGGAACTTGGAGGGCTGGCTCTTCAGTCTTTGGAAACTGGTCAGCTGGGGTAATCTTCTGGGCACTTTCCACTGGTGGGCCTGATTTGTCTGTTTCCTTACTTTCAGGTTCTCCCACAATTACCCCGGGCTTCTCATGTATTACTTCTCCTTCCACAGCCATTTGTTTTCCAGAAGAACTGGACTGATCATTCGTTGGAGGTTGTTCTGCTTTCGAGGGCTGTTCTGTTTTAGCAGGTTGCCCTGATGCTGTAGAGATTTCAGCTTCTTTTGATTGACAGTCCAGAGCTGAAGCAGGAAGTTTCTCAATCCCTTGGCCTTGGGCTACTTCAACAGCCTTAGCATCAGGTTTGAAGGAACTGACTCCTGAGGTTGAGTTTTGGCATCAGGTTGTCTAGGTGCCTCAGACAATTTGTGAGTCTTTGTGCAACGTAACTGTGTGTGTCTCCTGGCTCTTTTATTTTGGCAGTGCTATCTGCTGGGGTGGTGTCAGGTGTAGCTGTTGATATTTTGTTCTCAGCGGTTATTGTTGGTGCTGTTTGAGGAGTAGTTGTAGCTGGTTGGGGACTAGAACCTCCAAACAATCCACCCAACATAGAACCTGAAGTTTGAGGAGTAGCTGCTGGCTGGGGACTAGACCCTCCAAACATCCCCCCGAACATAGAACCTGCATTTTAAGGGGCAACTGTGCCAGGCTGGGGAGTAGACCCTCCAAACATGGAGAGAAATCCTGTAGCTGGTGTCTCTTTAGGGGCTTCTGGCTCTTTAGGTGGGGCAGGTTCCTGAGGTGCACCCTCTGGGATGGATTCCTTTTGGGCAGTGGCATCCTCGGGGGTAGGTACTGTGGTTGCAAAATCAACAGCCTCAACTGCAGTGCCATCTTTAAGGGCGTCTCCCGGCTCATTTATTTTGGAAGTGCCATCTGCTGGAGTGGTATCAGATACAGCTGGTGATATTTTGTTCTCTGGGGGATTTGTTGGGTCTTTTTGAGGAGTAGTTGTAGCGGGCTGGGGACTAGATCCTCCAAACAATCCTCCCAACATAGAACCTGCAGTTTGAGGGGCAGCTGTAGCTGGTTGGGTTCTAGACCCTCCAAACAACCCTCCCAACATAGATCCTGCAGTTTGAGGAGCATCTGTAGGTGATGGCTCTTTAAGGGCTTCTGGCTCCTTAGGTGTGGCAGGTTCCTGAGGTGCACCCTCTGGGATGGATTCCTTTTGGGTAGTGGCACCCTCAGCAGTAGGTACTGTGGTTGCAGAATCAACAGCCTCAACTGCAGTACCATCTTTAGGTGTGTTTCCCTGCTCTTTTATTTTAGCAGTGCCATCTGCTGGAGTGGTGCCAGATGCAGCTGTTGATCTTTTGTTCTCAGGGAGTTTTGCTGTTTGAGTAGGTGCTGTGGGTGGACTGGGTCCTCCAAACAATCCCCCAAACATTGAACCTGCAGTTTGAGGAGTGTCTGTAGCTGATGGTTCTTTAGGGGCTTCTAGCTCTTTAGGTGGGACAGGTTCCTAAGGTGGAACCCTTGGGATGGATTGCTTTTGGGCAGTGGCACACTCAGGAGTAGGTACTGTGGTTGCCGATTCATCGGAGCTAGCTTGTGGGGGTGACAAAGGGCCCCTGAACATGGAAAATACACTTTTAGTGTGTGGATCTTTAGGCACTGTAGATCCTGGAACAGAGGACCCTGTAACTGACAGAGTTGCTGCTGAAGGTTGTGGGGCACTGGGGCCACCAAACATGGAAAACAATCATTTTGCTGGGCTTTCATTGGCAGTTGAACCAGAAAGGAGTCCTCCAAGAATAGAGCTAGCCTCTGGTTGTGGTTGAGGTTGTGGTTGAGGCATCGGAGGGGTGGACGCAGACTGAGGTGTTGCCTGTGATGGTGCCTGTGGTGGACTTGGTCCACTGAACATTGAAAATAAACTTTTACCAGGTGGTTCTGGGAGAGGTGCTTGAGATGAGGACCCAGTTTGGGTTGATGCCTACTGTGGACTAGACCCACCAAATATGGACAATAACCCAATACCAGGAGTTTCCTCTTTAATAGTGGTTGAGTTGTTGGTGGTGGTGGTGTTGTTCCAGAGATCCTGTCTCCAATTTCTCCCATAAAGCCAAACAGTCTGCCTGATGGTTTGTGAGGTGGTTCGTGTTTGGTTTGTCCGGTTGGTGGCATAGTCTGTGATCGGCCCGGGGTGGGGCCAGTGCTTGTATTAGGAGGAAATACTTGTGACATGCTTTTACCTGGTTGCTGACCAAGAGCTGGCTGTTGGAGCCCACTTTGCCCAGAACCATCCATTGTTTGTTGTTTCTGAAGAGAAGGTCTGCATGGTGTCGACTGAGAACCTTGTGTTGTGAGTCTGTTTGGCTAATTTCTACAGGTTTTGGTTGCTGTTGCTTTGATGGAGGAGGCTCTGCACTAAATAAACTGCCTATTGACCCAAATAGACTAAAACCTCCTGTGTTCTCCTGTTTATTTAGGTCTGTGCTGCCAGGTAAGCTAGCAGTGGAACCAGTCCTATCTTGTTGTTTTGACAATGGCTCTGAGTGTTTAGGGGGCTCTGGCGTTGGCTCCACTGCTAGCTTACCTGTGGTGGTTCAGCTGTTTTTTCAGCTGGTCTATCTGTGGTGTGCTTGTGGCTGTAGGGGAGAGGCAGATTTATTGAGTGAGCTCATGGAACTGGTTGGGACTGTGGGCTGTGTTGGTGGAGCAGCTTGCTGAGACATGGTGGCTTATCGTGCAAGTCTAGGTTTCTGAGTAACAGTCTGTGATTGTGCTGGGGGTTGCCCATATTGTCCTGATCGAGTAACAGTTGGTGATTGTGCTGGGGATTGCCCAGATTGTCCAGATGTCGGGGGCAAGGGCAGAATTCTAGAGGGATTGGATGCAGCTGGTCTCTGTGTTTGTTGAACTGCACTCTGAGGCAGAGCTGTTGTAGCAGGGAGATCTTCCTTGATAATCTTTAGACTCTGGAAACCCGATGAAAGTATACTTTTGGCCTGCAAATCCACCAGGGTAGCCCTAGTCCCAGGTGTCTTACGTTGTTCTCCATTAGCACGGGAGGCCAAGCCAGCTCTTCCTTTGTTCAAATCTGACTCAGGGTTTTTTCCAACCATTGAGGAAATGAATGAAGAGCTCTTCTTGACTTGCCGATTAGGTATTTCTTCTCCCGGGGTCACTCTCTGTCTGCATTCCTTCTCTGGCGTGTCATCTACATGCCTTACTCTGAACCCAAAAGATGAACACCTCCTTTGACAAGGCTGGTAAAAGTTGTTCAAGCGCGGTTGTGAGGAATCTGCGGTGCGGGTAATGTTGTGTGAGATAGCAACCTTATGAGAGAGAAGTGACTTCATTTCCTGATTGTTCCAGTAAGGGCCTGTCTGATCTCTGTTAGAACACGAAATGTCTATGACCTCCGTATATGGATCCTGATAGGCATAGTTGGGTTGTCTTGGATCCATCATGACTTTGTTCAGTCTATACAGTGAAAAATCTACAGCCTGTTCTTTTCGTGCAAGAAAGGAGCTCTCAAACATCTGAGAGAAACGCTCCAGGTTCAAATTCATGATCTGATTTCCTTTTCTACAGGCAGCAGATAAGTCGAGAGGGGCATTAAGGAGTTGTGGATCACCCTGATCTTGTCCAGGGAGCCAGAAGAGTTCATCCTCATTATAGAGAGGGACTTTAACCTCCACGGGATCGGTGTGCCGTATACGGGACGGTTGAGCTAACGTGCGCTAATGTGATTAGCATGACTGTTGTAAGTAACAGCAAACTTTCCAGGACATAGACATGTTTTATATGGGCAGAAAGCTTAAATTCATGTTAATCTAATTGCACTGTCCAATTTACAGTAGCTATTACAGTGAAAAAATACCATGCTATTGTTTGAGGAGAGTGCACAACAACAAAAAACGTATCACGGCAACTTACATTCAGTAATCTTGCTCTGATTTGTCATCCTAAGGGTCCAGAGATAAAATGTAGCATAGTAATGTTTGATAAAATCAATTTTTATATTCAAATGTAGGAACTGGGTTCTACAGTTTGAACCCCTGCTGTCTCTGGCTCCACACCCACCCCGCCCGGCCATCTAGATGTGTGAAAGTTAGTGTATAAGCTAATGATCCATCATGTATGACATTCCTGGGAGTGTGTAAACTTACATTTTGTATTACCATATCATTTTTGTATGTTCTCTATAGTTATGTACTTGAAAATGTATCAATTGACCAATTTGGCACATTTGGGCAGACTTGATACAAAATAGTCCAGTATTGCAATGCTTCACTGGATCAATCTGAAACTTTGCACACACACTGCTAAAATCTAAATTGCACTAAACTGCAATACTATATTGTGGCCTATCTCTTGCATTTCAAAGACGATAAAAAAACAATTTTAAAAAATGTTATATTCTCCAACATTAATTTCACATTTCCACAAACTTCAAAGTGTTTCCTTTCAAATGGTATCAAGAATATGCATATCCTTGCTTCAGGTCCTGAGCTACAGGCAGTTAGATTTGAAAAAAAGGGTCCGATCCTTAAGAGGTTAAATCCACATACTGTGACCATTTCATTATGTAGCCAAGCACTTGGGAAGTTATCAGGCCCAGTTCCCAAGGACTCTCCCTCAGGAGTACAAGCATAGACCATCGTACATGCTGCATCTGTTAGCAGGGCATAGATGTATTCATGATCAGAGTAAACAAAGTACCCACACTCCCCATCATCAGCTGGCCACCACTTTCCTTGAGTGCAAGCCATTGCTGGTACCATTCTGTCTCTTCCAGGTACATACACTCTTCCATATCTCCAGAGGGTGTTTGCTACAGTGTTGCTTGGCCCAGACTTAAATATGCTTGAGAGCAAACCTTGGGAGCATGCAGATTGCGTCTTTGGCTCTGGATTGTGCTTGAGAATTTCAGCTGATTTATGAGTGGAGTCTTCCTCTGTTGGATTCCTATTGAATATTCCTGACAGAAAGCCTGTCTTTTTGTCAGCCTCCGCATGGGGTTCATGTGGGACTTGATGTGGTATATGTGTAGATGGCTAAGTTTGCTGTGAAGGCTGTCCAGCTGGAGTGATTGTATGATGTTGTATTTGCAAGGATGGTGACTGACTGCGGGCCTCAACATTTTCAGAGGATTTTGTTAATTTGCTAAACAGTCCAGAGAGAACTCCTTGCAGTATCTTGATGTGGAGGAGGAGTCAGATTTTGTGGCGAGATTACACATGGTGGTGAGGTTACACATGGTGGTGAGGTTACACATGGTGGTGAGGTTACATGTTGCTGCCTTTCTTGGCTGATTGGTGGGGACGGCTGCTGCTGAGGCATATTGTCTGTGGAAGATTTTCTTTTAAGCCCAGAGAGCAGAACTCTGGATTGACTAGGCTGCTGAGTTAGTTGATTTTGGCTTTGCAACTGCACATCCTGCATGTATGGGTACTGCTGGCTAGGCTGATTGAGAGGAGCTGCAGAAAGTGTCTGAGGGATTGGGGACTGATTGGTAGATACATTACCTGCAGAAGCAAACTGAAAAATTCCAGAAAGGAGACCACCTTGTTAAGCAGGTTTTGAAACTGTATGTTGTCTAGAAAAGCCTGGTTTGCTGTCTAGAAAAGTCTGGTCCCTCAGTGGACCATAGTTTGGCTCTGGCATATTCTGTTGGTTGAAGTTCTGCTGATTACGAGGACCACCAGAAGGCATTTGTTGCTGCTGGAGTGGAGTTGTTTGGGTGCTCAGAACATTAGAGGAACCCAATTTATACAACCCAGAGAAAATACCTCCTTGTTGAGGGGGTGCTTGTTGGGATGGGTTTGGTGCTTGTTGCTGACTAGGATGATTGCTTGGGAAAGCACCTTGCTGTTGGGCCTGGGGAGGTTGTACACTAGGCGATAGGCTTTCTGCAGATGAAAACCTCAGTAACCCAGAGAGAATACTCCCCGGCTGAGAGGGGGGAGTTGCACTTTGTTGTGGGGGAGGTTGACAAGGGAACTGTTGAGGATTACTGGCTCTAGGACGTTGATTGTTTGGGAGAACTTGCTGTGGCGGTGGGTTCCCAGATAAGTCACCCGCAGAGCTATATCTAAAAGGTCCTGACAATATCCCTCCTTGCAGGGCTAAATAGAGCCAACATTAGATGTATCCTCAGATCTTGCCCCTTTAAAAAGGCCTGTTAAAAAAACCTTGAGGTTCAGGTTGAGGAGGAGCATGCTGTGTCGCAAGAGGCATTGGTGGTGGTCTCTGAAGTTGCTTCATACGCTGCTGATGTGGAACTGGGGACAATTGGTGATGCTGGGCCTGTTGTTGACCGGGATTTTCTAGGGGTTTGGAGGCACTGACATCCTCACCAGAAGCACATTTCATGACTCCAGAGAACATTCCTCTTTCTGGTTTTGGAGGCTGTTGGGAAGAGACATCGTCAGAGGAGAGAAACTGACGTTTTAGCTTACTGCCTAAAGATGGCTCCTCCATAGGCTTCTCTGAGCTAATATCTGGTGCTGACCCAAATACAGGATACACTGAAACAGGTGGAGGGCCCTGCGGGGGAACAGGGTTAACTGAGCTGAAAGATTTCTTGTAAGGGCTAAAGAACCCTGAACTCACTGGTTCTAGTTGGCTAATGGGCTTCCCACCCGCTGTAGGCACATATTGCTGAGAGGCAGTCATAGAGTCAAGTCTCCCATGCACAACTTTCCCTTGTGCATTAACAAATAGTTTATTCTGGGGTGTATTTCTTGAATTATCAAGTCCTCTGCCTCCTCCCACAGTCCTTGACTGTTCAACTTGCTGGATACATTTCTCATTCCAGTTTGCAAGATTTTGAGAGTCCTCTCTCGAGCCACTTCTCCCTGGAGGTCGTTTTCCCTCTGTGGAGTTCACTACCTCTTCACCTGAAAAATGTTGGCCAAAACTAATTTTCCCAAAAGCGAAAGTGACTGCTGGTGTTTGTGGCATCGTTGCAGAGTCCTGAACTTTATCACTTGTACTATTTCGAATCTCCGTTCTTATGGCTGGCGTGTCTTGATTGTGGAATGGTGTCTTGGCATCAGACTGGGAAGGCCAATTGAAGGAAAATGTTCTGTTGGGGTGAACTGTAGGAGATACAACAGATACAGGAGCAGGGCTGGTGGATTTTGGAATGAAAGAAAACAGTGTGGATATACCAGATTGAGAAGATGGTGCAGGTGGTACTTCTTTAGTTTCTGCAGAACCTGAGCTGGGCTGCTTGGGGGCCGTGCTAACCTTGCCAGTGAAGGAACTGAATAATAAACTCATAGCATTTTTCACTCCAGATATTCCTGGTTCAGGTGGAGCCTCTGTCTGGGGCTCCTCCTTGACATCTCTAGGGGTCCTTGGGGCCTCTCCAGTAGATTCTGTTCCTACGCTGCCCTGGGAAGATAACCTTGACTTGGATGACTTGGGAAGGGAACCATACTTGGTTTTTTCCTCCTCTTTTCCAGCCAGGTACTCTGATACTGTTTCCACTAGGCACTGGAGCTCATCCATGAGATCTACATACTCGTCACTTGGTTCCTCCACTGGAGACAGCATTGCTTCAGGAGCCCATCCTCCCATTTTCACCTTTCCCTTTAACCAGATAACTCTGATGCTTGTCTATGTGACTTCCATGGGATGAAGCATGTCTGCCTTGGCCATGGTCCCTCCCATTCTCAGAGTGAATGGCCTCTGCTAAGGAGGCAATTTCCTCTAGCTCCTCCTCTGATCCCATGGAGTAGTGCAGCTCCTCTGAATCGTACGCCAAACCTGTCCTCATTCTGGCAGATTCGTCGTCCTGTACACCACGTAGTTCTCCAAGGTGTCCCCCAGCTTGTTTTTGGCCCACATCCTAGTCTTGTAAAGAAGTCCCGTTCTTGTATGGCTTGAGGCACGGTGTCATCTGCTCCTCCTCTTCCTCAATCTTTAACACCTGCCGCAGCACCAACTCCCCTCTCTCCTGGCGGAGGAGTGCAAGGTCAGGGGGGAAAGGCTCATCCGCCACTGATCGATAATGTCATAGCCCGCTGGGTAGGTGGCAGGTAGGATGCCACTGCGTTGTGTGCTTTGGGAGAGTGAACTGCCTGAGGGCTCAGTGAGAGCTCTCCCCATGCGGAGGATAACATCGTCCTCAGCCCAACGATTCTCTTCCTTGTCCAGTAACTCGCTCAGCTGATTTCACACCTGCACTTTGTATTTGCTCTCCCAATCCTCCGCACCCATGCCATAATCGACAGGGATGATCCTGACCCTCCCTTTATGGTTTATGACTCTAGTTTAGATTCATTGATTAAAGGAGAGGTAAAATGGGATGTGAGAGATGAGACAATAACAGAAAACAATAGAAAGATTGCAAATTATAACAGGACAAAAAAAGTAAGATACAGACAATGTGACAGAGACAATAAGCATTAAATAGATACATATGATAAAAATGTGGTGAATTTGTGTTCATGTGAGTATATTGGTAAGAGTGTTATTAAGATTGTTTGATATAAGTGTGCTATGTGTGTGAGGACCCAAATTCATCTCTTCATTTTGGGGGATTATCAACTACAACATAAAAGCCCGGAAATCCAACCTGAATCATCTCTGTCCAAAGTAGTTTTACAGACCACATAGAGACATGGTCGAGGAGGGCAGCCTCTCTTACTAAACCACCAGTGTCCCAAAGACCCATATGTGATAAGAGCAGACTAAACTAAGGTCAGTATAATTCAAACTACCAAAGAAGTTTCGTAAAACAATACGTCTGAACGAAAAAAACAACTATCAGCTTTTCCTGGCTGTAATCCCACTTTTCTTTTCAGATGTTATGGAATTATCTGGATCAGCTTTCCATCTGTCCACACAGACTGAGATTTACCACAATCTCACTGAGCCACATCTTTTTCACAGCAAGTCACACATGTAAGAGTGCAAAGAACCACTCCACACTGGATACATGAATGGAGTTGGCAAATTATTTGTGTTTCATCCTGGAAAATTTCCAAGCAGTTAGACAATTTTGACGATTTGACCACTTTGGTTTAAGACAAAATGTGTTCTTCATCTTAACAACCACAGTGTCTTCAGAAAGTATTCACACCCCTTGACCTTTACCACATTTTGTTGTGTTACAGCCTGAATTTAACATAGATTACATTTTGATTTCTTGTCACTGGCCTACACACACACACACACACACACAATACCCCATAATGCCAAAATTATGTTTTTAGACCTTTTTACAAATTAATTAAAAATGAAAAGCTGGAATGTCTTGAGTCCATAAGTATTCAACCCCTTTGTTATGGCAAGCCTAAATAACTTCAGGAGTAAACATTTGCTTAACAAGTTACATAATAAGTTGCATGGACTCACTCTGTGTGCAATAATAGTGTTTAACATGATTTTTGAATGACTACCTCATCTCTGTACCCCACACACACAATTATATGTAAGGTCCCTCAGTCGAGCAGTGAATTTCAAACAGATTCAACCACAAAGACCAGGGAGGTATTCCAATGCCTAGCAAAGAAGGGCACCTATTGGTAGATGGGAAAAAAAAAAAAAAAAAAAAGCAGACACTGAATATTCCTTTGAGCATAGTGAATTATTAATTACACTTTGGATGGTGTATCAATACACCCAGTCACTACAAAGATACAAGCGTCCTTCGTAACTCAGTTGCCGGAGAGGAAGGAAACTGCTCAGGGATTTCACCATGAGGCCAATGGTGACTTTAAAACAGTAAGACTTTAATGGCTGTGACAGGGTGAAAAGAAGGAAGCCTGTACAGAATATAATATTCCAAAACATACATCCTATTTGCAACAAGGCAATTAAGTAATACTGCAAAAAAATTTGGCAAAGCAATTAACTTTTTTCCAGAATACAAAGTGTTACGGTGCATTCAGAAAGTATTCAGACCCCTTCCCTTTTCCCACATTTTGTTACGTTACAGCCTTATTCTAAAATTGATTTTAAAAATACTCAATCTACACACAATTCCCCATAATGACAAAGCGAAAACAGGTTTTTAGAAATTTTTGTAAATGTATTAAAAATGTAAAAAATATATCACAGTTACATAAGTATTCAGACCCTATGGTATGAGACTCGAAATTGAGCTCAGGTGCATCCTGTTTCCATTGATCATCCTTGAGATGTTTCTACAACTTGATTGTAGTCCACCTGTGGTAAATTCAATTGATTGGAATGATTTGGAAAGACACACCTGTCTATATAAGGTCCCACACTTGACAGTGCATGTCAGAGCAAAAACCAAGCCATGAGGTCAAAGGAATTGTCCGAGGAGCTCAAAGACAGGATTGTGTCGAGACACAGATCTGGGGAAGGGTCCCAAAACATTTCTGCAGCACTGAAGGTCCCCAAGAACACAGTGGCCTCCATCATTCTTAAACGTAAGAAGTTTGAAACCACCAAGACTCTTCCTAGAGCTGGCCGCTCGGCCAAACCGAGCAATTACGTGAGAAGGGCCTTGGTCAGGGAGGTGACCAAGAACCCGACGGTCACTGTGACAGAGCTCCAGAGTTCCTCTGTGGAGATGGGAGAACCTTCCAGAAGGACAACCATCTCTGCAGCACTCCATCAATCAGGCATTTATGGTAGAGTGGCCAGACAGAAGCCACTCCTCAGTAAAAGGCACATGACAGCCCGCTTGGAGTTTGCCAAAAGGCACCTAAAGCCCTCTCACACTATGAGAAACAAGATTATCTGGTCTGATGAAACCAAGATTGAACTATTTGGCCTGAATGCCAAGCGTCACGTCTGGAGGGAGCCTGGCACCATCCCTACGGTGAAGCATGGTGGTGGCAGCATCATGCTGTGGGGATGTTTTTCAGCGGCAGGGACTGAGAGAATAGTCAGGATCGAGGGAAAGATGAACAGAGCAAAGTACAGAGAGATCCTTGATGAAAACTCCAGAGCGCTCAGGACTTCAGACTGGAGTGAAAGTTCACCTTTCATCAGGACAACAACCCTAAGCACACAGCCAAGACAACACAGGAGTGGCTTCGGGACAAGTCTCTGAATGTCCTTGAGTGGCCCAGCCAGAGACCGGACTTGAACCCGATCGAACATCTCTGGAGAGACCTGAAAATAGCTGTGCAGCAATGCTCCCCATCCAACCTGACAGAGCTTGAGAGGATCTGCAGAGAAGAATGGGAGAAACTCCCCAAATACAGGTGTGCCAAGCTTGTAGCGTCATACCCAAGAAGACGCAAGGCTGTAATCGCTGCCAAAGGTGCTTCAACAAAGTACTGAGTAAAGGGTCTGAATACTTATTATTTTTATTTTTATTTTTTTATATATATTTGCAAAAATGTCTAAACTTGTTTTTGCTTTGTCATTATGGGATATTGTCTGTAGATTGATGAGGGGAAAAAAATATGTAATCAATTTTAGAATAAGGCTGTAATGTAACCAAATGTGGAATCCAATAGAACACATTACTGAGTACCAGTCTCCATATTTTCAAACATAGTGGTGGCTGCATCATGTTATGGGCATTCTTGTAATTGTTAAGGACTGTGGAGTTTTTTTAGGATAAAAAAAAGAAACGGAATGGAGCTAAGCACAGGCAAAATCCAAGACGCAAACCTGGATCAGCCTGCTTTCCAACAGACACTGGGAGATTAATTCACCTTTCAGCAAGACAATAACATAAAACACAAGGCCAAATCTACACTGGAGTAGCTTACCAAGAAGACATGTATTAACTCAGGGGTGTGTATCCTTATCTAAATGAGATACCTCTGTATTTCATTTTCAATACATTTGCAAACATTTCAAAAAACATGTTTTCACTTTGTCATTATGGGTTATTGTGTGTAGATGTGTGAGAGAAAAATCTATGTAATCCATTTTGCATTCAGGCTGTAACACAACACAATGTAGAATAAGTCAAGGGGTATGAATACTTCCTGAAGGCACTGCATGTTCACAAATATTCTATAATAGATCCAAATATATACAAAACACCAAAGATTCAATAGCTATTGGGTTAACTTGCACTGTTGCGCACAACATTACCAGATTGAAGAATCACTTCCTAGGGGGAACTATTTATTTATTCAAGCAGGTGACATTGTTTACCTCCTTCCTATGCGGTGTGTCAGTGACAAATAAACATAACCTGACTAGATTTAAAGCCGCCAACATTACTTGAGAAATATGTTTGTATCCCAGGAGGGTGCATGTCCCCAAATCGTCTGAAAGAGGGAAGCCCTCCAATAAACAAAAGAGCTAAGCCTCAGGCCCTCAGCTAACTGGGTCTATTTGCAATATGGTCATTTAAAGGTTTTCTACGTGAAAATCAAGCCACCCGAACAAACCAACACCAGAAAAGAAATGCCTGATACTGCACTTCAAAAACTCCATTCATGTCTTAACTCTGGACCTTCTTCACTGTGTGTCAATATGTGTGACTGTAGTATAAGTGAATAGGTGTGCAATCTTTTATGGCTGAATTTGTGCATATGTATATTGTATTGTACATGTGTCTGTGTATTCTGTGTAGGGGCATGTCCTGTATGTTTGTGGGTGTTATTCAGAAGCTCTACCTGCTCCCGTGGTGGTCTCTGTAGTCCATGTCAAAGCTGTGCATGGAGTCGGTGCAGGAATCCAGGTGGTTCTGGAGCTGGGGGCCCATGGGGTACTGGTGCATGGAGGAGTTGGGCTGGGCAGTGGTGTGGTAGCGCGGGGGCAAGCTGTTGCTGGTCTCACTGCGGTAGTCACTGTCCCGGTCGTCCACCGCACTGTCATGGTCATCCAGGGCTGTAGAGGGGCAACAGGACAAGCTCCACAACACAGATCGTCTAGAGACCTCCGCATCCTCAAAAACTGCTAAAATGACTACAGAATCTCCATTCTATCCCACCTACGCTCACCATTTCACAAATTGAAAATTCATGTTTGCCTCATACATACAGTCTCTGAATTACACAATATGAAAAAGTGGTAATATACACTGGGGTCAGGACTGGTCAGGTAAGAGGGAGGTAAGGAGGGCAAGGGTCATGCTCTTTTGAATGCAAGACAACCAGAAAATTAACTTCAGTGGGAAGGGGAATGTGATGAAACTGAACGTATAGGTCATTAAAGATAGAACCCTTGGTTGTTTCATCCATTTTTTATTATATAAGTTACAGTGCATTCGGAAACTTTTCAGACCCGTTTACTTTTTCCACATTTTGTTACATTACAGCCTTATTCTAAAATTGATTAAAATAGCTTTTCTCATCAATCTACACACAATTCCCCATAATGACAAAGCAAAAACAGTTGTTTTGAAATACATTTTTGCTAATTTATTAAAAATTAAAAAAACGGAAATATCACAAATATTCAGACCCTTTACTCAGTACTTTGTTGAAGCACCTTTGGCAGCGATTACAGCCTCGAGCCTTCTTGGGTATGAAGCTACAAGCTTGGCACACCTGTATTTGGGGAATTTCTCCCATTCCTCTCTGCAGATCCTCTCAAGCTCTGTCAGGTTGGATGGGGAGTGTTGCTGCACAGCTATTTTCAGGTCTCTCCAGAACCGTTCGATCGGGTTCAAGTCCGGGCTCTGGCTGGGCCACTCAAGGACATTCAGACACTTGTCCAGAAGACACTCCTGCTTTGTCTTGGCTGTGTGCTTAGGGTCATTGTCCTGTTGGAAGGTGAACCTTCGCCCCACTCTGAGGTCTTAACCTGCTCCAGAGCGCTCTTCATCAAGGATCTCTCTATACTTTGCTCCGTTCATCTATGCCTCGATCCTGACTAGTCAACCAGTCCCTGCCATTGAAAACATTCAGGGCAAAGAGTTCAATCTTGGTTTCATCAGACCAAAGAATCTTGTTGCCTTTTGGCAAACTCCAAGTGGGCTGTCATGTGCCTTTTACTGAGGAGCGGCTTCCGTCTGTCCACTCTACCATAAAGGCCTGATTGGTTGAGTGATGCAGAGATGGTTGTCCTTCTGGAAGGTTCTCCCATCTCCACAGAGGAACTCTAGAGCTCTGTCCGAATGACCATCGGGTTCTTGGTCACCTCCCTGACCAAGGCCCTTCTCCCCCGATTGCTCAGTTTGGCCGGGCGGCCAGCTCTAGGAAGAGTCTTGGTGGTTCCAAACTTCTTCCATTTAAGAATGATGGAGGCCACGATGTTCTTGGGGACCTTCAATGCTGCAGACATTTTTTGGTACCCTTCCCGAGATCTGTGCCTCGACACAATCCTGTCTCGGAGGTCTACGGACAATTCCTTCAACCTCATGGCTTGGTTTTTGCTCTGACATGCACTGTCAAGTGTGGGACCTTATACAGTGAGGGAAAAAAGTTTTTGATCCCCTGCTGATTTTGTACGTTTGCCCACTGACAAAGACATGATCAGTCTATAATTTTAATGGTTGGTTTATTTGAACAGTGAGAGACAGAATAACAACAAAAAAATCCAGAAAAACACATGTCAAAAATGTTATAAATTGATTTGCATTTTAATGAGGGAAATAAGTATTTGACCCCTCTGCAAAACATTACTTAGTACTTGGTGGCAAAACCCTTGTTGGCAATCACAGAGGTCAGATCTTTCTTGTAGTTGGCCACTAGGTTTGCACACATCTCAGGAGGGATTTTGTCCCACTCGTCTTAGCAGATCTTCTCCAAGTCATTAAGGTTTTGAGCCTGATGTTTGGCAACTCGAACCTTCAGCTCCCTCCACAGATTTTCTATGGGATTAAGGTCTGGAGACTGGCTAGGCCGCTCCAGGACCTTAATGTGCTTCTTCTTGAGCCACTCCTTTGTTGCCTTGGCCGTGTGTTTTGGGTCATTGTCATGCTGGAATACCCATCCACGACCCATTTTCAATGCCCTGGCTGAGGGAAGGAGGTTCTCACCCAAGATTTGACGGTACATGGCGCCGTCCATCGTCCCTTTGATGTGGTGAAGTTGTCCTGTCCCCTTAGCAGAAAAACACCCCCAAAGCATAATGTTTCCACCTCCATGTTTGACGGTGGGGATGGTGTTCTTGGGGTCATAGGCAGCATTCCTCCTCCTCCAAACACGGCGAGTTGAATTAATGCCAAAGAGCTCGATTTTGGTCTCATCTGACCACAACACTTTCACCCAGTTCTCCTCTGAATCATTCAGATGTTAATTAGCAAACTTCAGACGGGCCTGTATATGTGCTTTCTTGAGCAGGGGGACCTTGCGGGCGCTGCAGGATTTCAGTCCTTCACGGCGTAGTGTGTTACCAATTGTTTTCTTGGTGACTATGGTCCCAGCTGCCTTGAGATCATTGACAAGATCCTCCCGTGTAGTTCTGGGCTGATTCCTCACCGTTCTCATGATCATTGCAACTCCACGAGGTGAGATCTTGCATGGTGCCCAAGGCCGAGGGAGATTGACAGTTCTTTTGTGTTTCTTCCATTTGCGAATAATCGCACCAACTGTTGTAACCTTCTCACCAAGCTGCTTGGCGATGGTCTTGTAGCCCATTCCAGCCTTGTGTAGGTCTACAATCTTGTCCCTGACATCCTTGGAGAGCTCTTTGGTCTTGGCCATGGTGGAGAGTTTGGAATCTGATTGATTGATTGCTTCTGTGGACAGGTGTCTTTTATACAGGTAACAAGCTGAGATTAGGAGCACTCCCTTTAAGTGTGCTCCTAATCTCAGCTCGTTACCTGTATAAAAGACACCTGGGAGCCAGAAATCTTTCTGATTGAGAGGGGGTCAAATACTTATTTCCCTCATTAAAATGCAAATCAATCTATAACATTTTTGACATGCGTTTTTCTGGATTATTTTGTTGTTATTCTGTCTCTCCCTGTTCAAATAAACCTACCATTAAAATTATAGACTGATCATTTCTTTGTCAAAGGGCAAACGTACAAAATCAGCAGAGGATCAAATACTTTTTTCCCTCACTGTACAGTGGGGGGAACAAGTATTTGATACAATGTCGATTTTGCAGGTTTTCCTACTTACAAAGCATGTAGAAGTCTGTAATTCAACTGTGAGAGACGGAATATAAAACAAAAATCCAGAAAATCACATTGTATGATTTTAAAGTAATTAATTTTCATTTTATTGCATGACATAAGTATTTGATCACCTACCAACCAGTAAGAATTCCGGCTCTCACAGACCTGTTAGTTTTTCTTTAAGAAGCCCTCCTGTTCTCCACTCATTACCTGTATTAACTGCACCTGTTTGAACTCGTTAACTGTATAAAAGACACCTGTCCATACACTCAATCAAACAGACTCCAACCTCTCCACAATGGCCAAGACCAGAGAGCTGTGTAAGGACATCAGGGATAAAATTGTAGACCTGCACAAGGCTGGGATGGGCTACAGGACAACAGGCAAGCAGCTTGGTGAGAAGGCAACAACTGTTGGCGCAATTATTAGAAAATGGAAGAAGTTCAAGATGACGGTCAATCAGCCTCGGTCTGGGGCTCCATGCAAGATCTCACCTTGTGGGGCATCAATGATCACGAGGAAGCTGAGGGATCAGTCCAGAACTACACGGCAGGACCTGGTCAATGACCTGGAGAGAGCTGGGACCACAGTCTCAAAGAAAACCATTAGTAACACACTACGCCGTCATGGATTAAAATCCTGCAGCGCACGCAAGGTCCCCCTGCTCAAGCCAGCGCATGTCCAGGCCCGTCTGAAGTTTGCCAATGACCATCTGGATGATCCAGAGGAGGAATGGAAGAATGTCATGTGGTCTGATGAGACAAAAATATAGCTTTTTGGTCTAAACTCCACTCGCCGTGTTTGGAGGAAGAAGAAGGATGAGTACAACCCCAAGAACACCATCCCAACCGTGAAGCATGGAGGTGGAAACATCATTCTTTGGGGATGCTATTCTGCAAAGGGGACAGGATGACTGCACCGTATTGAGGGGTGGATGGATGGGGCCATGTATCGCGAGATCTTGGCCAACATCCTCCTTCCCTCAGTAAGAGCATTGAAGATGGGTCGTGGCTGCGTCTTCCAGCATGACAACGACCCGAAACACACAGCCAGGACAACTAAGGAGTGGCTCTGTAAGAAGCATCAAGGTCCTGGAGTGGCCTAGCCAGTCTCCAGACCTGAACCCAATAGAAAATCTTTGAAGTCCGTATTGCCCAGTGACAGCCCCGAAACCTGAAGGATCTGGAGAAGGTCTGTATGGAGGAGTGGGCCAAAATCTCTGCTGCAGTGTGTGCAAACCTGGTCAAGACCTACAGGAAACGTATGATCTCTGTAATTGCAAACAAAGGTTTCTGTACCAAATATTAAGTTCTGCTTTTCTGATGTATCAAATACTTATGTCATGCAATACAATGCAAATTAATTACTTAAAAATCATACAAATGTGATTTTCTGGATTTTTGTTTTAGATTATGTCTCTCACAGTTGAAGTGTACCTATGATAAAAATTACAGACCTCTACATGCTTTGTAAGTAGGAAAACCTGCAAAATCGGCAGTGTATCAAATACTTGTTCTCCCCACTATAGACAGGGGTGTGCCTTTCCAAATCATGTCCAATCAAGTTGTAGAAACATCTCAAGGATGATCAATGGAAACAGGATGCACCTGAGCTCAATTTCAAGGCTCATACCAAAGGGTCTGAATAAATGTTTTAAATGTTTTATAAATGTGCAAAAATGTCTAAAAACCTGTTTTCGCTTTGTCATTATTGGGTATTGTGTGTAGATTGCTGAGGATGTTGTTTTTTAAATCAATTTTAGAATAAGGCAGTAACGTAACAAAATGTGGAAAAAGTCAAGGGGTCTGAATACTTTCCGAAGGCAGTGTATATTCTTGAAGAATATAACTTATAAATGCCTCAACTGTCGTACATTTACATTACATTTTAGTACCACATCAGAACCCCAAAATATAAGCTTGTTATACTCCAACGCTTGTAAACAAAGTAAGCATATCCTCAAAACATGGTTAAAACTATAATTTTGATATAATGGATGGTCAGTCCTTGCATACATAGCTCTGTCTATGGATTTGAGAGTGGTTACATTTCTCTAGCCCCATCCTTAGCTTTTTACCAAAACACAGGCGGGTGACCGTTTTATTCTTTCAATTAACGATTCCAGCTTTAAATACAGCCAAAAATAGACACTCCAGTCAAAAAGGGATATTCCAAAATGAATGAGTTAAGGAACTCAATTGCAATGTTGACATAAGGTAATTCTCTCTCCTTAGTGACCCAGACTCAATTTTGGCATCAGACAGGTCCTTTGGATTGCAGTGCTGACCCTGAGCTGACTGGCCTGCTTAAGGGGACATGGGCCGTATTGCTCCAGACTGATAAGTGAGATAGATAGATAGCTCAGGACAAACTGATGTTTTGATATCTCTAAAAATGGGAGGGGAAAACAAGTTGTCAAGGTGACACCTGAACACAGGCTGGCAAACAGTGCCCCCTGTCTGTGTGATGATGCGGTTGCATCTCACGGACATTTACATTTTTACATAATTTTTTTTTGTCATTTAGCAGACGCTCTTATCCAGAGCGACTTACAGTTAGTGAGTGCATACATTATTATTTTTTCATACTGGCCCCCCGTGGGAATCGAACCCACAACCCTGGCGTTGCAAACGCCATGCTCTACCAATTGAGCTACATCCCTGCCGGCCATTCCCTCCCCTACCCTGGACGACGCTGGGCCAATTGTGCGCCGCCCCATGGGTCTCCCGTTCGCGGCCGGCTACGACAGAGCCTGGATTCGAACTGCGCCACTCGGGAGACATCTGTTCAGGAAGTCATGAACTGCCACTATGCTTTATCAAGGTCACTCGCTGACTACAAAAACATAGATCTGAGCCTAACTGCTATTGTCCAGTTATGTTAACATGGAGGTAGTAATAATAACCATATGCGTTTCCATGTCCTGTGGGGAAATTGATATAGGTGATGAAACTCAGATGACATGAGGTGTAGCGCGATGAGGGGGGGCTGGGGGATATTTCCCCTGGCTGTAGCGATTATTGTTGGTGCTGGAAAACATGCACAAAGCATTAAGGATTGGCCAAGGTGAAGCTTTGGGAAGGTTTAGAATTCATCAGAAAAATACTGTGTTTTACATACTCAGTGTGTCAGTCCATCCGAAATAGTTGCCTGGTGAGGGTGTTGGCAGAGAAGTAAAGTGAGAGGTAGTGGAGGGTATGCAAAAACAGTGCCTGACTTGGGTGGGGGAATTATGACCATAACATACACAGTGGACAAACAGAGACAACACTAGTAGACATGCGTGAACGTGGCATCCCTGAGTTGACATTCTTCATAACTTTGCATAAGTAGTGACTGTTCTTGAAAATTAAGATTGGATAAAAGGCTTACTTGATGTCAACTCTGGGTTTGGAGATTCACACATAACAGGAATAGGACAAGGAAATAAATAACTTAAAAAGCCCAAACTAATGGAAGCCAGAGGGAAACAGGGCTGATGAGAGAGCTCCATCTAGTGGGATATTATGGAGTGGAAGTCAATCCCACTCACAGCATTGGGAGGCAGCGGGCGGAATGAGGCGTCTCTGGACCTCATCCTGCAGAGTGTACCGGAGAGAGGAAAGGAGAAAACAAGAATTGTGACCTCTGACCTTCATAATCCACAACAACAAAGCATCATCATCACCACCAGCACCACTCTCAAACTCCTGCATTTGTAATTATATTGTTATCACCACCATGACTTCAATGCCACTGCATGCAATAGTTATAGTTAGGCCTACTATCTACATTATCACTTCAGAGCACAGCAAACAGTGATAAACACACACACGTCAATACTGTACCTAACCAGTGTTTTCTGTGATATGCAAAAAGCGTGGTGAGGAAAATGTCAAATGAACACAGAGTTAGCCCCTTCTTCCTTTTCCATGTATTTTACTGTGTGCTAGTGAACGCAAAGAGCCAAGTGTAATACGGAGATAAGGTGACATTCAACCGCATTGTACTGGGAACTTTACAATATGCAAACATAGAGGGTATTTTAGTAAATACATTACTGCTTTATTGCTTGAAATATTAGTAGGTAGAATTTTTTACTACAGTGGGGAAAAAAAGTATTTAGTCAGCCACCAATTGTGCAAGTTCTCCCACTTAAAAAGATGAGAGAGGCCTGTAATTTTCATCATAGGTACACGTCAACTATGACAGACAAAATGAGAAAAAAAATTCTCCAGAAAATCACATTGTAGGATTTTTAATGAATTTATTTGCAAATTATGGTGGAAAATAAGTATTTGGTAAATAACAAAAGTTACTCAATACTTTGTTATATACCCTTTGTTGGCAATGACACAGGTCAAACGTTTTCTGTAAGTCTTTACAAGGTTTTCATACACTGTTGCTGGTATTTTGGCCCATTCCTCCATGCAGATCTCCTCTAGAGCAGTGATGTCTATGGGGTTGAGATCTGGAGACTGGCTAGGCCACTCCAGGACCTTGAAATGCTTCTTACGAAGCCACTCTCACGATACATGGCCCCATTCATTCTTTCCTTTACACGGATCAGTAGTCCTGGTCCCTTTGCAGAAAAACAGCCCCAAAGCATGATGTTTCCACCCCCATGCTTCACAGTAGGTATGGTGTTCTTTGGATGCAACTCAGCATTCTTTGTCCTCTAAACACGTTTTTACCAAAAAGTTATATTTTGGTTTCATCTGACCATATGACATTCTCCCAATCCTCTTCTGGATCATCCAAATGCACTCTAGCAATCTTCAGACGGGCCTGGACATGTACTGGCTTAAGCAGGGGGACACGTCTGGCACTGCAGGATTTGAGTCCCTGGCGGCGTAGTGTGTTACTGATGGTAGGCTTTGTTACTTTGGTCCCAGCTCTCTGCAGGTCATTCACTAGGTCCCCCTGTGTGGTTCTGGGATTTTTGCTCACCGTTCTTGTGATCATTTTGACCCCACGGGGTGAGATCTTGCGTGGAGCCCCAGATCGAGGGAGATTATCAGTGGTCTTGTATGTCTTCCATTTCCTAATAAGTGCTCCCACAGTTGATTTCTTCAAACCAAGCTGCTTACCTATTGCAGATTCAGTCTTCCCAGCCTGGTGCAGGTCTACAATTTTGTTTCTGGTGTCCTTTGACAGCTCTTTGGTCTTGGCCATAGTGGAGTTGAGTGTGACTGTTTGAGGTTGTGGACAGGTGTCTTTTATACTGATAACAAGTTCAAACAGGTGCCATTAATACAGGTAACGAGTGGAGGACAGAGGAGCCTCTTAAAGAAGAAGTTACAGGTCTGTGAGAGCCAGAAATCTTGCTTGTTTGTAGGTGACCAAATACTTATTTTCCACCATAATTTGCAAATAAATTCATTAAAAATCCTACAATATGATTTTCTGGAGAAAAAAAATCTCAATTTGTCTGTCATAGTTGACGTGTACCTATGATGAAAATTACAGGCCTCTCTCATCTTTTTACGTGGGAGAACTTGCACAATTCGTGGCTGACTAAATACTTTTTTCCCCACTGTACATTTTTGACATATATCTTCCTGGTGAAATAGCGCCCTAGCATGTCGGGTAGGCCTTACCTCATCATGGATCCTCATAGTGTTGATGTGATCCAGCTTGCCGGTCCAGTACTGTGCCTCGTCTTCTGGGATGTCTGGTAGAGAGGGGAGCACACGCACAGAGTGGGATTACTGGTGAGCTGCATCCTGCCCTACCCCATAACATCCCATCCACTCTCCAACATACACTGAGCTGCTATTATATATTCATGGCCCTTTAAATATATAATGAGCCACTTAGAAAAGGGACATTAAAAATAGTTGGCTATGCTCTCAAACTGTACTGTTGGGGGACAGGGACCATGAATGACAGGGCCCACTGTAGTAATGTTTGTCATGACGGAGACGCAAATGAATACCCAGAAGAGCACAAGACCATGACGTTAGTCCCGACAGGGACAAAACTTCACAGAGACATAAGAAGTGCAGAGCACTGGACTTCTAGAGATTGCAAAACAGTGCAAACCTTAACGACATTACTAGCCCAACAACTGACAATAATGTGCAGACAGGTAAATGATGCATTGATGCATCCTACCAAACCAATGGTCTGTTAGAGCAGACCCCCTCTCCCTCCCTGTGCCCTGATGGCCCATGATCCTTTACAGAGACACTGGACATTAAAGAATGTTTCCCCTATATTAATTTAACATTTTCCCTATATTATCATTCCCCCATATTCAATATACAGCAATAAAAATAAAAAAACATTTCAAAAAAGGGGAAACACTAGACATTAAAGAGAGTTGAACACAAATGCCAGGGCTTCAAAGGCATATGAAACCAAACCCCTGTCCTGGTGAATTAATGGGATCAGTGGTACACAGAACCCAGACAAACACACAGCCTCCCTTCCCTACCGCTACCTTCAAAGGCCTGCCCTTAAACACCTGCTGCTCTAGCCCCTCTCACAGACACACACTTTTAACTTACTGATCTTGGGGGGCTTGAAGCACACCGACCCCAATACTGGCAAAGTTAAGGGACAGCGATGTAGAAAGTGATGCGTAAATTACATAACTGTTCCCTCTCAGTGAAGAGATGAGAGCGGCTGCATTCAAAAGGCTCGCTACACAACCTGCTGGGATTTCAGCCAATCAATATCAGGTGTGGTGACGTACGTTAAAGCACAGGTCACTGGAGAAGGATACTACTGTATAATCATTACTGTACTGTGCCCTATACATGTCCCATCTACAAAAACAGACCTATAACATTTCAGCATCATACATCATACCAACTGTAGCTACTGTAACTGTAGACAGTTTGATGGACCATGGACCCTGGTGTACAGTACAGAAGCAACAAAGACATTTAAAGAGATAACATATGATATAAAATAGATATCCTATGGGAAGCTAAGTGCCCAACAGAAAGATGGTGATCAATATAACATTTTACCGAAGGGCAGCTCAAAGCGCGTGTCCAGCAGAACTTGGTGGGGTGTTGGGTTCTTGGTACCGTAGATCTCATCAGCCTTCATCAGAACCTCAGCATTCAGGAAGATCCACTCCCCTGAGCCTTCCTGAGGGAAGACAAAGGGCCAGGTCAGAAGACATAGACAGAGAGACCAGATGAAACTAACTGGAAGGTGAACCAGTGCCCAACCTACTCTGTTCATGTTTTACATAAAATTTGAACTGTGTGTTGTAAATGTTGGTTTTTAACATTGGAGCTGGATGTGTGTGCTCTAAATGTTTTGGCCAGTTGTGTTGGTGGTGTATAACTTTGTATGAGTGTATCATCTGCCCCTCTCACCTCCTCTGACTGGCAGATGCACTTGAGGGGGATCCAGGCAGTCCCCAGCATTGTGTCCCAGATAAGGCCTTTGTTCCACACCTCCACAATGAGGCCCAGGTCCAAACGGTTGATCTCACTGGAGAAACAGGAGAGAGAGGCAATAAAGGAGAGGGGGTCATAATCAACTCTCATTCAATACAGACTCACAGTTTAATAGAGAGACAGAGATCAGTAGAAAGACAGTGATTGTCTAATAAAATGTACAATGGTTTCATTCACTATGTATTGAGTGACCTCCATGAAATACAAATAATTATGACAACAGAAACTAGGGATAAGCACTGTCTGGCTGCTCACTGATCCCTTTTGGTCTTTGATTAGGCCTATGCATCATGTCAGATGTCGTCATTCCTTCCATCCTTCATGTACCATTCAAAAGGATGCAAATACAGCTTGCAGACAAAAGAGCATCTCACTTGAAAGCGATCATTGCTCATGATTTCATCTCATTTGCATTTGCGGCACTTCAAAAGGAAGATGAGAGAAGAGATAGTTATCAAAAGTGCACTGCCCTCAGTAAAGGTGGCAGGAAGAGTGAGCCCAGGTGCAAACAAAGATATTCTAAACCACTCACACTAAAGGTGATGTACCAAATGATGACAACACTATTGCTGTAATGAGTAGACCAATCACCTTCACATCTCTTAGGCTCTTACGTGGCCACAGTGAATGCAAACATGTACTTGCATAAACTGCTTACGGTCATATAGGGTATTGGTCATACCAATATACTTCTATAAAACAAATATAAAGAATGAGCAGACCATTTTGAACATTTATTTCAAAATATTAAACCAAGACTCTTTTTGATCAACCACACACTGACTTCACTTTGAGCTCTATCTTTCTGCATCATAGAAACACAAATTAAAGAACCCCTGGACTCACTCTTCTGTGAAAGCAGCATTCAGAAATCCATTAATGTTTCATTTGAGCTTCCCATTGTTTGTGGAGTGAGACGGGAATGAACAGGCTCCCACAGCACAGGGACCCCAACAGGCTTTGGAAAAGAACACTTGAAAATAAGCACTACACAGAACACACCATGTATTCTACTGCATTTATTATTTTTCCCATTACTTTCTAAAAGACACTCCAAAAGCAGGGGTAGGATGGAGTATTGACTAACTGATTGGTTGCCAAGGAGACAGATGGGTTTGTTTTGAGGCTTCATTCAAGCACAGAAACATTAAGGCTCTCCTCTATGTCCCTTCCTGGAGCACCCTGTCGCGGAAACAGTGAGAAACAACACAATCAAAGACAACACCATCACAGTCAGTGTAAACATAAGCCACCAGTACAATGAGACAATCCCATGTAGGCTCTTAAACATTACATAGGCTAAGCTCTAGCATACAGTGGACACAAAACACTCTCAGCGTTGTATTTGTACCCCTAAAGAACAAGATCCTGTCTATAATGACTGAGCAGCATAGCACAGGAGCTATGGAAACAGCCCTAGAAATAAGGTGAGTTGGGGTGTACGGTGTACATATCGATCCATAGCTGTCACTACATGTTTTCTGTTTTCTGTCAACCCTGGTGGCCTGAGCCTGTCTCTTGGTGGGGATGGCCATTATCTCACAAGGAAATTGTAGTCTGGACTGGACTCTAGTCTCCAAGGCCCTCAGGCTAGTATAGAAACAGAAGCCTGGCCTGACAAACCAAAAGACCATTTGGCAATCTGCTATCTCATTAAGAGGAGAAAGGTGCATCCATCCACTTAAGTACTCTGTGAGTCAATTATACAGTATGTGATCAATATCAATTACAGAATCTGTTACATAAAGGTTGACCCACAGAACCAACAGGCTACAGCTTTCTGGCAAGGAAACACGTCATTGGAGAAGAAAGAAATCCAGTAGCCAGTTTCAAGTTAACAGTAAACTTGAGACTTTTCCTACAATAGATAGAATGTATGCCATGCCAATGCCATGTCCTAGCGCTTCATACAGTGTCCTGTTCATTGGTATAGGACTTCCAGTTAGAAATGTGATAAACATGATTTACATAGGAGGAGTAACAGGTGGTGCTCTTGTCAAGGGGCCTGTGTGTGTTTGATGGCAACAATGCAGAGTGATGTGCTAAGCTAACACATTGTGTTTCATGAACAGTACTACAGACCGAGCATTTACACTCAGCAACATCCTTGTGACAGATGTGGAAAAATATAACAATAGCATACAGGCGTTACACAGATGCGCACACACAGGAGTAAGCCTAGAGCTAAAAACAGCACAGCCTACATACGGAACACTGAAAAGAGGAAATGAAATGAGTAACCATGAGGAAGTGAATAGCTGTGAAAACAGGTTAGCTACCTTTCCTGAAACAACAACCCACCTGGCAGGCAATAACGGGGACAAAACATTCCTGGAAATCCCCTACTGTGGCCTGCTGTCACGTATTAAACTGAAAATCATAAACCTGAAATGTAGCTACAGAGCATTTGCACCAGTGGCACACTAGCTGCCCTGCTCTCACCCGTCTGTGTGGAAGAGTACTCAGGTGGTTGTGTCTGCTGCATAATTCCAAAAGCCAATCAGCCTTAATCAAATAAAGGTGTTAGTGACTGAGCATGGAGGATATACTGTACTGTCACAATAAGTCTGTTGAGCTCAGAGCCATCGACCCTCCCTTCATCGTCCCTCTCTGATCCTCATAGAAACAAAACCAACCTGATTCTATGTTGACACTGTATGAAAACCGTGACACTTGACACTTACAAAGCCTTCAGACAGACTACCGGTATTCTATACTCCACACACAGCAGGTGTGTTGTGGCTTATACAACATACACTACATTACCAAAAGTATGTGGACACCTGCTCGTCGAACATCTCATTTCAAAATCATGGCCAATAATATGGAGTTGGTCCAATCTTCTGGGAAGGCTTTCCACTAGATGTTGGAACATTGCTGCGGGGACTTGCTTCCATTCAGCCACAAGAGCATTAGAGAGATCGGGATCTGATGTTGGGCGATTAGGCCTGGCTCGCAGTCGGCGTTCCAATTCATCCCAAAGGTGTTCGCTGGGCAGCTCTAGCAGTGCAGAAATTTTACAAACTGACTTGTTGGAAAGGTGGCATCCTATGACAGTGTCACGTTGAAAGTCACAGATCTTCAGTAAAGCCATCTTACTGCCAATGTCGGTCTATGGCGAATGTATGGCTGTGTGCTGGATTTTATATACCCGTCAGCAACGGGTGTAGCTGAAATAGCTGAAGCCACAAATTTGAAGGGGTGTCCACATACACTATATATACAAAAGTATGTTATTGATGTTTGATTTTATTGATCATAAATTGCTATTGAAGAAACTCACATGGTTGGATAGTTATTTATCCAATAGAACCCAGATAGTTCTTCAATGGAAGCTTCTCTAACATCAGATATGTACAGTGTGGTGTCCCTCAGGGTAGATCCTTGGGCCGTTACGCTCTATTTTTACAAATTATTTGCCACTGGTCTTACACAAAGCTAGAATGAATATGTATGCGGATGATTCCACACTCTACATGTCAGCACACCAAGCCAGTGAGCTCACTGAAATTCTAAATAAGGAGTTACAGTCAATATCAGCATGGGTGATTAATAATAAACTGGTCTTAAATACATCTAAAACTAAAACCATTGTATTTGGTTGAAAACATTCTCTAAGACCTAAAACTCAACTGGAGTTTTGCATAAAGGGTTTGACCATTGAGCAAGTTGAGGAAGCTAAACTCCTACGTATACAGTGCATTCAGAAAGTATTCACACCCCTTGACTTTTACACAATTTGTTGTGTTACAGCCTGAATTTAAAATTGATTAAATTTAGATTTTGTGTCACTGGCCTACACACAATACCCCATATTGTCAAAGTGGAATAATATATATTTTTTAATGTTTACACATAAATTAAACATGAAAAGCTGAAATGTCTTGAGTAAATAAGTATTCAACCCCTAAATGACTTAAATGTAAATGTTATGGTAAGCATAAATAAGTTCAGGAAGAAACATTTGCTTAACAAGTCACATAATACGTTGCATGGACTCACTCTGTGTAATAGTATTTTTTTATGACTACCTCATCTCTTTTCCCCACACATTCAGATAATTGTAAGATCCCTCAGTCGAGCAGTGAATTTCAAACAGATTCAACCACAAAGACCAGGGAGGTTTTCCAATGACTCGCAAAGAAGGGCACCTATTGGTAGATCGGTACAAATACAAAATCAGACACTCAATAACTCTTTGAGCATGGTGAAGTTATTAATTACACTGGTGTATCAATATACCCAGTCACTACAAAGATACAGGCGTCCTTCCTAACTCAGTTGCTGGAGATGAAGGAAACCGCTCAGGGATTTCACCATGAGGCCAATGGTGACTTTATAACAGTTACAGAGTTTAATGGATGTGATAGGAGAAAACTGAGGATGGATCAACAACATTGTAGTTATTCCACAATATTAACCTAAATGACAGAGTGAAAAGGAAACCTGTACAGAATAAAAATATTCCAAAACATGCAGCCTGTTTGCAATAAGGCACTACAGTACAAGTGAAAATAATTTGGCAAAGAAATGAACACAAAGCGTAATTTTTTGGGCAAATCCAACAACACATCACTGAGTACCACTCTTCATATTTTCAAGCATGTTGGTGGCTGTGTCAGATGATGGATATAGTGTTTTGGATAAAAAATTAACGTAATAGAGCTAAGCACAGGCAAAATCCTAGAGGAAAACCTGGTTCAGTCAGCTTTCCAACAGACACTGGGAGACAAATTCACCTTTCAGCAGGACAATAACCTAAAACACAAGGTCAAATACACACTGAAGTTGCTTACCAAGACGTCATTGAACGTTCCTGAGTGGCCTAGTTACGGTTTTGACTTAAATCTGCTTCAAAATCTATAGTTGTCTAGCAATGATTAACAACCACTTCGACAGAGCTTGAATTTTTTTTTTTTGAATAAATGTGCAAATATTGTGCAATCCAGGTGTGCAAAGCTCTTAGAGACTTACCCAGAAAGGTGTTTCTAAGATGTATTGACTCAGGGGTGTGATTACTTACATAAACTAGATATTTCTGTATTTCATTTTGAATATATTTGCAAAAGTTCCACAAAACATGTTTTCACTTCCTCATTATGGGGTATTGTGTGTAGATGGGTGAGACAAAAATATATTTAATCCATTTTGAATTCAGGCTGTAACACAACAAAATGTGGAAGAAGTCAAGGGGTATGGATACTTTCTGCAGGCACTAACATTTGATGGTCAATTATCATGGTCAAGATATATTGACAAAGTTGATGAGAAGATGGGAAGGGGTATGTCTGTTATAAAAATATGTTCTACGTTTTTGACACAAAAATAAACTGTACTAGTTGTTCAGGCTCTGGTCTTCTTGTCCCACCTTGATTACTGTCCAGTAACATGGTAAAGTGCAGCAAAGAAAGACCTAGCAAAGCTGCAGCTGGCTCAAAACAGAGCAGCATACCTTGCCCTTAACTGCACATACAGAACTAACATCAACAACATGTCTGCCAGTCTTTCCTGGTTGAGGGTTGACAAAAGACTACCTGCATCTCTCCTAGTTTTTATGAGAAATATTACTGTGATGAAAATTCCAGATTGTCTGCATAATCAAATAACATTCCGCTCAGACACCCATACATATCCCACAGCACATGCCACCAGGGTCTCTTCACAGTCCCCAAGTCCAAAACAAATTCACGAAAAAGCACAGTATTTTACAGAGCCATGATCGCATGGAACTCCCTTCCATCTCCAATTACTCAAGCAAACAGCAAAATTACTTGTAATTTTATTTATTTATTAAACATCTCATGGAGCGGCGGGGACACACACAAACGCGCATTATTTTTGAGTTGTTTTGTTTGTATTCTTTTGTAGTTGTATTGTTTGTATATCATTGTATATAAAATGTGTGTGACTGTCCTGTCTATCAGCGTATCAGTGTTCCGTTACTTGTCGTGTTTTGTGGACCTCAGGAAGAGAAGCTGCTGCTGCTGCAAAAGCTAATGGGGATCCAAATAAACAAAGACTGAGTGCATAGGACAGTAATAGAGAGGTCTAAGAAGTGTGTGGTTACTGGTCACTTACAACATGAAGTCCTGCTCCCAGCATGGCTGGTCCCCTCGCACGGTAATGGAGGTGCTCTTGACATTCTGCACCTTCAGCGTCACATAGCTATTGAACTTATCTGCAACACAGAAAGAAGAGAAAAGAGGTAATGGTGGGAAGAGGTACTGATATATAATACTCGTACTAACAGTACTTATGCTCACCACACAATAAGGGCAGATTGTCATGTTGAAAGGACAAAAGAGAAAGAGTAGATTACTGTGTACACGTAGGAGACAAAGTATCCATATGACTTTGTCTTTATAGGACATCAGCAGTAATCTGCATGACATCAAATTATTTGCCAGAAGGAGAGCTTCTGTGTGCAGGTAAGAAAGACAACCGTGGTGGCAGACGTGGCAATGATGGGATGAAACATGGATAGTAACATGATTGACCAGAGATCGGACTTAGGGCCTGTATAGCAGCAGTAATGCTAGCTTGGCCAGCAGCTTCACTTTGGCTTTGTGTGACTGTAAAGGACGGTCAGCGACATTGGTGAGAGTCAAAGCAAATAAGTCCGTTTCCCCATCACTTCCCCCCACGCCCTGCACCCAGCCCAACGCACTGACCCTGGTAATCTCACTACAGATGAGTGCCACACAGCCAGGCAGGCAGCAGATATAGCCTAGCCATCCATCCTCTCTCCTGGCTGATGTGATTCCCGCACTGCAGAGCAGCCACCCTAACATAGCTCTGGACATGACCACCATTTCACCTCTGACACTGAGACATAGGCTAGTACAGTAGGCCTACATGATGCAGAGACAGGCGAGACCTGCTTCTACAGCAGAAAAGGTCTCTGTCATCTCTCATACCATCAATTTAAAGACCAAGGTTAAAAGACCATGGTTTGATTTCTAAACATATTTCAAAAGTCAGCACTGTGAAGCAGGTAGTGGCAAACCATTTCATATGTATTGTAGTGGAAGAGGTGGCACCACAGGTTACAGAGTGGTGGGTACAATTTTTTTATCCTGATCGTAACCAGGTAAAAAAAAAAAAAAAAACTCTGGAACCTAGTTGTAGCAGGGGCCTTAAGGGTTGGCCTATTGCCTGGGGTAAGTGAACTGAGCAGTCGGGCAAATTTAGCCTGCTCTCAAGTTGCCCCAGGTGAATTATTTATTACTAAAAACAACAAATTCCAGTAGGCCTAACTTAAACTCATCTTTCTGGTTCATCCCCACTGTTTAAGTGAAAGACTGACTATTTATGGCAGCCGGGCAAATTGAGCCTGCTCTGTGGTTGTCCCATTAGGAAACAAAAAAAAAACGACCTAAGTGCAAAGATTTCCAGTAGCCTAACAACGCTACACTGGGATGTCGCAAAATCTGTCATTGTTTTCCTGCTACACTGGAAGCGTACATTTTGGTCAGGGCGAGCAGAGCGCAAGCCACTTTACCCTATTGTTCTCATGGCAGAAATCCATCTAGCACGTTGGGGGTGATGAAACAACAGAGCTCCATTAATTTTCAATGAAGGGATGCGAAGTGGGCGGGGGACCGTTGGTTGATGTGATCTTGGACGAGGAAACAAACAGGGCGGGACCAAAGTTGAAGAAAGCTGAACTTTTGTCACATACTCCGTGACGTCGCGTTGCTATTGACCAATCAAAGCTCACTCTACAGTCGTGGTCAAAAGTTTTGAGAATGACACAAATATTAATTTTCATAAAGTCTGCTGCCTCAGTTTTTATGATGGCAATTTGCATATACTCCAGAATGTTATGAAGAGTGATCAGATGAATTGCAATTAATTGCAAAGTCCCTCTTTGCCATGAAATTTCAGCCCTGCCACAAAAGGATCAGCTGACATCATATCAGTGATTCTCTCGTTAAAACACAGGTGAGAGTGTTGACGAGGACAAGGCTGGAGATCACTCTGTCATGCTGATTGAGTTAGAATAACAGACTGGAAGCTTTAAAAGGAGGGTGGTGCTTGAAATCATTGTTCTTCCTCTGTTAACCATGGTTACCTGCAAGGAAACACGTGCCGTCATCATTGCTTTGCACAAAAAGGGCTTCAAAGGCAAGGATATTGCTGTTAGTAAGATTGCACATAAATCAACCATTTATCGGATCATCAAGAACTTCAAGGAGAGGTTCAATTGTTGTGAAGGCTTCAGGGCACCCAAGAAAGTCCAGCAAGTGCCAGGACCGTCTCCTAAAGTTGATTCAGCTGCGGAATCGGGGCACCACCAGTGCAGAGCTTGCTCAGGAATGGCAGCAGGCAGGTGTGAGTGCATCTGCACGCACAGTGAGGCAAAGACTTTTGGAGGATGGCCTGGTGTCAATAAGGGCAGCGAGGAAGCCACTTCTCTCCAGGAAAAACATCAGGGACAGACTGATATTCTGCAAAAGGTACAGGGATTGGACTGCTGAGGACTGGGGTAAAGTCATTTTCTCTGATGAATCCCCTTTCCAATTGTTTGGGGCATCCGGAAAACACCTTGTCCGGAGAAGACAAGGTGAGCGCTAACATCAGTCCTGTGTCATGCCAACATGATACCATTCATGTGTGGGGTTGCTTCTCAGCCAAGGGAGTGGGCTCACTCACAATTATGCCTAAGAACACAGCCATGAATAAATAATTTTACCAACACATCCTCCGAGAGCAACTTCTCCCAACCATCCAAGAACAGTTTGGTGACGACCAATGCCTTTTCCAGCATGATGGAGCACCTTGCCATAAGGCAGAAGTGATAACTAAGTGGCTCGGGGAACAAAACATCGACATTTTGGGTCCATGGCCAGGAAACTCCATGGACAGACCTTAATCCCATTGAGAACTTGTGGTCAATCCTCAAGAGGCAGGTGGACAAACAAAAACCCACAAATTCTGACAAACTCTAAGCATTGATTATGCAAGAATGGACTGCCATCAGTTAGGATGTGGCCCAGAAGTTAATTGACAGCATGCCAGGACGGATTGCAGAGGTCTTGAAAAAGAAGGGTCAACACTGCAAATATTGACTCTTTGCATAAACTTAATGTAATTGTCAATAAAAGCCTTTGACACTTATGGAATGCTTGTAATTATACTTCAGTATATCATAGTAACATCTGACAAAAATATCTAAAAACACTGAAGCAGCAAACTTTGTGAAGACCAATACTTGTGTCATTCTCAAAACTTTTGACCACAACTGTAGTTTCGAGCCCTTACTGGATTGGCTGTTGATACCTAGCACTACCTATCTTGTTAGCACCGACATGAGGGTGAAGCTAGCATGGCTATCCGTATAGTGGATCACTGCTGTCAAGCTCGAGTTGCACGTCGAAATCTTGAAAACAGAACCAGAGCTCTAACAGCGCAAGCCTCTGCTCCACGCCCAGGTTTCGGAGAAATGAATAGGAGTATCTCACGCCAGTAAAACAGATTTTTCTGCTCCCCCCTGTTGTTTAATTAAGAGACCCACAAGTCATGGCACATCTGCATGTAAACAACTATTTTCCGGGAAACAGCCTTTCAGACCTTAAAGTCAATCTCTGTGTAGGTATGACATAGCTAGTGATCAATTAGTTGCAAATCAATTTTATATGGGCTATGTTGTGAACAGTGTTTTTCTAAAATCAGGTAACATACGGTAGTTTTAAACTCCTGGCCCTATAGGGAGGATGAAAACCCTGTCAAACTGCAGCAACCATGTACTTGTTCATATGAACTATACACAGAGTTGTACACAACATTATGAACACCTGCTCTTTCCATGACCAGGTGAATGCTATGATCCCTTATTTATGTCACTTGTTAAATCCACTTCAAATCAGTGTAGATGAAGGGGAGGAGACAGGTTAATGAAGGATTTTTAAGCCTTGAAACATGGATTGTTTATGTGTGCCATTCAGAGGGTGAATGGGCAAGACAAACGATTTAAGTGCCTTTGGTAGTAGCTGCCAGGCGCACCAGTTTGTGTCAAGAACTGCAACACTTCTGGGTTTTTCACGCTCAACAGTTTCCCGTGTGTATCAAGAATGGTCCACCACCCAAAGGACATCTAGCCAACTTGACAGCATTGGAGTCAACATGGGCCAGCATCCCTGTGGAACGCTTTCGACCTTGCAGAGTCCATGACCCGAGAGGGGTGTAACCCAATAATAAGAATGTTGATGTTATTCAGTGTATTTTAAAACTAGAATAACAGGGGGATTATGTTACAGACAGAGACAACTGCGATTAGACAATAGGACTAACAGGGTTGACAGGGGGTTGCATCATGTAGGTCAATATAGGCTACATCTGTAATTAAAAAGTTACAGGTGCATTAACACAGTCTAGTCTATGTCATCACTAATTGTTGATTTGATTAATTCCAGTCAATCATTTCAGATTAAAAAAGGCCTAGTTAGCTTAGCCAACTGAAGTTTGAATATAAACCAAATTTGATCATACTCACATTTTCTCTTAACACAAATAAATTGGCTTGGGCTATAAATACATAACGTTACCACTTCGTTTCCCCTGGCCAGATGGGACAGGGCGCATAGGTAGGCTACAGTTGATCAGACTGATGCAGCATGTCAGATCGCTAATGTTTAGGTGTAGGCTGCTACAACATTTCTGTAAAGAGTTTTTGCTTGTTCTTTTCCCGTTAGCTAAAATAATACTGGAGGAAAGTGGAGAGCGTGTTCTGCTTTCTATATACGTGCGCCATGCGCGACCTGAGATTTCTGTGAATCTAAAGTGAACACACACACACACACACACCTTTATATAGGGCAGTGGGTATACAACCTGGGAAAAGATACATGGTCACCAGCTGGTCACTTGACTTCCCAATGCCTCTCCACCTGTTTACACAGGTCTTCACAGTGGCAAACAGAAACATTTATTTAGCCATGGACACAAGCGCAACAAAACTTCAGATCAGTCAACATAGCTAGTACACAATGAGACTGTGTAGGGCAGCAATGTGAACCATAGACATACCACATTCCACAGAGACAGAAACAATGCATTGATTGACACTAACGGAGTAACGCAGTATGTTGTTAGTCCCAGAGGTCTAGCTATATTGAAACCTGCTGTAAGATATACACTGAGTGTACAAAACATTAGGAACACCTGCTCTTTCCATGACAGACTGATCAGGTGAAAGCTATGATCCCTTATTGATGTCACTTGTTAAATCCACTTCCATTTGTGTAGATGAAGGGGAGGAGACGGGTTAATTAAGGATTTTTAAGCCTTGAGACAATTGAGACATTGATTGTAGTCCCCTGTAGCTCAGTTGGTAGAGCATGGCGCGTGCAACGCCTGGGTTGTGGGTTCGTTTCCCACGGGGGGCCAGCATGAAAAATGTATGCACTCACAAACTGTAAGTCGCTCTGGATAAGAGCGTCTGCTAAATGACAAAAATGTAAAAATGTAAATTGTGTATGTGTGCCATTCAGAGGGTGAATGGGAAAGACAAAAAATGTAAGTGTCTATGAACAGGGTATGGTAGTAGGTGCCAGGCGCACTGGTTTGAGTGTGTCAAGAACTGTAACGCTGCATGGTTTTTCACGCTCAACATGTGTATCAAGAATGGTCCACCACCCAAAGGACATCCAGCCAACTTGACACACATGTGGGAAGCATTGGAGTAAACATGGGCCAGTATCCCTGTGGAACGCTTTCGACACCTTGTAGAGTCCATGCCCCGAGGGCACAAGGGTGTGCAACTCAATATTAGGAAGGTGTTCTTAATGTTTTATACACTCAGCAAAGGTCCCCAGCGGGGACATTGGGTAAACAGCCAGGCCTAGGGCTCTGGGTTGAGAAGAAACAGGTCTAATTAGAGTCTCAGGAGGCCAGTCAGTCAGCAATACAGCCATTACATTACGACCATGATCTAGAGACACTCCCCATCTCCCCCTTACTAATTAGATGCCCCATGCCTCATCTTGGACCACACTTGCTGCTTCTCATGAATACAAGTTCAAAGATAAGAGGAGAAGGAGGAGGCCTGGATTAGATCAAAGCCACTTAGTGATTGTGGTCTCTCTCTGAAAGAGCTCTCCCACCTTGCACAAAGGACTGATAGCATCTTACCAGAAGGAAACAGCCACCCGCTTTCATAACACACACACACATGCACGCACACAGAGAGCGCGCTTGGCTTGTCGGGTGGACCCACCATCAAACAGCATCTGTCCAGCTTTGAGCATGAAATTATTGCGGACTTTGATCAGTACCCACACTCTGAAAGTAGACAGAGAAGATCTGTCCAGGTTACTGAGCCATACTTTAGGAGTTCACCGAGCCCCTCGGTCTGTCGCTCCAACTCATATTATTGACGCATCATCAGTTTTCCAATAAATTAGTCCGAAAAACACGGATGGTTGGAAGGCTGACATTTACAATTTGGACCTCTCATCAATATTGTATTGGTTAGAAGACATATTCCTCTGTCACAGGAGACACCTGGGTAGTTGTGTTTTATGAATAGTGTACAATGTAAGTGGTGGGTAAGTATTTGCAAGTAGCACTAACAATCAAATGTATGTGTATATTTGTATTCTGGGCCAATTCATGTCAAGCCCAACCAGTTAGATGAATTTGCATTGGAAAAACTATCCAAAGTCAAAACATTTTGCTTATGCAAATGCTGCCTCAGAAGTAGCCTACCTTACTGTACCATACAGTGCATCTATTTTACACCATCCATTTGTAGTTGGGTTAAAATTATTGAATAATAATCTAAAATGTATCGGACTCCATAGTCTTGTGTATCTAAATGCAATAGGGCCTGTGCGTCTCTGACGGCTCTAGCAAGGTCACTAACCGTTGCATCACCAGGGTAAGGCTATTGTACGTGTCTCTTGCACCGTCATGCAATTATTAAGAGCCTAGAGGCAATGAGCTAATCCTAAACAACTAGTGTTCTAGTATTAACTAATTGAGTCAAGTAAAAGCATGGCTGTAAAGGTGGAACCCAAAAGCACAAAAGCATATATGCAAATTGCAATTAATTCTACAATTTAGGATTTACCAATACACAATTATGAACATATACATTTACATTTACGTCATTTAGCAGACGCTCTTATCCAGAGCGACTTAGTCAATCAAAGAGTTACTCTGTATGCGAGGAATGCATTTACTCAAATCAACTAATAGGTTTATTAGTCCCGAATGAATTAATACTCAAAGAATAGCAGTGTACATGGAATACATGATACAAAATAAAACAGAGTAAATGTCTATCACAATAAGACTTAGAGAAAAACCACTTAGAGAAAAAGTCTAAATGTGTGTATCTACACACATGGAGCTTTCAAACAAGTTCTCAATGAACCAGAGGATACTCAGTCATTTTACTCCAACAGGAACAGGGCTCAACATCCCCAACCTGAATTAACATTACACCTAGATTCTCATCTAATTATCACTTTCCTAAATGTCAATGTTACGACAGGACACCAGGAATGTACCCATCTGATAAGCAGTCAGCCCAACCGTTCTCTCTAAAAAGGGAATTCTACAACACATACAAAACAGTGCGTCATACCAAAACGTGCAGCTCTTTATGAGCAATGAAAATAATCCAAACATGGCAATAAAACTCATACAATTACATTCACAATATCAGGTCCAGTTTTAACCACTTTCAGCCTTGAGGGCGGTGGGAACCAAATGGAGTCTTCTGTATGTCCCGCCCAGGGCTGGAGGTGCGCGCAAGGTTGTGCCTCGCTCTTTGAAATGGTAAAACATGGTTATTTCTCTAGATGATTCCATGAATCGTGATTGACCACACGCTGTGCTCCCACACCAGCAAGTCATAGTCTGTATCACAGAGTCCAATATGGTCAAACTCACCACTACACTTTCCCCTACCCACAGTGACCACCACAAAACAGTTACATTCCATTCAGTCAGATGACTATAACCCTGTTAATACCTCCAGGAAATCATCAGTGCATGCACATTTAAAATTAACCACACAGCCTCATTTAAAGTCTCCACTCTGAGCTCCAGAACCAGCGGGAAAAAATGACCATTTGCCAGTTTCAAGGTAATACAGATGCAACATGATGCAAGTCCACGCAAAGATCTCAGGCCAATTCAAGGTCATTTTTTATGTGTGGTAAAAGCACTACACATGACCAGAGACCAAAACATTAAAAGGGATATGCGTGTGCGTGGATATGTGTGTGTGTGTGTGTGTGTGTGTGTCTGCTTGCATACATGCATCCATGTTTTATCTGCAACTAAAAAGTGACTTATGCCACCTCAGCAAAAGGTCACAAAGCACCTTTCACAGATCAGGGCTTGCAAATCAAGCCATGGTTATTTCAGCTACAACAGAACTGAATAAACCGTCCTTGTAAACACACAGAACAATGTAGAACACTAAACAGGCTTTCTTTAGCTCTGCTGTTCTGAGTGTGGTGGCTGAAATATTTGCTCTGTGGGCTGATGTCAGGTGGAGGAGGGCCAGATGGATACTGCTCGTTTATCTCCTTGGCCTTCAACCAGGGCTACACACGTCACAGAGAAATTAGAGACACTTAAACCATTTTCAAGACAATGTGAATTAAACAACTGCTTGCCTCAGTTGGAGGTTAAAGGAAAACTATATTTTGGTATTTTTTTTCCATTTGTCCACTGTTGATACAGTCCCAAAATGTTTTGCATGTCAGCAGTCAAGTTAAGATTATGGACTTTCAAGAAGCAAAGTGTCACTACGCATCATGATGATGATGCAAGTGATAGTTTGAGTGGATTTTTCCTTTAAGTCTGGGGAATCTGGGATCCTATCATTCGCTAAGACAAGTGGGAACCTAAGGTGTGTGAGTGACAACACACTGGGAGATCCCATGATAAGGTAAGCAGTGACTTTATAGCACTACTGCTGCTAGCCAGGAACACAAATCATGGGGCTTATGAGATAGGAGTGAGGGCAAACAGTAGAGAGGGCATGGGGATTTGGATTTAGCCAGCACTGATCTGACCAGCAGTGGCGTCTATCTATGAATGCTAAGGGAAGCCAGGCTTCCCCCAAAAAACTGACCAAGAAAAAAATTAAATAATCTCTCTGTTTCCAAATGTTCTTTCAATTCGCAAGAGGCTGAATGCACTGTATCTCACCGGAGAAAGCATCCGAGCAAGCGAAACAGCGGCCCTCTGTCTCTGTATGTGTAGCCCATCTATCTATCTGATGCTGTCTGAGTATGACATTGTTGCCGCCCGTCGCATTGAATGCAAGGGAAGCCAGCGAGCATTTGGCCTCCCGATGAAAAAAGTATTAAATTAAATCAGCATTGAGCTAAACTGAGTGAGTTCATATGTTAATGGTTCAGGTGTACCCCAAAAAAGTGTCAAGGGAAGCCAGATGGATTTGGCTTCACACCAGTCACATCACATCAAGTGCAAAACGTGAATTGTTGCATCTCCTTGTGTTGTTGTCCTCCGGTGGCTAGCTAGCTAGCTATTTTTGTATTTAACCTTTATTTTGACAGGGAAGACATTGAGACCTAGGTCTCTTTTCCAAATGTGCTTTCTATCACATAAATGTATATAAACAGTACCAGTGAAAAGTTTGGACACACCTAGTCATTCAAGTGTTTTTCTTTATTTTTTACTATTTTCTACATTGTAGAATAACTCTCTCTCTCACCCACACCCACACCCAGAAAAATAATTAGATTCATTCGAAAATAAATTGTCCCTTTCCTACATTAGCTATGGCTGGAGATAGGAATTTGGACTTATTTAATTCTCCTTACTGGCCAATGATTTTAACGGCGATTCTTATTCAACCATAAATTCATACATTGTGCCCCTTTGTCAACATGACATAGGATCGTTTAATCAACATGAAAGAGAGGAGGATGGCATTGGCGTTTCTCTACAAGTAGGGTGACTCAACATGTTTTTTTTACTTGCGCGCACACACACACACACACACACACACACACACACACACAGAGAGAGAGAGAAATCAGAACCATGGACAGCCAAATCAAATTTAGCTTACGTTGATTGGACTAAATTGTTTTTGGTATCTTTTAATTGTCACTGTATTAGACTAAGCATAGGTGATTTGATGATGTTGAAATGTTGAAGTTGAAATGGTGCTGGAATAGTGGAGGCAGCTCCTGTTTTCTTTGAGACTTACAGTAACTCTCCATGGTTCTAAATCAATAGTTGTTTAGTAGTCCGAAAATGTCAGAAACATTAACTTGCTTGACCATGTTGTAGGTCATGTAACTGTTTGTTACTTGCAATATGCTTTGTGGACTTCACCAGACAGAGGTTGCTCTCCGGTTTTGTGATGAAAGAAAGGTGTGGTTGAATTTATTCTGCCACTGTGTCTTCTTATTGTCTCGGCCTTAGGCCTATATATCACAGTGTCAAGGCATATGAACTAACAGGTTATAGAGCAAACAATGCAATTATCACAACACATAGGTTGTAATATGGCCTTTTTTCCTGACTTGGCTTCCCCAGTGATTTTACCCACACACAACTACTGCTGAGCAGCTCACCTGCAGCACATGGGCTAGAGCTAGGCGGGAAGCAGGGAAACAAAGCCTCATGGGATTACGCAATACCAAAGAGAAATATGTGCAAGTGACTCGCTGCTATGAAGGCTTTTTAAGGTTAACACACAGTCCTAGCTTGGGTCAGCATTCAAGGACATAACTCCTAAATAAAGAGGTAGTTCAAGGACTTACCCGGAGATCCTTGGAGTTTGGCTTTCTTTACTGAAATAGAAAGAGACAAAACAACTGTTAGAAACAGACATAAAACTGTGTTTTTAATAAAACAGAGACAGACAGCAAGTCATTATGTCTGCTCATGATTTACTTCAGGGATATCACACTGACTCTGATAAGGCTGATTGATGTAGGCTAGGCCTACATTGTTTACAATTAATGTGATCACGTGTTCACCTCATGTCACTTCGGTGTCCCCCTAAGAGGCCACAGTCAGACCCAGGATATCCGTCATGCTGAGAGTGTAACCGGAGCATGCACATCAGTGAATCACGGACCAGAAAGCAGTCACGCGGTCACCAATCAGCCACGTGTTATCAACCACAACGCCAGAAAAACAAGGGCACATGACATTTGTAGGTGAGGTCTGACAGATTAATTGATATGCAGACAGACAGATGGCGCACATGTTGATGAAGCATGGAGTAGGAATGTGTTAGACGTGGCCAGACGTGTCTGAGTGAGCATCAGCATCACAATATTCTCTCAACCTAGCAGCAGAAAACACCAGCCTCTCACATTTATTGACAAGCACCAAATACTCACAAAAAAAGTGGCTTGGGGGATAGAATCCACCAGTGTTAATCATTGTCCATGTTTACATGTGCACAGTATTCCAGATAGTAGCTCATATCCCGCTTATGATCTTATCCGGGATAAGCTGTTTAGATGCAACATTGATATCCCGCTCACGAATATCCCTGTATTCATGAATAAACCGAATATTCCTCATTTATGTTAATATGGGTTAAATGGAATAGTAACTGAAATATGGACACTGACTGTAGGCCTATAACCTCTCACATGTAGCATAATATTAACTCCTGCATAATTATGCATTTCTTGCAGTAAAATGATACAAGTGTGCGTGTAATGTGTCATCTTTGACACGTTTGCAAGCAGACAGCATTTAAACCACATAAAATATGCACCCAAGACGAACTGAAGTCTTAACAGAAACGTGTTTCATTTTTTTCTCAGCTTTGTATTTCCTTAAAGCCGGTCAAATTGATGACATTTGGACATTTTGTACAGGACAAATCTTTTCACTGTTTTGGAGTTATTGTGTTTTCTCCTCGGCCCCTAAACGAAACAGACAACTTTACTGGCGTTAACTAGATTAATTAATTCTATAGATGTAAGATATTCTGGTGAGTACTACTTTATTTAGTCTTCTAGGGCAACAAGTTATGACAGAAGAGAAGCTGCGTGTACAGTGCATTCGGAAAGTATTCAGACCCCTTGACTTTTTCCACGTTATTACCGGTAAGTTACAGCCTTATTCTAAAATGAAAAAAAATTATGGAATCCTCAGCAATCTACACACAATAGCAAAAACAGAAATACCTTATTTACATAAGATTAAGACTCTTTTCTATGAGACTAGAAATTGAGCTCAGGTGCATCCTGTTTCCATTGATCATCCTTGAGATGTTTCTACAGCTTGATTGGAGTCCACCTGTGATAAATTAAATTGATTGGACAGGTTTTGGAAAGGCACACACCTGTCCATATAAGGTCCCACAGTTGACAATGCATGTCAGAGCAAAAACCAAGCCATGAATTCGAAGGAATTGTCCGTAGAGCTCCGAGACAGGATTGTGTCGAGGCACAGATCAGGGGAAGGGTACCAAAAAATTCTGCAGCATTGAAGGTCGCTAAGATAATGGTGGCCTCCATCATTCATAAATGGAAGAAGTTTGGAACCACCAAGACTCTTCCTAGAGCATGGTAGTGGCAGCATATTGCTGTGGGGATGTTTTTCAATGGCAGGGACTGGGAGAAAGCCAGGATCGAGGGAAAGATGAACGGAGCAAAGTACAGAGAGATCCTTGATGAAAACCTGCACCTCAGGACCTCAGACTGCGGCGAAGGTTTGTATTTGTATTTATTATGGATCCCCATTTGCTGCTGCAAGGCAGTTATAACATTTTAAAAACATTACAATACATTCATAACAGATTTCACAACACACTAAGTGTGTGCCCTCAGGCCCCTACTCCACTACAACACAAATCCATGTACAGTGAGGGAAAAAAGTATTTGATCCCCTGCTGATTTTGTACGTTTGCCCACTGACAAAGACATGATCAGTCTATAATTTTAATGGTAGGTTTATTTGAACAGTGAGAGACAGAATAACAACAAAAAAATCCAGAAAAACGCATGTCAAAAATGTTATAAATTGATTTGCATTTTAATAAGGGAAATAAGTATTTGACACGTCTGAAAAACATGACTTAGTACTTGGTGGCAAAACCCTTGTTGGCAATCACAGAGGTCAGACGTTTCTTGTAGTTGGCCACCAGGTTTGCACACATCTCAGGAGGGATTTTGTCCCACTCCTCTTTGCAGATCTTCTCCAAGTCATTAAGGTTTCGAGGCTGACGTTTGGCAACTCCCTCCACAGATTTTCTATGGGATTAAGGTCTGGAGACTGGCTAGGCCACTCCAGGACCTTAATGTGCTTCTTCTTGAGCCACTCCTTTGTTGCCTTGGCCGTGTGTTTTGGGTCATTGTCATGCTGGAATACCCATCCACGACCCATTTTCAATTCCCTGGCTGAGGGAAGGAGGTTCTCACCCAAGATTTGACGGTACATGGCCCCGTCCATCGTCCCTTTGATGCGGTGAAGTTGTCCAGTCCCCTTAGCAGAAAAACACCCCCAAAGCATAATGTTTCCACCTCCATGTTTGACGGTGGGGATGGTGTTCTTGGGGACATAGGTAGCATTCCACCTCCTCCAAACACGGTGAGTTGAGTTGATGCCAAAGAGGTCGATTTTGGTCTCATCTGACCACAACAAGGGTAAAAGACACCTGGGAGCCAGAAATCTTTTCTGATTGAAAGGGGGCCAAATACTTATTTCCCTCATTAAAATGCAAATCAATTCATAACATTTTTGAAATGCGTTTTTCTGGATTTTTTTGTTGTTATTCTGTCTCTCACTGTTCAAATAAACCTACCATTAAAATTATAGACTGATCATTTCATTGTCAGTGGGCAAACGTACAAAAGCAGCAGGGGATCAAATACTTTTTTCCCTCACTGTACATCCAAGGGCCAGTCGTGCTGCCCTGTTCTGAGCCAATTGCAATTTTCCTAAGTCCCTCTTTGTGGCACCTGACCACACGACTGAACAGTAGTCCAGGTGCGACAAAACTAGAGCCTGTAGGACCTGCCTTGTTGATAGTGCTGTTAAGAAGGTAGAGCAGTGCTTTATTATGGACAGACTTCTCCCCATCTTAGCTACAGTTGTATCAATATGTTTTGACCATGACAGTTTACAATCCAGGGTTACTCCATGCAGTATAGTCACCTCAACTTGCTCAATTTCCACATAATGTATTACAGGATTTAGTTGAGGTTTAGGGTTTAGTGAATGATTTGTCCCAAATATAATTATTTTAGTTTTTGAAATATTTAGGACTAACTTATTCCTTGTCACCTATTGTGAAACTAACTGCAGCTCTTTGTTAAGTGTTGCAGTCATTTCAGTCGCTGTAGTAGCTGACGTGTATAGTGTTGAGTCATTCACATACATAGACACACTGGCTTTATCTCAGACTGGCCAATAAAAATTAAAGATTAAGATGGGCAGTCTGAGATAAGGCTTTTTCTTTGCAACTCTGCCTAGAAGGTCAGCATTCCGGAGTCTCCTCTTCACTGTTGACGTTGAGACTGGTGTTTTACGGGTACTATTTAATGAAGCTGCCAGTTGAGGACCTGTGAGGCGCCCGTTTCTCAAACTAGACACTAATGTATTTGTCCTCTTGCTCAGTTGTGCACCGGGGCCTCCCACTCCTCTTTCTATTCTGGTTAGAGCCAGTTTACGCTGTTCAGTGAAGGGAGTAGTACACAGCGTTGTACGAGATCTTCAGTTTATTGCCAATAGCCTTCATTTCTCAGAACAAGAATAGACTGACGAGTTTCAGAAGAAAGTTATTTGTATCTGGCCATTTTGAGCCTGTATTCAAACCCACAATTCCTGATGCTCCAGATACTCAACTAGTCTCAAGAAGGCCAGTTTTATTGCTTCTTTAAATCAGCACAACAGTTTTCAGCTGTGCTAACATAATTGCAAAGGGGTTTTCTAATGATCAATTAGCCTTTTAAAATGATAAACTTGGATTAGCAAACAACGTGCCATTTGAACACAGGACTGATGGTTGCTGATAATGGGCCTCTGTACGCCTATGTAGATATTCAAAAAAAATGTATCTGCAGTTTCCAGCTACAATAGCCATTTACAACATTAACAATGTCTACACTGTATTTCTGATCAATTAGATGTTATTTTAATGTTCAAAAAATTGCTTTTCTTTCAAAAACAAGGATATTTCTAAGTGACCCAAAACTTTTGAACGGTAGTGTACATTTTCAAGCATTTCACACGTTATCCAGATACTGATTGTTATCACTTGGTGGTCTATAGCAGCATCCCACAAGAATTGGCTTTAGGTGAGGCAGATGAACCTGTAGCCATAATACCTCAACAGTATTTAACATGAGATCCTCTAAGCTTGACAGAAATGTGGTTCTGAATATAAACAGCAACACCTTCACCACTGGCATTTCTGTATTTTCGGTAAATGTTATAACCTTGTATTGCTACCACTGTATCGTCAAAGGTATTCTCTAAGTGAGTTTCAGAGATAGTCAGAATATGAATGTCATCTGTTACTAGCAAGTTATTAATTTAATGAACCTTGTTTCTTAAGCTACATACAGTGGGGAGAACAAGTATTTGATACACTGCCGATTTTGCAGGTTTTCCTACTTACAAAGCATGTAGAGGTCTGTAATTTTTATCATAGGTACACTTCAACTGTGAGAGACGGAATCTAAAACAAAAATCCAGAAAATCACATTGTATGATTTTTAAGTAATTAATTTGCATTTTATTGCATGACATAAGTATTTGATCACCTACCAACCAGTAAGAATTCCAGCTCTCACAGACCTGTTAGTTTTTCTTTAAGAAGCCCTCCTGTTCTCCACTCATTACCTGTATTAACTGCACCTGTTTGAACTCGTTACCTGTATAAAAGACACCTGTCCACACACTCAATCAAACAGACTCCAACCTCTCCACAATGGCCAAGACCAGAGAGCTGTGTAAGGACATCAGGGATAAAATTGTAGACCTGCACAAGGCTGGGATGGGCTACAGGACAATAGGCAAGCAGCTTGGTGAGAAGGCAACAACTGTTGGCGCAATTATTAGAAAATGGAAGAAGTTCAAGATGACGGTCAATCACCCTCGGTCTGGGGCTCCATGCAAGATCTCACCTCGTGGGGCATCAATGATCATGAGGAAGGTGAGGGATCAGCCCAGAACTACACGGCAGGACCTGGTCTATGTCATGAAGAGAGCTGGGACCACAGTCTCAAAGAAAACCATTAGTAACACACTACACCGTCATGGATTAAAATCCTGCAGCGCACGCAAGGTCCCCCTGTTCAAGCCAGCGCATGTCCAGGCCCGTCTGAAGTTTGCCAATGACCATCTGGATGATCCAGAGGAGGAATGGGAGAATGTCATGTGGTCTGATGAGACAAAAATATAGCTTTTTGGTCTAAACTCCACTCACGTGTTTGGAGGAAGAAGAAGGATGAGTACAACCCCAAGAACACCATCCCAACCGTGAAGCATGGAGGTGGAAACATCATTCTTTGGGGACGCTTTTCTGCAAAGGGGACAGGACGACTGCACCGTTTTGCGGGGAGGATGGATGGGGCCATGTATTGCGAGATCTTGGCCAACAACCTCCTTCCCTCAGTAAGAGCATTGAAGATGGGTCGTGGCTGGGTCTTCCAGCATGACAATGACCCGAAAAACACAGCCAGGGCAACTAAGGAGTGGCTCCGTAAGAAGCATCTCAAGGTCCTGGAGTGGCCTAGCCAGTCTCCAGACCTGAACCCAATAGAAAATATTTGGAGGGAGCTGAAAGTCCGTATTGCCCAGCGACAGCCCCGAAACCTGAAGGATCTGGAGAAGTTCTGTATGGAGGAGTGGGCCAAAATCCCTGCTGCAGTGTGTGCAAACCTGGTCAAGACCTACAGGAAACGTATGATCTCTGTAATTGCAAACAAAGGTTTCTGTACCAAATATTAAGTTCTGCTTTTCTGATGTATCAAATACTTATGTCATGCAATAAAATGCTAATTAATTACTTAAAAATCATACAATGTGATTTTCTGGATTTTTGTTTTAGATTCCGTCTCTCACAGTTGAAGTGTACCTATGATCAAAATTACAGACCTCTACATGCTTTGTAAGTAGGAAAACCTGCAAAATCGGCAGTGTATCAAATACTTGTTCTCCCCACAGTATGTTAACGTTGGCTATTTTGAGCACTTTTCTGGGATGCTTGCTTGTTTTCACTGCTTTACTGGGAAGCTTAGCAGAAGTAGATATTCTCATGTTATTTATGTTAGTGCAGGGTGAGCTGCACACAGTGGACTTCCTACTAGGGCACACCACCTCAGTGCTAACAGCATAAATCTGGTTCATAAGCACGATTGCTGCATACAATAGCTGTAGGATCAGCAGAGGCATTCATGGCCTTTAGAGGGACATAAATTAGGTTACTTACATTGTGTCTACCAATGCCCCGGGTATAATGTACATTTGCTTGAGAGGATCTGCAGAGAAGAATGTGAGAAATTCCCCAAATACAGGTGTGCCACGCTTGTAGCGTCATACCCAAGAAGACTCAAGGCTGCCAAAGAGGCATCAACTAAGTACTGAGTAAAGGGTTTGAATACTTATGTAAATATTAAAAGTATTTTTTTTAAAATATAAATTAGCAAACATTTCTAAAAACCTGTTTTTGCTTTGTCATTATGGGGTATTGTGTGTAGATTGATGAGTGGAAAAAACTACTTAATCCATTTTAGAATAAGGCTGTAACTTAAAATGTGGAAAAAGTCAAGGGGTCTGAATACTTTCCGAATGCACTGTATCTAACTATAGTTGACAAATGGCCTACCAAATGTCCGAAATTATAAGCAGAAACTTGTCTAAATTCGGGGTAAAAGTAGCCAGTAGGCTATACGGTCCAGTACGGAGTATCAGCTAAATATATTATGGAATTATGGTGGATGGAACTGCGTAGGTAGCCTACTTTTTGAAGTGATTTGTTTGACAATCAGATGAAATCATCACACAACATCCATGACATGCGAAACTAAGCCAGCGCAGACCGCGAAAAACAACAGTAAAGGGGATAAGATGTTTACATGCCACAGTATCCCGTCTGATCAGCATAGCCCAGGAATCTTATCTGGGTTTCTCATAACCGGGATACACGCCTTTTCGGGTTATTGTAAATGGGATATGATGTTAATATGCATCAACTCAAAAAAATTATACTGGAGTATCCCGAATAATAACGGGATATTAGTGTGCATGTAAATGTGATCATTATCCTGTTTCCAAGAAGTCAAAACCCTACAGATGGGATACTTTCATAAAAATGGATTAGTTATTCTGATTGAGAAGGGCACGGCCAAAAACACAAATGTGTCTAAACTAAAGAAACAATGTTTCAATACACCATTGAAAATCATGAAAAGGAGTTGAAAAACATCTTACATGGTTATCAGGTTTTTGATGGAACTGTTCAGATGTTTTTTTTTAATTGACCATTAGTCTGTGACAGACCACACTTTCATATTGACCAATGTGCTGTAATCTTTCACAGTCAAATCCCTTAATACACAACCCACTTCCATACCAACCCAGTCCACCCAGATAAGTTATATGCTCTCTGGCACTGGATCCATGGATTCCATCCTTTGCCAGGACAAAACCCTGACAGACTGGAATATGGAGCCCATCTGTACACAACCTCTACCCATCATTCCGGTGAAAAGGTAGTCATTGGTTGAAGGGTGGATGAATCCACACAAACATAGGTATCACAAAGCAGATTGTAACATTCAACAATTGGCTATGATATGAAGGTTAGCCTACCAGATGTAAAAAATAAATAAAAAAACATCTTCCTATAACGATACATTCTCTTTTCATCTGCAATGTGGAAAACAAGAGCAGAAAAACAACCTCTAGTGCACTCTGGTGTATTTTTTAGACCTTTCCAGTTATGGAATTGAAAGATGGTTTAGAGGGGATTAATTGTGAATGCGGCTCCGGCCTTATGTACAGCCAAATAAACGACTGGGCCGGGATAGCAGATAGACAGGATTGGGTGGTGGTGAGTGACAGAAGCTGACATTACATGATTTTAATATCAGCATGTGCAGCTCTTCCCCCTTGCTCTCTGTACACAGCTAGAATCACACGCAGCCCAAGTGAGTGTGGCTCTATTTATTTACCTGTCTTAGTTTGCCACGTTGCTGGTGGTAAGATTAAGTGGCTATTGGCTAAGAGACGAGAGAGAGAGAATGCTTTCTAAATACAAGTTAAAATGCACCTGCCATCTTCCATTCTCTACACAAGGGGTTCCCAACCTGGGGGGAGCTGAGCTATGACCGAAATTACAGGAGTCAAAGAAATTGGACTTGGGAAGTAGTCGTATACAATGTGTGACTGCTATATACAGGGGGTACCAGTACAAGATCAATGTGCAGGGGTATGAGGTATTTGAGGTAGATATGTACATGAAGGCAGGGTAAAGTGACTAGGCATCAGGAGAGAGTAAAATAAAGAACAGTGTGTGTGTGTGTTAGGTTTGTGTGTCTATGTAGTGTGTGGGTTTTGTGTTAAGTCCTTAGTGATGTGGACGCCAAAGAACTTGAAGCTCTCGACCCGCTCCACTACAGCCCCGTTGATGTGGATGGGGGCGTACTCTCCCCTCTTTCTCCTATAGTCCACGATCAGCTCCTTTGTCCTGGCACCACACTGCTAAGTCTCTGACCACCACACTCATCGCAGTCTGTGATCAGGCCTACCACCGTTGTGTCGTCAGCTAACATAATGATGGTGTTGGAGTCATGCGTGGCCAGGGAGTACAGGAGGGGACTAACCACAAACCACTGAGGGGCCCCCGTGTTGAGGGTTAGTGTGGCGGAGGTGTTGTTGCCTACCTATCACCTGGGACCAGCCTGTTAGGAAGTCCAGGATCCAGTTGCAGAGGGAGGTGTTCAATCCCAGTGTCCCCAGCTTGGTGATGAGCTTGGAGGCGACTATAGTTTTGAACGCTGAGCTGTAGTCTATGAACAGCATTCTCACTGTAGTTATTTCTCTTATCCAGGTGGGAGAGGGCAGTGTGAAGTGCAATTGAGATTGCGTCATCTGTGGATCTGTTGGGGCAGTATGCAAATTGGAGTGGGTCCAGGGTGTCTGGGATGATGGTGTTGATGTGTGTCATGACCAGCCTTTCAAAGCACTTTGTAATTACAGATGTTATTTAGGCAGGTTACCTTGGAGTTCTTGGAAACAGGGGAAAAAGAGGGTCAGCTTGAAAAATGTTGGGATTACAGACTTGGACAAGGAGAGATGGAAAACTTATGTGACGACACTTGCCAGCTGGTCTGCACATTCTTTGAAAACGTGACCTGGTATTTCCGGCGACCTTGCGAGTGTTAACCTGTTTAAAAGTTATACTCAAATTGGCCACGTGAGTGAGATCACAGTCATCCAGAACAACAGGGGCTGTCACGCAAAACTCAGTGTTGTATTCCTCAAAGCGAGCATGGAGCATGGATTTTGTTTTCTATAGTGTCCTCATGTAAATAGCCTGTTTTTTGTTTTTTTCGTATATATTTTCATATATATTTCTCAATCTCACTTTCTAACCATTAACTAAATATACTTTCCTGCAACCCGCCTCACCCAATGTGGAACGGATTCTATTATTTATTTTTATCCAGAACCTCTGGCTGAAACTAGCCAGCTAGCCAGCTAACTAGCTACTTGCTATTAGCCACCGTTAGCGGTCTTCACCATTGTCCGTGGCCGGCACTACCTACCAGCCAGCTCTAGCCTGGACAATTATCGTCCAGTCTGCACATCGCGCTTTCGAGCCAGAGCATATCGGATTTTCTGCCGGAATCACTGGACCTTAACGCTGGATCATCGCAACTAGCTAGCTGCAACCGAGTGGCTGTTGTTTTTGGCTAATCACCACTGTCCGAAGCTAGCCCCACTTAGCCTTGAGCTAGCCTCGAGCCAGGCCCATCTCCCGGCTATCTACCTCTCTGTCAACCGGACGGGACCTCCTAGTGTTGACACAGAGCCCCACCAATCCATCACGACTGGTCTGCCGACGTAATCGTCAGATGTGGTTTCAACAGGCTTCCCGTTGCGACGACCACGAAGATCCATCTGCTAGCCCCGGCCCGCTAGCACGCGCAAACAACAGCCGTGCCTCCTGCTCGCCTGTGCTTTAGCAGCCTACGATCTGCTCCCGTACATACTTAGTGCTGTTCACTGGACCTTATGATCACTCAGCTACACAGCTAATGCCTGCTGGACTGTTCCTTTACACGGTACCCCATCCTGTTTATCTGTTTAGCCTCAGCCCAAACTTTCGTCGCCATTAACAGTTGTTGTCTTAGCCCTCTCGAATAACACCTGTGATTGCGTTATGCCTCTCTCCCACGTCAATATGCCTAGCCATTTGCTGTTTGGGTTAGTTGTTATTATACAATTTCACTGTAGAGCCCGAAGTTAAGCTCAATCAGCCTCAGAGAGCTCCTTTGTCCCACCCCCCATACACACGAAGACCGGCTCAATCGGTACCTCCAGTGATGCTCTTTCTTTCATTGTTACCCAATGCTTAGGTGTTCCTCCACTGCACTCATATCCTTCCATATCCTTGTCTGTACATAATGCCCTGAATCAATTATACAACGCCCGGAAATCTGCCCCTCTTCTCTGTACCCAACGCACTAGGAGACCAGTTCTTAAAGCCTTTAGCCGTATCCTTATTATATTCCTCCTCTGTTCCTCTGGTGATGTAGAGGTTAACGCAGGCCCTGTAGACCCCAGTATCACTCCTACCCTCCAGGCACTATCATTTGTTGACTTCTGTAACCGTAAAAGCCTTGGTTTCTTGCATGTTAACATCAGAAGTCTCCTCCCCAAGTTTAAGTTATTCACTGCGTTAGCACACTCTGCCAACCCTGATGTTCTAGCAGTGTCTAAATCTTGGCTTAGGAAGGCCACCAAAAATGCAGAAATGTTCATTCTGAATTACAAAATTTTCCGTCTAGATAAAACTGCCAAAGGGGGCAGAGTTGCAATCTACTGTAGAGATAGCCTGCAGAGCTCTATCATACTATCCAGGTATGTGCCCAAACAGTTTAAGCTTCTACTTCTAAAAATCCACCTTTCCAGAAATAAGTCTCTCACTGTTTGCTACAGACCCCCCTCAGCCCCCAGTTGTGCCCTGGACACCATATGTGAATTGATTGCCCCCCATCTATCCACAGAGTTCGTACTGCTTGGTGACCTAAACTGGGATATGCTTAACACCCCGGCCGTCCTACAATCTAAACTAGATGCCCTCAATCTCACACAAATAATCAAGGAACCTACCAGGTACAACCCTAAATCCGTAAACAGGGGCACCCTCATAGATATCATCCAGACTAATTGACCCTCTAAATACACCTCCGCTGTCTTCAACCAGGATCTCAGCGATCACTGCCTCATTGCCTGCGTCCGCAATGGGTCCGCGGTCAAACGACCACCCCTCATCACTGTCAAACGCTCCCTAAAACACTTCAGCGAGCAGGCCTTTCTAATTGACCTGGCCCGGGTATCCTGGATGGATATTGACCTCATTCCGTCAGTAGAGGATGCCTGGATGTTCTTCAAAAGTGCTTTCCTCTCCATCTTAAATAAGCATGCCCCATTCAAAAAATTCAGAACTAAGAACAGATATAGCCCCTGGTTCACCCCAGACATGACTGCCCTTGACCAGCACAAAAACATCCTGTGGCGTACTGCATTAGCATCGAACAGCCCCCACGATACGCAACTTTTCAGGGAAGTTGGGAACCAATATACACAAGCAGTTAGGAAAGCAAAGGCTAGCTTTTTCAAACACAAATGTGCATCCTGTAGCACTAACTCCCAAAGGTTTTGGGACACTGTAAAGTCCATGGAGAATAAGAGCACCTCCTCCCAGCTACCCACTGCACTGAGGCTAGGAAACACCGATAAATCTACGATAATCGAGAATTTCAATAAGCATTTTGCTACGGCCACCCCTACCCCGGCCACCAGTTCTGCGCTGCAACTCGCCCATGCCCACCCCCCCCCCCCCCAACCGCTTCTCCTTCACCCAAATTCGGATAGCTGATGTCCTGAAAGAGCTGTAAAATCTGGACCCCTACAAATCAGCTGGGCTAGACAATCTGGAGCCTTTCTTTCTAAAATTAGCCGCCGAAATTGTCGCAACCCCTATTACTAGCCTGTTCAACCTCTCTTTCGTATCGTCTGAGATCCCCAGAGATTGGAAAGCTGCCGCGGTCATCCCCCTCTTCAAAGGGGGTGACACTCTAGATCCAAACTGTTACAGACCTATATCCATCCTGCCCTGCCTTTTAACAAACAGATCACCGAACATTTCGAATCCCACCGTACCTTCTCCGCTATACAATCTGGTTTCCGAGCTGGTCATGGGTGCACCTCAGCCACGCTCAAGGTCCTAAACGATATAATAACCGTGATCGATAAAAGACAGTACTGTGCAGCCATCTTCATCGACCTGGCCAAGGCTTTTGACTCTGTCAATCTCCACATTCTTATTGGCAGACTAAATAGCCTTGGTTTCTCAAATGACTGCCTTGCCTGGTTCACCAACTACTTCTCAGATAGAGTTCAATGTGTCAAATCGGAGGGCCTGTTGTCTGGACCTCTGGCAGTCTCTATGGGGGTGCCATAGGGTTCAGTTCTCGGGCCGACTCTATCCTCTGTGTATATCAATGTTGTCGCTCTTGCTGCTGGTGACTCTCAGATCCACCTCTACGCAGACGACACCATTTTGTATCCATCTAGCCCTTCATTGGACACTGTTAACAAACCTCCAAACGAGCTTCAATGCCATACAACACTCCTTCCGTGGCCTCCAACTGCTCTTAAACGCTAGTAAAACTAACTGCATGCTCTTCAATCGAACGCTGCTTTCACCCGCCCGCCCGACTAGAATCAATACTCTCGGCGGGTCTGACTTAGAATATGTGGACAACTACAAATACCTAGGTGTCTGGTTAGACCGTAAACTCTCCTTCCAGACTCACAATAAGCATCTCGGCTTCCTATTTTGCAACAAAGCCTCCTTCACTCATGCTGCTAAACATGCCCTCGTAAAACTGACTATCCTACTGATCCTTGACTTCGGCGATGTCATTTACAAAATAGCTTCCAACACTCTACTTAGCAAATTTGATGTAGTCTATCACACCAAAGCCCCATATACTACCCACCAGTGACCTGTACGCTCTCGTTGGCTGGCCCTCACTACATATTCGTTGCCAAACCTACTGGCTCCAGGTCATCTATAAATCACTTCTAGGCAAATCCCTGCCTTATCTTAGCTCACTGGTCACCATAGCAACACCCACCCGTAGTATGCGTTCCAGCAGGTATATCTCACTGGTCATGCCCAAAGCCAACACCTCCTTTGGCCGCCATTCCTTCCAGTTCTCTGCTGCAAATGACTGGAACGAACTGCAAAAATCTCTGAAGCTGGAGACACTTATCTCCTTCACTAACTTTAAGCATCAGTTGTCAGAGCAGCTTACCGATCACTGCACCTGTACACAGCCCATCTGTAATTAGCCCACCCAACTACCTCATCCACATATTGTTATTTACATTGTTATTTATTTTGCTCATTTGCACCCCAGTATCTCTATTTGCATATCATCTTCTGCACATCTATCACTCCAGTGTTACTATTAAATTGTAATTATTTTGCACTATGGCCTATTTATTGCCTTACCTCCATAACTTACTACATTTGCACACACTTTTTATAGATTTTCTATTGTGTTATTGACTGTACGTTTGTTTATTCCATCTGTAACTCTGTGTTGTTTTTTATCGCACTGCTTTGCTTTATCTTGGCCAGGTCGCAGTTGTAAATGAGAACTTGTTCTCAACTGGCTTACCTGGTTAAATAAAGGTGAAATAAAAATACAATAAAAAATAAAAAGGCATTTAGCTCATTTGGGAGTTCCGCATCACTGGGCATCTCACAGCTAGGTTTCCCTTTTTAATCTGTTACTATTTGCAAGCCCTGCCACATACAGTATGTCGAGCGTCGGAGCCGGTGTAATAGGATTCCACCTTTCTCCTATATTGTCCTTTTGCATGTTTGATGTCTCAGAGGTCGTAGTGGGTTTTCTTGTATGCGTCCATGTCGGTGTCCCTTTCGTTGTAAGCGGTAGCTATAGCCTTCAGCCCAGCGCCGATATTGCCTGTAATCCATGGTTTTTAGTTTGGATACGTTCACATAGTCACTGTGGGGGCTACGTTTTCTATGCACTTATTGATGAAAGCCTGTGACTGCTGTGGTAAACTCCTCAATGGTTTCGGATGAATCCCGGAACATATCCCAGTCTGTACTAGCAAAACAGTCTTGTAGTCTCACGCCTGCTTCATCGGACCACTTCCATGTTTGAGCGCGTCACTGGTACTTCCTGTTTGAGCTTTTATTTGTAAACAGGATAATGGAGTCTTGGTCAGATTTTCCGAAGGGAGGACGAGGGAGGGCCTTGTATGCATTTCTGTGGGTAGAATAAAAGTAGTCTACAGTTTTAGCGCTCCTAGTGGTGGAGGAGACCCTTTGGTAAAAGTCTCACCAATTGATCTGATCACTTTCTCTAAAAGAGAATATGTATAATTAAATTGAGGGTTCATATAAATTATAATAACAATAAAACATATTTGGTAGCGGTATTTATTTAATAGCCTTCCTAAAAGATGAGTATGTTGAATTGCAGGAAATTAGCTTCAAAACAAAATTTTCCTAGGTCGCTCAAATTAAACAAAATCAAGCTGGTGATGTATTTAATCAAAAAAAAGGTGAAAAGGGGGGGGGCCTGGGGGAAAAAGGTTGGGAACCCCTGCTCCACACACACTCCTGTCCTCTCCCTCACACTGGGAGATTCTCAATTGGGCAAAGGTCTGTCCACTCCTCGACTCCTCCATTCCATGACCCGGAAACCGATAAGTGGTCGCCATATGTAGGAGAGTGTCAATTCATTAATAGGCGAATGGAGGAGTTTGCTCCTCTACTCGATTGCCTCCTCCAGCAGAGGATGTTCCCATGTATCCTACCACGGAAGAGTTTTGAAATCCGCCACACTCCCTTTGAAACAACTGTTGTTTTCTCAGATGAGAAAAGCATGCACACATTAAAAAAATGATTAGCTACTTATCCTTGTATCTATACTGAACAAAAATATAAACGCAACATGCAACAAAGATTTTACTGAGTTACAGTTCATATAAGGAAATCAGTCAATTTAAATAAATAAATTAGGTCATAATCTATGGATTTCACATGACTAGGCAGGGGTGCAGCCATAGGTGGGCATAGGCCCACCCACTTGGCAGCCAGGCCCACCAACTGGGGAGCAAGGCCCAGCCAATCAGAATGAGTTTTTCCCCACAAAACGGCTTTGTTACAGAGATAAATACTCCTCAGCACCAGAAATAAGCTTTTTGTGCGTATGGAACATTTCTGGGATTATTTATTTCAGCTCACGAAACATGGGCCTAACACTTTACATTTTTGTTCAGTGTATAACATTTCTAGCACAACTAGCTACATTCTTTTTACCACTTTACACATGTATTTTGGGATTCCACCTCCGTAAACGTTATTTGCCTGATGACGTGCTAGAGAAGGAGTCTAATTTCATACAAGCGCATTTGTTTCCACGTTTCCTCTCCTTGCCTCTTCTCCTCGATTGCCTTTGACCTTTTTCAAAAAAGGCGAGCACGGAGAAGAGGATGCGAGGAGTCAAGGAAATCCAATTGAGATTATCCCACTGGCTCTGTGGAAAGATGAAAGGGAGCAGTGAAAAAGCAGAGAGGGTCGGGAGCGTGACATCAATGTTTCCAGAGAGGCTCTTCTAGGCCACCAGGCTGTGACTCTGGCCTGTGAGTTGGCACGATGGCATGATGTCCCAATCAAGCTGACGCCATTGTAAGCAGAGGCAAACAGAGCAGAGAGCCATAATGCGAACAGCCATTATGATGGAAACGGATGCTTACAGTGGCTTGTGAAAGTATTCATCCCCCTTGGCATTTTTCCTATTTTGTTGCCTTACAACGTGGAATTAAAATTGCTTTTTTGGGGAGTTTGCATCATTTGATTTGAAGATGCAAAATATGCTTTTTTTGCGAAACAAACAAGAAATAAGACAAAGAAACAGAAAACTTGAGCGTGCATAAGTATTCCCCCCCCCCCAAAGTCAATACTTTGTAGAGCCACCTTTTGCAGCTGCAAGTGTCTTGGGGTATGTTTCTATAAACTTGGCACATCTAGCCACTGGGATTTTTGCCCATTCTTCAAGGCAAAACTGCTCCAGCTCCTTCAAGTTGGATGGGTTCCGTTGGTGTACAGCAATCTTGAAGTCATACCACAGATTCTCAATTGGATTGAGGTCTGGGCTTTGACTAGGCCATTCCAAGACATTTAAATGTTTCCCCTTAAACCACTCAAGTGTTGCTTTAGAAGTATGCTTAGGGTCATTGTCCTGCTGGAAGGTGAACCTCCGTCCCAGTCTCAAATCTCTGGAAGACTGAAACAGGTTTCCCTCAAGAACTTCCCTGTATTTAGCGCCATCCCATCATTCCTTCAATTCTGACCAGTTTCCCAGTCCCTGCCGAAGAAAAACATCCCCACAGCATGATGCTGCCACCACCATGCTTCACTGTGGGGATGGTGTTCTCGGGATGATGAGAGGTGTTGGGTTTGTGCCAGACATAGCGTTTTCCTTGATGGCCAAAAAGCTCAATTTTAGTCTCATCTGACCAGAGTACCTTCTTCCATGTGTTTGGGGAGTCTCCCACATGCCTTTTGGCTTACACCAAACGTGTTTGCTTATTTTTTTCCTTAAGCAATGGCTTTTTTCTGGCCACTCTTCCGTAAAGCCCAGTTCTGTGGAGTGTACGGCTTAAAGTGGTCCTATGGACAGATACAGTTGAAGTCGGGAGTTTACATACACTTAGGTTGGAGTCATTAAAACTCGTTTTTCAACCACTCAACACATTTCTTGTTAACAAACTATCGTTTTGGCAAGTCGGTTAGGACATGTACTTTGTGCATGACACAAGTAATTTTTCCAAAAATTGTTTACAGACAGATTATTTCACTTATAATTCACTGTATCACAATTCCAGTGGGTCAGAAGTTTACATACACTAAGTTGACTGTGCCTTTAAACAGCTTGGAAAATTCCAGAAAATGTCATTTACATTTACGTCATTTAGCAGACTCTCTTATCCAGAGCGACTTACAAATTGGTGCATTCAACTTATGATAGCCAGTGGGACAACCACTTTTTTTAATGGGGGGTTGGGGAGGGGGGGGGGGGGGGGGGGGGGTAGAAGCTTTAGAAGCTTCTGATAGGCTAATTGACATAATTTAAGTCAATTGGAGGTGTACCTGTGGATGTATTTCAAGGCCTACCTTCAAACTCAGATGAAGAAACAAGATTGTAGACCTCCACAAGTCTGGTTCATCCTTGGGAGCAATTTCCAAACCCCTGAAGGTACCACCTTCATCTGTACAAACAATAGTATGCAAGTAGGAACACCATGGGACTACGCAGCCGTCATACCGCTCAGGAAGGAGACGCGTTCTGTCTCCTAGAGATGAACGTACTTTGGTGCGAAAAGTGCAAATCAATCCCAGAACAACAGCAAAGGACCTTGTGAAGATGCTGGAGGAAACAGGTACAAAAGTATCTATATCCACAGTAAAACGAGTCCTATATCGACATAACCTGAAAGGCCGCTCAGCAAGGAAGAAGCCACTGGTCCAAAACCGCCATAAAAAAGCCAGACTACGGTTTGCAACTGCACATGGGGACAAAGATCGTACTTTTTGGAGAAATGTCCTCTAGTCTGATGAAACAAAAATATAACTGTTTGGCCATAATGACCATCGTTACATTTGGAGGAAAAAGTGGGATGCTTGCAAGCCAAAGAACACCATCCCAACTGTGAAGCACGGGGGTGGCAGCATCATGCTGTGGGGGTGCTTTCACCCAAGTTAAACAATTTAAAAGGCAATGCTACCAAATACTAATTGAGTGTATGTAAACTTTTGACCCACTGGGAATGTGATGAAAGAAATAAAAGCTGAAATAAATCATTCTCTCTACTATTATTCTGACATTTCACATTCTTAAAATAAAGTGGTGATCCTAACAGACCTAAGACAGGGAATTTTTACTAGGATGAAATGTCAGGAATTGTGAAAAACTGAGATTAAATGTATTTGGCTAAGATGTATGTAAACTTCTGATGTCAACTGTACTCCAATCTCCACAGTGGAGCTTTGCAGCTCCTTCAGGGTTATCTTTGGTCTCTTTGTTGCCTCTCTGATTAATGCCCTCCTTGCCTGGTCCGTGAGTTTTGGTGGCTGGCCCTCTCTTGGCAGGTTTGTTGTGGTGCCATATTCTTTCCATAAAAAATAAAAAAATGGATTTAATGGTGCTCTGTGGAATGTTCAAAGTTTCTGATATTTTTTTATAACCCAACCCTTATCTGTACTTCTCCACAACTTGATCCCTGACCTGTTTGGAGAGCTCCTTGGTCTTCATGGTGCCGCTTGCTTGGTGGTGCCCCTTGCTTAGTGGTGTTGCAGACTCTGGGGCCTTTTAGAACAGGTGTATATATACTGAGATCATGTGACAGATCATGTGACAGTTAGATTGCACACAGGTGGACTTTAACTAATTATGTGACTTCTGAAGGTAATTGGTTGCACCAGATCTTATTTAGGGGCTTCATAGCAAATACTTTTTTGAAACAAGTTATTTTTTTAAAATTCCATTTCACCAATTTGGACTATTTAGTGTATGTCCATTACGTGGTCCTCTGTAGCTCAGCTGGTAGAGCACGGCGCTTGTAACGCCAAGGTAGTGGGTTCGATCCCCGGGACCACCCATACACAAAAAAAAAAAATGTATGCACGCATGACTGTAAGTGGCTTTGGATAAAAGCGTCTGCTAAATGGCATATTATTATATTATTATTATTATTATGAAATCCAAATAAAAATCCATTTAAATTACAGGTTGTAATGCAACAAAATAGGGAAAACGCCAAGGGGGATGAATACTTTTGCAAGGCACTGTATCTCTTTGTGGAAGCGGCTGTGTGAAGCCATCAGTGTTGGGCAGTTACTCAGTTAACCCATCAACATACTGTTTTCTAATCTTCTCTACTGTGTGCTCACCTGATGTCTAGCCATATATGTTTCTTTACCAAATAAGCTGACAAGAGTGACATATTTGATATTGGCAATGATAAGAACAACAAAATAACACTAAGCAGTAAAAGGAAACAAGCCAAGTTATAATAATTTAAGCCAGGGTATATTAGTTTTAGTAGATTACAAACACAGCAGAGCAAAGAAATGATGGGATAGACAAAGGTAACAGCAGTTCCAGTAACAATACTACATACCAACGATATCATTTATCACATCCACTCAAACTTTAAGATACGTTTGGGAGCTGCCAGCAGCCCAGCACAAGGTGCATTTGAATATTGACTACCTTGCAACTGTCACTTAACTCGGAGGATTAGTACTGGTAACCCTTAAATTGGCACTCCAGTCTCCTTTCACCTCATTTAACACCTGGTTTACTTAACAAAAGGCACATCTAAATAGGTGGTCCAGGTAAGTCATGACATAGCACAATTGGGGGGGGGGGGGCTTTCCTCTTTTGTTCTCTATTGCTCCTCTATTGTTCCTCAAGCAAGGGGGGAGGTCAATGACATCACAGATTCCCATCAGACCATATCCTCGAAGCCCTACTCCTTGAAGTTTGCAGTTGTATCTAAAAATATACTATTTTGCTCAAAACATATTTTTTTACCCTTTAGTACTGTGTTGTTTACTGTATTTATACATGGGATATCGCTTTTCAACAGTAAAAGTTTTTTTAAAATAGCTGGAGGACATCTTTAAGTTTGGGTCAGAGGAGGCACATCATGTGAACACATATGGTGGATGGGACAGACACTACTGACTCCGGCCCTGCATGCCTGCGGGCCCAGGGAGACAGGAAGATACGTTCAGGAAGTGGGGTCAAAGGCTCCTGCTGCGGCTGGTATTGTTCTGTATTTACACACTGCACTGGGCTGATGAAGTGGAGGCTATGGGCGGGCAAGCAGGCCACAGAGCGAGAGACAGAGACAGAGAGCAACAGATGGCCATAGGATTTCTCTTGCAATCTCTCAGGTCTCTGACCTCTCTATATTTCACTACTCTGCTCACAATCTCTGTCTGTTCTATCGGACCAATTCTCTTTTCTCCCTCTCAACATGACATCTTTCCCATGTCATTCCCCTCTCACATGATCTTCATGATTTAAAGGCCTAGTCCATACACCTCGAGCTATCCGTCTGTCCCTATCTATATATCAGATTTTTGACGCAGCTGAATCTGTGCCAAAGTCAACATGGCCCATTTCATGACATTGTTTGCTTTCACTTCTTGAAGACTGTCACGAACACTGCTTTTCTATAGCACTAAGAGACACACATTACTGTTTTTTTCAGAGGAGCCACAGACTAAATCCCAGTCCATGTCAATGGCACACTTAGCATTTGAAAAGGCTTGTTGGTACTCCTAAACACTCTGTTTGCAATACTAATCTACCAAATCAGAATGTCTATCCAGGATTCACACATTAGAATCCCTAGGTTTTCTGGAGAATATTATTTTGAGAGGTTCATGTGTACTGTCCACACAGCCCTGATCCACACGCAGCAGGGGTCTCGTGACTGTCCCCGTCACACGTGGGCACTTGGAGGGGAGACCACTTATCTGTTGTGTAAAGACATCACCATGGAGATGGGCCTTTCTAAAGGCAATAAATAAACAAAAAAACATGGCGCTGCTGTACGGGGGAAGGCGTGAGTCACAGCAGCCAATCACATACAGGCCGACCAGCCAGTTTAGTGGGGACTCAATGGGAGGCGGCAGGTAGCGTAGCATTTAAGAGTGGTGGACCAGTAACAGAAAGGTTGCTGGTTCAAATCTGTAAGCTGGCAAGGTTTTAAAAAATCTGCCATTCTACCCTTGAGCAACACCCCCCCCCAAAAAAAAAAAAACTGCTCCCCGGGTGCCGATGACATGGACATCTATTAAGGCAGCCCCCTGCACCTCTCTGATTCAGAGGGGTTGGGTTAAATGCGGAAGACACATTTCGCTTGAATGCATTCAGTTGTGCAAATGACTAGGTTTCCCCTTTCAACACACTATTATGTTTGGGTTGGTAGCATAAACTACAGAAGCTCCTGTTTTCATTTTCCCAACACTAATCAATTAATGGTTGTCATACATTTTCAAGGAAGAACGTGTTCGAGGAAACCACAGTCGATTGAACAAACATGCACATTTTGAGTGTTCATTAGGCTACGTGTCTCTGGACATGCTGTGTCCACCTGTCCAGCCTCCTTATGACCCATTCACTGCCACAAGGCCTGTGACAGGCCCAGGTAGAGACTTGGCTTTAATAGGTGACGAACAAGATTGTTCTGGATGAGGAGAATTAAGGTTAGCCCATGGAGAGATGCCAAGAAAAGACAGCTACCATTTCTACTGTTTTGTTACCTCACCAAGTCTGGACGTGACAACAAATGCCGCTGGCTGAATTAGGTAAAATGAACACTTTGAAGACTCACTTGCAAGGTGTGATGAGCCTGACTACTGTGAATTTGTAGTTGGTTAGACCTGTGATCACAGAAAGACCTAGGTGACAAGACACACAAGCTCCTATAAAAAGTACCTCTGCCAACTGCTCTGCCTACTGGCCACAATCACACATCTTTGCCATAATGTACCTGCCAAAATATAATGATTGAAGAGATATGAAAATAATACCTCAAAGCATGGTTGACACTAGCATGTCTGCTATGTACACTTGCATGAGATGGGACATAAAATGTTGTTTAAACATTATTAGTATTGATGGAGACAGGCCTGAAAGACTTGACACTCAACACCTGCCTGTTTTTTATTCTGTCAAAAAGAGAAAGAGTGGCCATAAATTCTGAAATTACGCAAGAACCAAAAGAATATGAGCCAGAGGTATTGATGACAGAGCGGGAGCTAATGGGGCGGCAGGTAGCTTAGTGGGTAAGAGCGTTGTGCCAGTAACCGAAAGGTCGCTGGTTCTAATCCCCGAGCCGACTAGGTGAAAAATCTGTCGATGTGCCCTTGAGCAAGGCACTTAACCCTAATTGCTCCTGTAAGTCGCTCTGGATAAGAGCGTCTGCTAAATGACAAAAAAAATAAAAAAAATAATAATAAAACTAAAAATCAGATGCTAGTCATTACTTTTCAATTTCATTAATAAATACATGTGGGTATTATTTTGTTACATTTGAGTATTTTTCCCAAACTGAAAAGCTAGGGAGAAAACCGGGACAAGCTCAAAAGTCACACTTTTCTAACATTATAAATAATTGAGAGAACTCAGTCAAGCAACATTGAATTTTTTGCATCTATTCCTTGATGGTATTTTGTGCATCATTTCAGTGACTGTAATTAAATCATCAATTGAACAAGGAGTCACTGTACAAGCATAAATAGGGCCAGAATCAAGCACCCTCAGAAAGGGAATTGAACAACAAACTGTACAAAATCTTATTTCTTATTTCTTTATTTTTTATCATGTGCTTTTGTTCTACCTTATGTTTTTAGTAAGCATTGATAACTGCATTGTTGGGTTTAGAGCTTGCAAGAAAGGCATTTCACTGTACTTATGCACATGACATTAAAACTTGAAATTTGAAATGGGCAGCCAGTTTAGCCCCGACAAAAACGCCAGTCAACCTTTAATGAATTATGACTGTATACTTCCCATATCTACGAGCAAAAATGTGGTTTTGGCTAAGCTGACACTTATTTGACTCCAGACAGCATTATTAGAACAATTATAACAGGTGTTTTACCTGATATGTAGTAGGCCTATACTGTCTTAAAGTGTCCACTGTTTCCAGATTTCTATGAAATATGACCTATAATTAATTACAATGAGTGAAATAGTTTCCCTTCCAAACGTTTTTAATTAAATTGTTAAAAAGCAGCTTTTCTGTGTTGAAATGGGGTGGGCGTACCCCAACAACAGAATGGTGTGGGCGTATACTGGTCATTAAAAATATTCATGCTAGTAGACCGCTGATTGGCAAGCTCATCCTCCTCAAAAGGATGACATCATAATCTATGAGGCAATAGCAAGCATTTCTGAAAGGTCTGTTTAAGATACAAGTTTGAGGTGGGGATTTTGAAGTTTTTTTTCTCCAATTTATGCTTTGGCCACAAATATGAGTACAGGATGAGTCAACAACATTATTTGGGTATGAGTTAACAGAATATGAACTTTTAAAAGTTAGATTTTCAATGGACAGTTACTTTAAGACAGTTTAGGATCTTAAACAGAGACACTACCAAACAAGTCTAGTGTCTAGTAAATTAGATGTTTAGAGGAAATGATGGACATGGTGATCTAAGACATCCACAATCTAAAGATAAAAGGCTGTCTAGTGTCTAGAATCACACACACACACCTCATTTAGGTGGCATTGGTTTACATTATATTAAAATCAAACAAGTTGTAAATATACTTTTGATATCTCATTACAACTATAACACCTGCTAAAAATATTTATCTAGTGAAACTGCTTTTTACTACATATTTCAATGTAGTAATTTGGAAACTTTCATGTCAAACTGACAAATGTTGAGTCATAGCTGACAGAGAAGAAACACTGGAAAACAGCTGTGAATGGTGACGGCTCCCATCTCAAAATTACGTAATGTAGACACGCAGTCTCCAAATCCAAATGTTCAAATAGAATAGCCAAAATACACTATTTTATTATAATATCTGAGCTTTATGAGTTTCTCCTTCCGATCTGTATAAGGGAGACAAAAACGAAAATAACTCGGCTTCAACAAGGAAAAAAACTAAAACAACCAATCGCAAAAGTTCAATCCATCCAGTTTGGTCCATACTGCTGTCAAACCCGTTACATAAAATGTTTGCTGGGATTCACACTCTACTTCACTTGAAACAATTGTATTGCTTTCGCTTTATGAAGTCAATATCAATGAAAAATGTATTAAAGAAAAATGTAATAACTCACCTCTTACACAAAGTAGAGACATGGCAAGAGTTTTTCTCTTGACAATCCCTCTAGTTCAAAAATGTACCTAACGTCTCAGCAAAAATGCGCTCCGCACGGTAACATTGCAAACACTGTCTCCAATCACTTTTTAAGGTCTTCGCAGAATTTCCAGAATTAGAGGTGGGCTTGAGATGCTGGAAATGGCAACGTAAAGGTTCGGCAGAGAGCAATAGCCCCCCAGCAAACGCACGCCATGACAAAATTCATTAGACTAACCTGAGGGCACCGCGATAAGAGGGCGGTGCCGAAATACTCTGTAATGACATCTAGCCCATCCATTGAGGGAGCATAATCTCTGAAAAGGGCGGACCATACATAAGGTTCTGACCAATCAATGAAGAGATACTGAAAACCACAGTTGAGGGAACAGGTGGTGACGCAGACTTGTCCCTCCTAGATAGTGGCCTGCTCTGTAGTTATTTTTTGGGGTAATTTTAGCAGACGCTCTTGTCTAGAGAGCAATTAGGGTTAAGTGCCTTGCTCAAAGCCTGGTCTCGGCTCCAGGCCGTTGGTGAAGTTCATCAGAAACTTCCTTCACCATGGAGTGGAGTTTTTGTCCGCTACATTGTCAGTTGGTCTTCTTTGGTAATCAGCATTTATAATCAGATTCAGATCCCTTGTAACTTTTTATATTGTTTCCTTGGAATTACAACATGTTGCCATGACATACAAAGCTTTCACATGTATGAATAGCCTATCACATAATTTTCCCTTGCAAATTCAATCAATAATATTACTATTTCATAAAATAGGCTGTCTACAATCAGCCCAATTCTGATATTTTTTCTACTTGTTGGTCTTTTGACCAATCACATCAGATCTTTTCACATCAGATCTTTTTCAGAATTGGGCTGCCTGTGTAAACGCAGCCTTACTGGTAGTTGAAAAAAGTTATTCATGCTTTATTTTTTCCAGACATTTGTTTTTCTATAGAGACACAAATGGATTGAAACAGCACCATTTCTGTTATTCAGTGAAATGTGTTGAGCCAGCATATGATAGACAACAACCATGCTTAAAGAATAATTAACTATAAATTACTAAGGATTGGAGTAATTTTGATTATGAATAAAACAATCATCACAAAACTGCTTTGTTGGCAATGGTGTCACATGAGTAAATTCTACATTATCATTAATACATTTTGTTAGACCTTTATTGTCCATTGACATGGAAATGATAAACTATTATATACTGAACAAAAATATAAATGCAACATGCAACAATTTCAATGATTTTACTAAGTTACAATTCATATAAGGAAATCAGTCAATTGAAATAATTTAATTAGGCCCTAATCTATGGATTTCACGACTGGGCAGGGGCTCAGCCATGGGTTGCCCTGGGAGGGCATAGGCCCACCCACTTGGGAGCCAGGCCCAGCCAATCAGAATGAGTTTTTCCCCACAAAAGGGCTTTATTACAGACAGAAATACTCCTCAGTTTCATCAGCTGTCCGGGTGGCTAGTCTCAGACGATCCCGCAGGTGAATATAATAATAATATGCCATTTAGCAGACGCTTTTATCCAAAGCGACTTACAGTCATGTGTGCATACATTTTTATGTATGGGTGGTCCCGGGGATCGAACCCACTACCCTGGCGTTACAAGCGCCAAGCTCTAACCAATTGAGCTACAGAGGACCACGGTGGTCCTCTGTAGCTCAGCTGGTAGAGCACAGCGCTTGTAACGCCAAGGTAGTGGGTTCGATCCCCGGGACCACCCATACACAAAAAAATAAAAATGTATGCACGCATGACTGTAAGTCGCTTTGGATAAAAGCGTCTGCTAAATGGCATATTATTATTATTATATTATTAAGAAGCCGTATGTGGAGGTCCTGGGCTGGCGTGTTTACACGTGGTCTGCGGTTGTGAGGACAGTTGGACGTACTGCCAAATTCTCTAAAACAACGTTGGAGGTGGCTTATGGTAGAGAAATTAACATGAACTTATCTGGCAACAGCTCTGGTAGATATTCCTGCAGTCAGCATGCTAATTGCACGCTCCCTCAAAACTTGAGACATCTGTGGCATTGTGTTGTGACAAAACTGCACACTTTAGAGTGGAATTGTATTAGGGACCTGTGTAATGAGCATGCTGTTTAATCAGCTTCTTGATATGCCACACCTGTCAGGTGGATGGAGTATCTTGGCAAAGGAGAAATGCTCACTAACAGGGATTTAAACAAATTTGTGCACAAAAATTGACATGCTTTTTGTGTATGGAACATTTCTGGGATCTTTTATTTCAGCTCATGAAACATTGGACCAACACGTTGTGTTTATATTTTTGTTCAGTATATTTTACCTTTACATTAAAATAGATGATTTACATCTCTAGGTGGCCAATACCTTTTCATTGTCGAGTCTGAATGATGTCATTATACCTAATGCAACCATTAGGATCACCTACAGCTTTGGTTGGGGTGGTTCATTTAATTGGTGATATTGTAGCAGCTTTGGTGGAACAGCAAGAGTGGGGGCTAGTTCGACATTGCAGGCAACTGCCGACTGTCTGATCTACAAATCACCTTGCATCATAAATAACTACTCATTATTATTTGTAGATCAGTCAGTCACTATTTACCCACAATGCTTTCAAACACAGCCTGGGACATGAACCCATACCCAGCATTCTGGACTAGTCCCTAATAGATTTTCCCAGTCATGGTGGCACCAGAAATGGTTTAGAAAAGTGGCTTTGCTGGGACTAGTAGACAAAATATCCCTAAATAACTCAACAGCCCCTCCCTGAGGCATCTATGTGTAACATGCATACTGTGGTGGAAATCGTGATATCAAAGGAGAAAAATCCTCAGAAAATGGCACATTTGGAGAAATTTTACTGAGATCATTTTAATTTTCAGAGTGTATGACTTTTGTATGTATATTTACTGTAATGACAAATATGGAAAAACTAAAAATATGAAATCCCTGCTGTGTACACTTACAAATCATTCAAACCAATCATTTCCCAAGATGTATTGTGATGAGGTGTGTTACAATCTTCCCTAAAGCCAGTCAAAAATCATTTAATAGTGACAGCATCCTCATGAACATGGAAGGCCATTATTGGTCTATTGGTCAGGATAGTGTATTGTCATTGTATAGATACATTTCCTATGTTGTGTCAAACCTTCCTGAAACAGAGGACATTTCCGATCTGGTATTGATGTGAAATAAAACGTTGCATTTCCATAATGTATTTTGATCTGAGGTAATTTTCTTACAAGTACTTTTGGTGACAACTTTACTTAGTTCAGACAGTTTCAACCCACCTACCCCAACCCCAAAAAATGTCCAGGGACTAAAATAATGTAGATAAATAGAATCTACACAAATTGAAAGTATTACAGGGGAGACTGCATTCTAACATCTATTCATATCTGATCTTGTTCCCTTTTCTGCTTGCTCTGAAGCTGGGAGGCTCTTAATGTCAGGGCACAAGCTCTCACATGAACTAAAACATTCATGACACTATGAAATGAAAACATATGAAGGACAAATAGTTGGACATGTAAAAGACAGGAGATTATCATTGCAACAGTACATCACTTAAAGAGATCATATCCTATCCTATTACTCAGGAGCATGAAGGAGGTAATTCAGAACGCTCTAAACCAGGCTAGTAGTTTACCAACCATCGCAGTCTTTTGATATTTTGATGCAAGAGAAGAGTATCAATACGACAGCTCGTGGATTTACAATTGGAACATGTGTATGTATGCATGTATGTACTGTGTGCAATAACAATCAATCAAAATAAAACAATGTGTAAGTGACATGTACCCTCCCAAATGGGTTGATGTTTCCAGGCTTTTAAGCATTCCCAAAGTCTTTACGTTCTTATCCTGTCCTTCTGTTTCTATGTCCTGCAGCAGATAGCGTGTCCTTTGGGCCAGACAGTAGAGGTGCTGAACAGGCAATAATGCCATGGAGCCTCGTGGTTGTCTGGCACTGCTTCTGGTTCTGTGTTTGACTCCACTCTGAGTGGTCTTGAAATCCTTCACTACTGGGCTGGTGGCGCAGGCTCCTCACTCTTCTCCATCGCCCACTCTGGGGTCACTGGGATCACACGTTCTATATTTTTTGAGCTCTGCTTGGCCAGGCTGCCATAAATAGCCATAGCCTAAAGAGAAGGGAAAGATAGATACTGTTACTGTTCTGAAATAAGAAGAGAGAGACAGGAGTGTGTTGAAAGGGAGGGACAGGGAAGATGGCCTGAGCAATCACACGTAATTAAATAGCTAAAGAAACAGAGACAGACCTGTGTGACCATGCCACTGATGTCACCAGAGTTGGAGGACAGCAGGATGGTGTTGGACTCTTTGGCCAGCTTAGAGAAAGCTGAGATGTACTGCTCAGCCACACTGAGTGAAGCTGCCGCGTTTCCATTCTGTCCAAAACACAATGACAGTTGTGTCATGTGCCATCTAGACACAATACATCAACATGTCCACACTTACATGCACATGATGAAGCCATCACAGCTACTTTACCTGCTCAGCTAGAGCCTCTGACAACAGCCGGATAGCCTTAGCCTTGGCCTCTGCTTTGGCTAAGACAGCATTGGCCTCACCTAGGTGAAGATAAAGATAAGAGTCCTTCATCAGAAATGGTGACAGAGACTAGTGTCCTGTCCAGGGGGTGTACTTGTACATCAAGCTTCCTCACGTTATATAAACATTTTACATTGTGGTAATTTACCCGGAGCAACTTACAGTCAGTGCATTCAACTAAGTTAGATAAAGCAAACAGGAGCCGTTCTGGCTCAGACAGGGTTTAGTTGTCCGTCTTTACAACAGAAACAATGGTCCAACTTCCACACCATCATCAGTAGTTAACAAAGACCTTAAGTCATATAGATATGTGTATCAGCCTACCAGCTGCACTGTTGATCTGTTCTGCTTTCTGTCCTTCCGAGGCCAGGATCTGAGCTTGCTTGCGACCCTCAGCAACATTGATGGCTGCTTCCTTGTGCCCTTCCGACTCCAGCACAGTGGCTCTCTTCTTACGCTCTGCCTCCACCTACACAATGAAAGGCAGTCAGAAAGAGTGTACAGATGTTCTATTTTAATTTGACCAGTTTCTCACGGCAGGAAAATAATCCTGCAGCAACAGGACATTTGAATTATTATGTGGACTTTAATTAATGGACATTTTTGTAGGGGTTGATATTTTTTCGTTAGGACAAATCAAGTCTGAAATTTAAAAGTTAAAAATTAAACGTTAAAATACTTTTTAAAGACGTCCTTCAGCGAATTTGTTTTACTTTTGCTGTTGAAAAGCGATATCCCAAGCATAAATCCAGTAAAGTACACACACTAAAGGGTAAAAAAAATAGTGTTCTATATTGCTCCTCTATTGTTCCTCAAGCAAGGGGGGAGGCCGATAACATCATGAATCCCCATCTGACCAACTCCTTGAATGCCCTACTTCTTGAAGTTTGCAGTTGTCTATGTCATGATTTACCTGGACCACCTATTGAGATGTGATACATTTATCAGGTGATAACTGAGCTGAAAAGGAGACTGGAGTAGGACTTCAAAATACACTACAAGATTGCATTTCAGGAAAATGTTCTGCGACAACAGTGTGTTCAAATTAAGATAGTACAACTGTACACATACAAAACTCATAGGCTAAGTCCTAATCATGTGCAATTTATCACTCATCTATAGATCTTGTTCAGCGATAGTTTCAGGTTCAAGATCTGTCTCCCAGTTTGTTGGCAGCAGGGCCAGCCCCTCTCACCTGCATCTGCATGGACTCTTTGACACGAGGTGGAACATGTATATCCTTGATTTCATAACGAAGGCAACGGATTCCCCAATCATCTGATGCCTGGTTTATGGAGTGGACTATGTTGGTATTTAGGGTCTCTCTTTCCTGGAGAAAGAAATATATAAAACAATAAGGAAATGAGGTAAATAAATAAAAGTTCACATTGAAACACAATTTTGAGTCTCACCCTGAATACTTTGTCCAGGGTCAGTTTTCCTAGTTCTGAGCGCATGGTGGTCTGAGCAAGTTGGGTGACAGCATACTCTGGGTTCTCAACTCCATAGCTAGCCTGGAAGGAAGTACATCTTGTTATCAACATCTAAAAACAAAGCAAAAACTTTCAATGAACAATAACATCAAGAAATCATGGTTTTCACCAACCTACCTTAAAAGGATCCAATATCCTAAGATAGAGTACTCCATCTATCTGTAGCGTCACATTATCTGTGGATGTAATCAGACAACAGTTAATCCAGAGCCGAGGACTGACTGTCTGACAGTGAAAATGATGAGGACCGACTTGCATTGAAAATGACAGTGACAAACACAGTGATGTCACTCACCTAAAGAGACCGCAGACTGCTCTGGGACATCAATAACAATCTCTTTAAGACTTTGAACATAACGAATTTTGTCCAGGATTGGGATAAGGAAATTCAAGCCCTGTGAATATCCAGAAGAAGGAAAGACACAAAAATTATCCATTTACTATATATTCAGTATTTATACTGTGATATACTGTGACAATATAATTAAGGGTGCAGATCACTGTCTAATTGCAGTTAAGTTACCGGCTCCAAGATGTGATGGAAGCGGCCCATCCTTTCCACAACCCAGGATTCTTGTTGTGGTACAAACAGAACCACAGTGTTCATGGGCAGACTGGACGCCCATCGCTGCTGGGCTTGTGTCGCCCACAACGCTGGCACTGTGGGCACTGTCCTCTGGGAATGCTAGAGGGAAACAATAACAAACACCATCAGAGTGTACATGACACATTGTTGCATCATGATCTGAAGGTTACTCCATGAGAGTTGGAACTTGAAACGCAACATAACGAGAGCATGAAACTTCAGTGATTAGCTATGACCCTAACTATGATAGAAATTAGATATCTAAATAGCTATTGATTGCTTGCTTGTTATTCACCAGTAGTTTCTACCATAGCTAGCTAGCTAGCTAGCTAGCTAGCTAGCTAGCTAGCTACTATCTACTGGTACTCTTTCCGGTTTCAATGCTAGCTAAACATGATGGATACGAGTTGAATACCCGGGACACGTTCAGCAGGACGCAACGTTTTGGAACGTTCAGATACAAATATGCTATGTAGAACAAACATGCCTCTCTGACATGTTGAATAAGGAATAACGTCAGCTCTATTAATGGAACTTCTATTTGCAACGTTAGAGAATGTTTTCCAACTGAACGTGGCCCAGGTCACTGGTAATAGAATAACAAAAAAGAGCACCATTGTAATCTTAAGGGAATTATCAACTGGCCAAGAACATAGCTAGCTAACACCTCTGTGGACATCAGTGAACACATTACATGATGCTAGCTAGCCCTTGATCATGACTCAGTTCCATTACGACAGTGGGAGGCCTGATCGCCGACAACGATGAGACAGCCTACAAGGAGGAGATCAGAGACCTGGCAGTGTGGTGCCAAGACAACAACCTCTCCCTCAGCAAGACAAAGGAGCTGATCGTGGACTACAGGAAACAGAGGGATGAGCACGCCCCCATCCACATCGACTGGGCTGTAGTGCAGCAGGTCGAGAGCTTCAAGTTCCTCAGTGTCCACATAACTAAGGAATTATCATGGTTCACACACACTAACACAGTTGTGAAGAGGCCACGACAATGGCATGGGCCCTCAGATGCTCAACAAATTCTATAGCTGCACCACTGAGAGCATTTTGACTGGCTGCATCACCGCATGGTATGGCAACTGCTTGACAGCCACCGCAAGGCGCTACAGAGGGTAGTGCATACGGCCCAGTACATCCCTGGGGCCGAGCTCCCTGCCATCCAGGACCTCTATACCAGGCGGTGACAGAGGAAGGACCTAAAATTGTCAAACACTCCAGTCATTGACTGTTCTCTATGCTACCGAACAGAAAGTCGTACCGATGCACCAAGTGTGGAACCAACCGGACCCTAAACAGCTTCTACCCCCAAAGCCATAAGTATTTGACATTTTTTCATAAGATTGTTAAATAGTTAGTCTGGGTAGCTATTGGTTAACTATCTGCTTTGATCCCTTTTCCACTAAAAGCCCATTTATGCTTAATCCGAAGATGTGGTAGGAGGCTCCATATGGAGGGTGTGACGCAATTACGGAGCCTCCAGAGTCATGCAGAGGCCAAATTGAGCTCCTTACCGCAATGCGAAGCGCCTCCCAAATGTTGTAACAATGTGGAGGGCTCCATATACAGTTGAAGTCGGAAGTTTACATACACTTAGGTTGGAGTCATTAAATCTGGTTTTTCAACCACTCCGCAAATTTCTTGTTAACAAACTATAGTTTTGGCAAGTCGGTTAGGACATCTACTTTGTGCATGGCAAGTAATTTTTCCAACAACTGTTTACAGACAGATTATTGAACTTATAATTCACTGTATCACAATTCCAGTGGGTCAGAAGTTTACATACACTAAGTTTACTATGCCTTTAAACAGCTTGGAAAATTCCAGAAAATGATGTCATGGCTTTAGAAGCTTCTGATAGGCTAATTGACATCATTTGAGTCAATTGGAGGTGTACCTGTGGATGTATTTCAAGGCCTACCTTCAAACTCAGTGCCTCTTTGCTTGACATCATGGGAAAGTCAAAAAAAATCAGCCAAGACTTCAGGGGAAAAAAATTTGACCTCCACAAGTCTGGTTCATCCTTGGGAGCAATTTCCGAATGCCTGAAGGTACCACGTTCATCTGAACAAACAATAGTACGCAAGTATAAACACCATGGGACCACGCAGCCGTCATCAGTCCCTACACCCAAACGAGGGCATTGCGTTCTTCCACCTCTGGCCTGCTGGTCCCCCTACCTCTGCGGAAGCACAGTTCCCGCTCAGCCCAGTCAAAACTGTTCGCTGCTCTGGCACCCCAATGGTGGAACAAGCTCCCTCACGACGCCAGGACAGCGGAGTCACTGACCAACTTCCGGAGACACTTGAAACCCTACCTCTTTAAGGAATACCTGGGATAGTATAAAAGTAATCCTTCTACCACCCCCTACCCCACCCCCACAAAAAATAAAATAATAATAATAATAATAATAAAACAAAAATACGAGGATAAAATAATACATATTTTACAAAAAATAAAAAGACAAAAAAATTAGGGAAAAATTATTAAAAAATACAACAAATATATATATACAAAACAAAAGAAAATTAAAAATATACTCTAAAAATTAAGATTAAAAAATGTATAATATTTTTTTGTTTTAATTTGTAAAGTGGATGTCCCACTGGCTATCATAAGGTGAATGCAACAATTTGTAAGTCGCTCTGGATAAGAGCGTCTGCTAAATGACGTAAAAGTAAAATGTAATACCGCTCAGGAGGGAGACGTGTTCTGTCTCCTAGAGATTAACGTACTTTGGTGTGAAAAGTGCAAATCAATCCCAGAACAACAGCAAAGGACCTTGTGAAGATGCTGGAGGAAACCGGTACAAAAGTATCTATATCCATAGTAAAACGAGTCCTATATCGACATAACCTGAAAGGTTGCTCAGCAAGGAAGAAGCCACTGCTCCAAAACTACCATAAAAAAGCCAGACCACGGTTTGCAACTGCACATGGGGACAAAGACCGTACTTTTTGGAGAAATGTCCTCTGGTCGGATGAAACAAAAATAGAACTGTTTGGCCATAATGACCATCGTTATGTTTGGAGGAAAAAGGGGGTGCCTTGCGAGCCGAAGAACACCATCCCAACCGTGAAGCACGGGGGTGGCAGCATCATGCTGTGGGGGTGCTTTGCTGCAGGAGGGACTGGTGCATTTCACAAAATAGATGGCATCATGAGGAAGGAAAATTATGTGGATATATTGCAGCAACATCTCAAGACATCAGTCAGGAAGTTAAAGCTTGGTCGCAAATGGCTCTTCCAAATGGACAATGACCCCAAGCATACTTCCAAAGTTGTGGCAAAATGGCTTAAGGACAACAAAGTCAAGATATTGGAGTGGCCATCACAAAGCCCTGACCTCAATCCTATAGAACATTTGTCGGCAGAACTGAAAAAGCGTGTGCGAGCAAGGAGGCCTACAAACCTGACTCAGTTACACCAGCTCTGTCAGGAGGAATGGGCCAAAATTCACCCAACTTATTGTGGAAAGCTTGTGGAAGGCTACCCGACACGTTTGACCCAAGTTAAACAATTTAAAGGCAATGCTACCAAATACTAATTGAGTGTATGTAAACTTCTGACCCACTGGGAATGTGATGAAAGAAATAAAAGCTGAAATAAATAATTCTCTCTACTATTATTCTGACATTTAACATTCTTAAAATAAAGTGGTGATCCTAACTGACCTAAGACAGGGAATTTTTACGAAGATTAAATGTCAGGAATTGTGAAAAACTGAGTTTAGTCAGCCACCAATTGTGCAAGTTCTCCCACTTAAAAAGATGAGAGGCCTGTAATTTTCATCATAGGTACACGTCAACTATGACAGACAAAATGAGGAAAAAAATTCCAGAAAATCACATTGTAGGATTTTTTATGACTTTATTTGCAAATAATGGTGGAAAATAAGTATTTGGTCAATCACAAAAGTTTTTCAATACTTTGTTATATACCCTTTGTTGGCAATGGCACAGGTCAAACGTTTTCTGTAAGTCTTCACAAGGTTTTCACACACTGTTGCTGGTATTTTGGCCCATTCCTCCATGCAGATCTCCTCTAGAGCAGTGATGTTTTGGGGCTGTCTCTGGGCAACACGGACTTTCAACTCCCTCCAAAGATTTTCTATGGGGTTGAGATCTGGAGACTGGCTAGGCCACTCCAGGACCTTGAAATGCTTCTTACGAAGCCACTCCTTCATTGCCCGGGCGGTGTGTTTGTGATCATTGTCATGCTGAAAGACCCAGCCACGTTTCATCTTCAATGCCCTTGCTGATGGAAGGAGGTTTTCACTCCAAATCTCACGATACATGGCCCCATTCATTCTTTCCTTTACACGGATCAGTCGTCCTGGTCCCTTTGCAGAAAAACAGCCCCAAAGCATGATGTTTCCACCCCCATGCTTCGCAGTAGGTATGGTGTTCTTTGGATGCAACTCAGCATTCTTTGTCCTCCAAACACGACGAGTTGAGTTTTCACCAAAAAGTTCTATTTTGGTTTCATCTGACCATATGAAATTCTCCCAATCTCTTCTGGATCATCCAAATTCACTCTAGCAAACTTCAGACGGGCCTGGACATGTACTGGCTTAAGCAGGGGGACACGTCTGGCACTGCAGGATTTGAATCCCTGGCGGCGTAGTGTGTTACTGATGGTAGGCTTTGTTACTTTGGTCCCAGCTCTCTGCAGGTCATTCACTAGGTCCCCCCGTGTGGTTCTGGGATTTTTGCTCACCGTTCTTGTGATCCTTTTGACCCCACGGGGTGAGATCTTGCGTGGAGCCCCAGATCGAGGGAGATTATCAGTGGTCTTGTATGTCTTCCATTTCCTAATAATTGCTCCCACAGTTGATTTCTTCAAACCAAGCTGCTTACCTATTGCAGATTCAGTCTTCCCAGCCTGGTGCAGGTCTACAATTTTGTTTCTGGTGTCCTTTGACAGCTCTTTGGTCTTGGCCATAGTGGAGTTTGGAGTGTGACTGTTTGAGGTTGTGGACAGGTGTCTTTTATACTGATAACAAGTTCAAACAGGTGCCATTAATACAGGTAACGAGTGGAGGACAGAGGAGCCTCTTAAAGAAGAAGTTACAGGTCTGTGAGAGCCAGAAATCTTGCTTGTTTGTAGGTGACCAAATACTTATTTTCCACCATAATTTGCTAATAAATTCATTAAAAATCCTACAATGTGATTTTCTGGAGAAAAAAAATCTCAATTTGTCTGTCATAGTTTACGTGTACCTATGATGAAAATTACAGGCCTCTCTCATCTTTTTAAGTGGGAGAACTTGCACAATTGGTGGCTGACTAAATACTTTTTTTCCCCACTGTATTTGGCTAAGGTGTATGTAAACTTCTGACTTCAACTGTAGCTCCGCATTGACATGATTGGTTGACAGTAGGTGGAGGTGTCACCCCCTCTTCAAAGGGGGTGACACTCTAGATCCTAACTGTTATAGACCTATATCCATCCTGCCCTGCCTTTCGAAAGTATTTGAAAGCCAAGTTAAACAGATCACCGACCATTTCGAATCCCACCGTACCTTCTCCGCTATGCAATCCGGTTTCCGAGCTGGTCATGGGTGCACCTCAGCCACGCACAAGGTCCTAAACGATATTATAAACGGGATCGATAAAAGACAGTACTGCGCAGCCGTCTTCATCGACCTGGCCAAGGCTTTCGACTCTGTCAACCACCGCATTCTTATTGGCAGACTAAATAGCCTTGGTTTCTCTAATGATTGCCTCGCCTGGTTCACCAACTACTTCTCAGAGTTCAATGTGTCAAATCGGAGGGCCTGTTGTCTGGACCTCTGGCCGTCTCTATGGGCGTGCCACAGGGTTCAATTCTCGGGCCGACTCTATTCTCCGTGTATATCAATGATGTCGCTCTTGCTGCTGGTGACGCTCGGATCCACCTCTATGCGGACGACATCATTTTGTATACATCTGGCCCTTCATTGGACACTGTGTTAACAAACCTCCAAATGAGCTTCAATGCCATACAACACTCCTTCCGTAGCCTCCAACTGCTCTTAAACACTAGTAAAACTAAATGCATGCTCTTCAACCATGCTGCTTGCACCCGCCCCCCGACTAGAATCACTACTCTCGGTGGGTCTAACCTAGAGTATGTGGACAACTACAAATACCTAGGTGTCTGGTTAGACTGCAAACTCTCCTTCCAGACTCACATTAAGCATCTCCAATCCAAAGTTAAATCTAGAATCGGCTTCCTATTTCTCAACAAAGTCTCCTTCACTCATGCTGCCAAACATGCCCTCGTAAAACTGACTATCCTACTGATCGTTGACTTCGGCGATGTCATTTACAAAATAGCCTCCAACACCCTACTCAGCAAATTGGATGTAGTCTATCACAGTGCGATCCGTTTTGTCACCAAAGCCCCATATACTACCCACCATTGTGACCTGTACGCTCTTGTTGGCTGGCCCTCACTACATATTCGTCGCCAAACCCACTGGCTCCAGGTCATCTATAAATCACTGCTAGGCAAATCCCCGTCTTATCTTAGCTCACTGGTCACCATAGCAACACCCACCCGTAGTCTGCGCTCCAGCAGGTATATCTCACTGGGCATCCCCAAAGCCAACACCTCCTTTGGCCACCATTTCTTCCAGTTCTCTGCTGCCAATGACTGGAACGAACTGCAAAAATCTCTGAAGCTGGAGACTTATCTCCCTCACTAACTTTAAGCATCAGTTGTCAGAGCAGCTTACCGATCACTGCACCTGTACACAGCCTTTCTGAAATTAGCCCACCCAACTACCTCATCCCCATATTGTTATTTATTTTGCTAATTTGCACCCCAGTATCTCTATTTGTACATCATCTTTTGCACATCTATCATTCCAGTATTATACGAAATTGTAACTATTTTGCACTATGGCCTATTTATTACCTTACCTCCATAACTTACTACATTCGCACACACTGTACATATATTTTCTGTTGTATTTTTGACTTTGTTTACCCCATATGTAACTCTGTGTTGTTGTTTTTATCGCACTGCTTTGCTTTATCTTGGCCAGGTTGCAGTTGTAAATGAGAACTTGTTCTCAATTGGCTTACCTGGTTAAATAAAGGTGAAATAAAAAAATTAACAAACTCACTTCCTGCTCAACAGCTCTGCTTAACAGCTCTGCACTGCTCCGTGAAACGCAAGAAGTATGAATGTCCTGACTTCTGCAGACGCCGTATCACTGTAAATGCTGCAGGCCAATGCAGACGTTGGATTGTCCATGCAGCGCCTTTCATATCAGCGATAAATAATTATCAAAAAACAAATGATTAAATTGATACACACCTTGATAGGGTTAGGGTTCCCACACTGCCATATTACAGCACCTCTTTATGGAAAACCGACAGAAAACAGAGTGGACTACCTGTGTTACTTGTCGATCTGAGTCTCCCAACACCGGTGTGTAAACTGAAGACGGACGCCACAAATGTGTTGTCACTGAAAAATACTGTTGGCTGCAATTGTGTTAAAACTGGTTAAAACAGTGTACAGCAGTGGCGGTCGGTGCCTTTTAAGATGAGGGAGGACAATTATTTCTTTTTATGAGCATGGCCTTATTTATATTACAGCATATTGGATGACTGTCATTCATATTCCATTTACCCAGCTCAATGTAACATTGATAGGTATTCAGGTATGTGTATCCCTGTTTCCTTCCGTTTAAGAAACGTTTTTCAACAGAATCGGCGGAATATATACACCCCTGATCACACGCAAACAGTTAACTTTCATTGCCAGAAACAAACGGCTCGTTGTATTCCTCACATCTACGCACTCTCCTCCTCTCACCTTTTCGCTTCGCTTGTGGATTTCGATGCACAACACATCAGCTGTCTGTGACCAGGCGAAAAACCTTGCCAAGCCAAACCTTCATATCATAACCGATACTCACGTCCTACATCGTTGTCATCATATTAGATAAAGTAACGTCATAGCTACTAGAACCCACTACAATCATGCAGAACAGTGTACAGTCAGTAAGCAGTTCAGTAGTTACACCGGTGGGCCCTGGTGGAAATAAATTAGTAAAACCAAAAGCTTAACTTGACTTGGAAGTGTTCCAGTGTTGGATAGTCATAGCCAGCTAGCTAGGATAGTCATAGCCAGCTCGCTAACATAGCATCCCTCTCTTTGAGCAGGGTGTTTGAGTAGGCTAAACTAGCTAGCTGCTTATGCTAGCTAAGTGAGTGAACGTTTTTTAAATTTAATATTATGAAATATAGCTCTCTCTCGTTCCGCTCTTGCTCCTCCTTCATTTTTGAAGAAACGTATTTGTTCAAAACTGTTGTCTTTCTCTCTCCGAGTCAACTACTCACCACATTTTATGCATGGCAGTGCTAGCTAGGTGTAGCTTATGCTTTCAGTACTAGATTCATTCTCTGATCCTTTGATTGGGTGGACAACATGTCAGTTCATGCTACAAGAGCTCTGATAGGTTGGAGGACGTCCTCCGGAAGTCGTCATAATGACTGTGTAAGTCTATGGAAGGAGGTGAGAACCATGAAGCCTCGGTTTTGAAGTCAATGTACCCAACGGAGGAAAGAAGCTAGCTGTCCTCTGGCTACACCATGTGGTCCTCTGTAGCTCAATTGGTAGAGCATGGCGCTTGTAACGCCAGGGTAGTGGGTTCGATCCCCGGGACCACCCATACGTAAAAATTTATGCACACATGACTGTAAGTCGCTTTGGATAAAAGCATCTGCTAAATAGCATATTATATTATTATTATGGTGCTACCCTACAGAGGGCTGTTGAGGCTACTGTAGACCTTCATTGCAAAACAGTGTGTTTTAATCAATTATTTGGTGACAAGTGAATATATTTTGTATAGTTTTATCTAAAAAAGGATACATTTTTAAACGTTTCCAAAAAAATATTTTTATGAAATCCACTGAGGAGGATTGTCCTCCTGAAAGGGAATTTCTGAAATGATTTTGATGCGATATGAAAGTAGTTGGATTGATGTTTATAGAACCGTACTGCAATTGAGAATCGATTCATATTGAAATTGAGTATTTGGCTGTTTTGGATTCCAGAGCCAATTTAACCCTTTAATCAGAACATGTACAGTGGCTCCAGGCTTTAGTCCAATATTGGGCTAGATGCTAACGTTAGCTAGCTAACTGGCTTAGGAAGCTAGCTAACTAACTGGCATTGAAATAGCATGCGTCTTACCTTTAAAACAATACCGCCGGTCCGGTACAATGTTCGGAGCATTTTCTTAATGTAGTTGTTGGCTGATATGTATGTGGTTTAGGTTAAAATAAAAATGAATATTCACTCGTGTCTGACACTTGGCCGATTCAGGAAACGAAAGTTACAACATTAAACTGGTGCACTGGTTAAACACGTCCCCCTGTTGGTAGGGGAAACGGAACTCTGGCGATTATCGATCCAGGGGATGCGTATTTTACTGCAAAAAAGATACGTTGACATTATTCTACCTTCCTAACATATACATTGTGAATGTTTAATAAGTTCAACACTTTCTGATGTCTTTAATCATCGTTGCGTAAGCCTTGACAACAACCTGAGTCCAAATTTCCCGCAATTTCCATATGTTGTAGTCATTGATTTATGTTGCAGTGCGCATGCCGGAATAGACCGGACGTGGTGTTACAGCGAACGGTGACCGTGTGGCGACATGCGCTTCCACTCTGCTCCTAGGGTGGCAATTTAATGAATAGCTGGAGTCCCAATGAAAATAAGAGGGGCCAAATGGGAGAGCCTCGTAAATGGCGTCCCTCGAGAAAGCAAGAAACAGATGTATGTCAGGAGAAGTGCAGTATTATCACAAGGAGATGTATACTAGGATGATTGAGCAGGAATGGAGGGGAAAAAAGAGGCAGAGGAGGTCTAAGAGAGCGAGAGGAAGGAAGACTGTGAGCTTGAGTTGGTAATAAATGGCGGGGAAAAGGGGGAAGGTTTGTTAAAGAAGAATGATAGGAAATGTAAGCAAAGTGAGCTGAAGACAGGAGGAGAAATGGAAGTGAATAAGGGTGAAGTATCGGAGGTGGAAGGTGTGGTGAAGTACTCAGAGCCCGAGGCTTGCACAGAGGGTCAGGATAAAGATGAGTCTGTGTCAGTAGGAGTGAAGATTTTGGAAAAAGTGGACCCTTGCCTTTTGGCTGATCCATTTGTGGTTTCAGGATGGGTGAAAGAAGCGTTGGGTATAGTGGAATCGGTGAGGGTAACCAGAAGTGGTCTAGTGATAATTGTTTGTGTTTCTGTTGGTCAGAGGGAGAAGGCGCTCAGAGTTAAACAAATGGGGGAAAGAATTGTGAATTGTTTTGCTCTCAAGAAAAAGGCGCCATTGAAAGGAGTGATTACTGGGGTAGCAGTAAATGTAAAAGTTGACCAACTGAAGGGGAAGATTCCCTGTGTTTGTCATGCTCGTCGTTTGGTGTGACGCCAACAGTGTGGCGAGAGTGGGGAAACAGAAGAGTCATTGTCTGTTCTTTTGAGTTTTGAAGTTGAGTCTTTGCCTGACAAAGTGAAGTTAGGATATATAAGTTATCCTGTACGAGCTTATGTGCAGAATACATTACGATGTTACAGGTGTCAAACTTATGGGCATGTGGCAGCAGTGTGTAGGAGGAAGGTGCCAAGGTGCCCACCTGTTCCTGTTACGTGCCGACCCTCCCACCACCACCATGCAGAGGATCAAGGGCTTCACCACGGGCTCCCTGCCCACCGTCATCGATGTGGGCAATAACTTTGCCTCCAGTGCGATCCTGAAGGACAACCTAGTTCACCAGATGGGAGAACTGGGTGAGTGACAGTCCAAAAATTCTGGTTCAATACTCAGAAAGACCCAGATGGGACGTGATAAAAATGTTGAGAATTTATCTTTGAATTTATCTTTGCCTAATTATTCCCTCTCTGCTTTCTATAGGCAAGAGAGTGGTCTTCATGGGTGATGAAAGTTCCACCGAACCCTGCCCTTCCCCTCTATCAATGTCAAGGATCTGCACACAGTGGACAATGGAATTCTGTAGAACTTGCACAACATCAGTAAGCATTGGCAGACAGCCAGACACATTTGTATGTGTGCTGTACAGTACTGGATGTCTCCTTCACATCTCCCTCTCTATCTCTCCTCTTTTCTTCAGTGGTAGCTCACTTCCTGGGACGTGCTGGTAGCTCACTTCCTGGGGTTGGATCACTGTGGCCATAAGTTTGGTCCTGACCACCCAGCCATGGATGACAAACTCACCCAAATGTATGGGGTCATCAGGTCAGTGGGAATTATAAGGCCTCTAGGCCTATTCCACAGTAGCACTAGGCTATAGCATAGTCTCTCAGGTACAATAGTACAGAATTGAATATCAATGCCAATTTTATAGAACTATCTTTAGGACTACATCTGTACCTATGCCCTTTAAATACTGTGTGCTGCATAGGTCAGATGACCTACCATGGCTCTACCAGTCTGACCATTGTTTTGTCCCCAAGATCTGTGCTTGATAGGCTGCACAATGACACCCTGTTAGTGGTGATGGGAGATCACGGTATGACAGATACACGGGGGAGAGAGCCAGAAGGAGACCGATGCTGCTATTTTCCTCTACAGCCCCTCTTTCCAGCATCCCCTTCCCAGGTGAGCATAGCAGCTGCACGTTCCCACCATTCCTATGATATCCTGTACAATCATGATATGAATAGTGATTGTTGCATTGATCTGTCTGGTGTAGGGCCATATTACCGCCACACCAGCAGTCAGGAGTCATGACCATAGTACATTTCTACATCACAGTAATCCCCTCTTAGGCACTCTGGACATGCATTGGTAGTTCTCAACTCGTTAATGACCATCAGGTCCTAACGGCCTGGTACTCGGGGCTCTATTGTCCCTTTAACCACTCTGACATCAATGCAAGTGCAATCGAAAATCACATCAAACACTTATCATCAAAACAGTATGTGCTTTTAAAACTCACCTCACTGTGATTGATCAGTTTAAAGAAAGAAGTTCATCAACAGGTTGAAACTTAGTGGAAAACATGGTCGTTATGGATGTTGTTTCAAAGCCTAATACAACGAAATGGAAAGCGCTTTCTAAGGTGAAGATGAATTCAAAACACCCATAGAGCTTATGCTTAAGCATAGGCTTATATAAACTCAGTAAAAAAAGGAACGTCCCTTTTTCAAGACCCTGTCTTTCAAAGATAATTTGTAAAAATCCAAATAATTTCACAGATCTTAATTCTAAAGGGTTTAAACACTGTTTCCCATGCTTGTTCAATTAACCTTAAACAATTAATGAACATGCACCTGTGGAACGGTCGTTAAGACACTAACAGCTTACAGACGGTAGGCAATTAAGGTCACAGTTATGAAAACTTAGGACACTAAAGAGGCCTTTCTACTGACTCTGAAAAACACCAAAAGAAAGACGCCCAGGGTCCCTGCTCATCTGCGTGAACGTGCCTTAGGCATGCTGCAAGGAGGCATGAGGACTGCAGATGTGGCCAGGGCAATAAATTGCAATGTCCGTACTGTGAGACACCTAAGACAGCGCTACAGGGAGACAGGACGGACAGCTGATTGTCCTCGCAGTGGCAGACCACGTGTAACAACACCTGCACAGGATCGGTACATCCGAACATCACACCTGCGGGACAGGTACAGGATGGCAACAACAACTGCCCGAGTTACACCAGGAACGCACAATCCCTCCATCAGTGCTCAGACTGTCCGCAATAGGCTGAGAGAGGCTGGACTGAGGGCTTGTAGGCCTGTTGTAAGGCAGGTCTTCACCAGACATCACCGGCAACAACGTCGCCTATGGGCACAAACCCACCATCGCTGGACCAGACAGGACTGGCAAAAAGTGCTCTTCACTGACGAGTTGCGGTTTTGTCTCACCAGGGGTGATGGTCGGATTCGTGTTTATCGTCAAAGGAATGAGCGTTACACCGAGGCCTGTACTTTGGAGCGGGATCGATTTGGAGGTGGAGGGTCCGTCATGGTCTGGGGCGGTGTGTCACAGCATCATCGGACTGAGCTTGTTGTCATTGCAGGCAATCTCAACGCTGTGCGTTACAGGGAAGACATCCTCCTCCCTCATGTGGTACCCTTCCTGCAGGCTCATCCTGACATTACCCTCCAGCATGACAATGCCACCAGCCATACTGCTCGTTCTGTGCGTGATTTCCTGCAAGACAGGAATGTTAGTGTTCTGCAATGGCCAGCGAAGAGCCCGGATCTCAATCCCATTGAGCATGTCTGGGACCTGTTGGATTGGAGGGTGAGGGCTAGGGCCATTCCCCCCAGAAATGTCTGGGAACTTGCAGGTGCCTTGGTGGAAGAGTGGGGTAACATCTCACAGCAAGAACTGGCAAATCTGGTGCAGTCCATGAGGAGGAGATGCACTGCAGTACTTAATGCAGCTGGTGGCCACACCAGATACTGACTGTTACTTTTTATTTTGACCCCACCTTTGTTCAGGGACACATTATTCCATTTCTGTTAGTCACATGTCTGTGGAACTTGTTCAGTTTATGTCTCAGTTGTTGAATCTTGTTATGTTCATACAAATATTTACACATGTTAAGTATGCTGAAAATAAAAGCAGTTGACAGTGAGAGGAGGTTTCTTTTTTTGCTGAGTTTATGAGCCCAAACCCGAAGGAAAAAAAACAACAACCCTGAATTAAACAAATTCAGATTTGGCCTACAATTATAGTGCATTTGTGATTTTGAATAGCCAAGTAATAGGGAATTATTTATATTTTCGTAATTAATAGGCTGACACATTACCTTTAGCTACAGAATATCTCACCACCTTGAGTTTCCATCTCCTTTATTCCTTTCTCCAGCGTGCAGAGAGAGGGTCTGTCAACAGTTTATTGAAATATGTTTCTTTGTGAAAACATGTTACTAGCAATGTTCTCGAACAGATTTCACTTGGTTTCCAAATTAAGCACTGGGTAGCTGCAGGAACAGGGTTGGAGAGCCCATGGCATACAGAGTTTGTGCGGAATATCACCTGTCGCGCAGCGAAATTATCCAAGTAGCCTTTTACACGACATGAGTGAAAAACGTAATGGCGGGAAAGTGGCCTCCATACGCTATTCCAGTGCATACGGATGACGTCTTTTTTGTCTTGCCCCTGTACTTGCCAATTTGATAATGGGTCATTCTAGATCGAAACACATTTTCAGTGGCGGGAAAAGGACTAAATTGTCATACTTGAGTAAAAGTAAAGATACCTTAATAGAAAATGACTGAAGTAAAAATGAAAGTCACCCAGTAAAATACTACAATTTTTATTAATTCTTTATTGACGGATAGCACACTCAGACATAATTTACAAACAAAGCATTTGTGTTTAGTGAGTCTGCCTGATCAGAGGCAGTAGGGGTGACCAGGGATGTTCTCTTGAGAAGTGTGTGAATTGGGCCATTTTCCTGTCAAAATGTAACGAGTACTTTTGGGTGTCAGGGAAAAGTACATTATTTTCTTTAGGAATGTAGTAAAGTAAAAGTTGGCAAAAATACCCCAAAAAACGACTTAAGTAGTACTTTAAAGTATTTTTACTTAAGTACTTTACACCACTGCTAATGTTTGATATTAGTAAAGGCAAGATTAAATTGAGAATAGTCTAATAGGTGAAAATATGATCACTAGATGAGAGAGCAGTGTGTGCAGCCTGAGGCAAGGTAGAGAGCAAGCTTTTTTTTAACGACTTTCTCAAATCATCAATAGCCTATAGTAGCATCATGCAGACCATATATCTTGTGATTTCTAAGGTTTATGTCATTCACAACTAAAGTTGCCAAATAACTTTAAATCTAGCATATAGGACCTGTTGCAAATGATCACTGTTACGCTCAACATAGCCACTTCATACGCGCACATTCTTGCTCCAGAATGGGAAAAATATCCTTTGTATTTTATTCAGCTAAGTTCAATATATTATTTTTACTATAAAATCATATAATATAAAATAAAGGCATGGGACTTATAAGCATATCTTGTCTGCTAAATGAACAAGCCTACAGCCTATGGCATGGCGCATAGCCAGATAACATACAGTACATTTGGCCAACTCATATTCTGTTCTTCTGAAATACATTTTCTTCATATTTTACATTTTAGTCATTTAGCAGACGCTCTTATCCAGAGCGACTTACAGTTAGTGAGTGCATACATTTTCATATCATGTTTCTTTAGACTTGCCTGAAATAAATAATGAATTTATTGTGATGGTGTATATTAAATTGATTTATTATACTTTTTTAAATGTAGATGTTCCGAAGGCACACATCAGCGGCTTGTATGCAACTTGTATGCCTGGAGATGCTAAACGTGTTTATGTTAATTAGCCTACAGGTCAATTACCTTGAGACCAGCAGGCTTTTGCATGACAATAACCAGCTGACAAAATGTCATGACTGCCACAGCCCTAGTCTGGCATTGATCATTCCACATTGAATGACCTTTGTCTTGTCTCTATCTCCCTGTAGAGTGATCCTGAGGTGGTGCCCCAGACAGATCTGGTGCCTACCCTGACCCATCTCCTGGGCATACCCATCCCCTACAGCAGTGTGGGACAGGTCCTGCTGCCTCTGTTCCCTGCAGACAGCCAGACAGGAGGTGCACCAGCAGGTCTCAGCCAGGTGGAGGCGCTGTGGATCAATGCCAAACCGGTAATCACAGAGCTGTAATCATGTCAGATGCATTAATTTGCTGTATATTGAAGATTGCAATTTACTGCACATCTCTGCACCTATTTTAACCATGAATAATAGCTTGTATTCATTTGTATGATTCATTTGACCCTTTTTGTCTTTGAAGGTCAACCGTTTTCTGGAGACCTATTCCAGCATAGCCAAAGACATCCCTCCAGAGAGTCTCTCAGCTGCAGGCAGACTTCTCCCGCCTCTCCTCTGAGTACCTCAGCACTGTCAAAGATGGCCACTCTCCAACCCCAGAGCTTGTGACCTCCCTACAGGTGTACCTGACCTCTGTCCGGGACACCTGCCGAGCCACATGGGTCTGCTTCAATCCAGCCAAGATGGCCGCCGGCATAGCTGTCCTGGAATGTGCCTGCGTGCTGTGTTACGTCCTCTCTGAGATGTCCTCTGTGCTGTTGAGGGAGAGTGGTCTGCTGAGGGTCCCTCTGGTGGCAGCCACTGGGGTAAAGGGGGTGTGTAGCAGGTCAGCTGTTTACACAGGGCTATGTTGAGGTGTCCTGGTGCCAGGCGGCTGCAGCCCTCTCTGAGGTACTGCTCTGGAGAGCCCGACGGGCCAGCAAGACTGCAGCGGCTGAGGGTGGAGAGGTGGCCCCAAGGAGTGACTGGCTCACCCTGCCTCGCTTCTTATTAACCCCTCCCCTCCTGGTGCTCCTCCTGCACTGTGCCTCCCTGCTCTCTGACAGCTATGTAATAGCAGAGGGCTGTGTGGTCACCCTTCTGCTCTTCTCCCTGAGCCTCTATGTCCCCTTCCATCTCAACTGGGACGGCCTCTTACTACCCCTTGTCCATGACCCCCTGAATCCCGCCGGGCTCCTGCCCTCCCCGGTCCTGTCCCCCTCAGTTGTGAGGAGGGAGAGCAGCACTTCCCTGGCCTGCCTGGCTGTCATAAGGAACAGGAATCCTGCCAGTCCTTCCCGTTCCTCTCTCCCCTGTCACAGGTGCAGGAAAGCTGTCTGAAGAACCTGCACTACATCCTGTCTCTGGCCTCTCTGTGCGCATGGACCTACAGTACCTGCTATGGCACTACGGCAACCTGAACAGTCCTGGTGGTACGGTGTTCACGGCTCGCTGGATCCTGCCCCTGCTGTCTGTCTGTTTGGGGCTCCACTGGGCTGTGGCTGAAACCCAGAGGACAGCTTTAGGAACCTGGCTGAGCTGATCAGCCTGGGCCAGCAAGCCCTCCCCAGGTTTGCCTTCTCTCTGCTGGGCCTAGGGCTGGCCCTGCTCTGGCTGGACCCGCTCATCGTATTCATCAAGACCAGGGCAGCAGCCCCTGTCCGAGGCCCTTGATCGATCCCCCCACCCCGCTACCGGGACAGCATGGGCATCAGCCCCCAGGCAGAGCTGCACCACCTCATCCCCCAGCTCACCAGCGCATGCACTGCTCCCTGGAGGACGGAGAACCAGCCAAGGTTCCTTAGGGGGACGACCGGCCTGCCGTGGAGGCCTACGGGCTGGGTACGGTCTACTCGGCCCCCTTGGTCCTGCTGTGTGGCCTGATGGGCCTGCTTCTGCTGCATCCAGAGGGCATGTCCCTGTCCTTCCTGCTGCTGCTCCTGGAGATGAGAGCCCTGCTGCAGATACAGGCCTCCTCCACTACCCTCAACGCCCTGCAGGGGACACACTCTCGTAAACTACTTACAGTGTGATCAGTTGTCTGACTATTTGGTACTCTTTGCCTCTTTTATAAAATGCCTATAATTGTTACTTTTGCATCTGTTGCATGTTTGTCTCCAATTAACTTCTCAAGATACTAATGGTTATGAATTTCTCTTATTTGCCCCTACTTGTCTCCCTCTGCCAGGTGGCTTTGCTGTGCCCTGGACCCCGGTAGTCCTGTGGTCCCTGGCTTCCACTCAGTTCTTCCATGCCACAGGCCATCTGGCCACATTCCCCCACCATCCAGTAGGCTGCTGCTTTCGTGGGCTTCCCCGGTGGGCACACAGGCACCATACTTCCGGCTTCACTGGTCACCCTCAACACCTTCTCCTCACACATCCTCTTTGCAGGTAACCATTCCCACTCACCCGTTCACACACAGGGCTGTGTTGTACAGTAAGAATCTAGGTGTATCTAGGTTGATTGACATAGTGGTTAATATGGCTATAATCATGTCACTCCTGACTTAATTTCAGTCTGTAATTCTGTACTGCATTATCAAGGAACCTACCAGGTACAAGCCTAAATCCGTAAACATGGGCACCCTCATAGATATCATCCTGACTAACTTACCCTCTAAATACACCTCCGCTGTCTTCAACCAGGATCTCAGCGATCACTGCCTTATTGCCTGCGTCCGTAACGGGTCCGCGGTCAAACGACCACCCCTCATCACTGTCAAACGCTCCCTAAAACACTTTAGCGAGCAGGCCTTCCTAATTGACCTGGCCCAGGTATCCTGGATGGATATCTATCTCATTCCGTCTGTAGAGGATGCCTGGTTGTTCTTTAAAAGTGCTTTCCTCTCAATCTTAAATAAGCATGCCCCATTCAAAAAATTCAGAACTAAGAACAGATATAGCCCCTGGTTCTCCTCAGACTTGACTGCCCTTGACCAGCACAAAAACATCCTGTGGCGTACTGCATTAGCATCGAATAGCCCCCACGATATGCAACTTTTCAGGGAAGTTAGGAACCAATATACACAAACAGTTAGGCAAGCAAAGGCTAGCTTTTTCAAACAGGAATGTGCATCCTGTAGCACTAACTCCAAAAAGTTTTGGGACACTGTAAAGTCCTTGGAGAATAAGAGCACCTCCTCCCAGCTGCCCACTGCACTGAGGCTAGGAAACACTATCACCACCGATAAATCTAGAATAATCGAGAATTTCAACAAGCATTTTGCTACGGCTGGCCATGCTTTCCACCTGGCTACTACTACCCCGGTCACCAGCTCTGCACCCTCCGCTGCAAGTTGCCCATGCCACCCCCCCACTTCTCCTTCACACAAATTCAGACAGCTGATGTTCTGAAAGAGCTGCAAAATCTGGACCCCTACAAATCGTCTGGGCTAGACAATCTGGACCCTTTCTAAAAATAGCCGCCGAAATTGTCGCAACCCCTATTACTAGCCTGTTCAACCTCTCTTTCGTAACGTCTGAGATCCCCAGAGATTGGAAAGCTGCCGCGGTCATCCCCCTCTTCAAAGGGGGTGACACTCTACATCCAAACTGTTACAGACCTATATCCATCCTGCCCTGCCTTTCGAAAGTTTTTGAAAGCCAAGTTAACAAACAGATCACCGACCATTTCGAATCCCACCGTACCTTCTCCGCTATGCAATCCGGTTTCCGAGCTGGTCATGGGTGCACCTCAGCCACGCTCAAGGTCCTAAACGATATTATAACCGCGATCGATAATAGACAGGACTGTGCAGCCGTCTTCATCGACCTGGCCAAGGCTTTCGACTCTGTCAACCACTGCATTCTTATTGGCAGACTAAATAGCCTTGGTTTCTCAAATGACTGCATCGCCTCGTTCACCAACTACTTCTCAGAGTTCAATGTGTCAAATCGAAGGGCCTGTTGTCTGGACCTATGGCAGTCTCTATGGGGGTGCCACAGGGTTCAATTATTGGTGTATATCAATGATGTCGCTCTTGCTGCTGGTGACTCTTAGATCCACCTCTATGCAGACGACACCATTTTGTATACATCTGGCCCTTCATTGGACACTGTGTTAACAAACCTCCAAACAAGCTTCAATGCCATACAACACTCCTTCCGTAGCCTCCAACTGCTCTTAAACACTAGTAAAACTAAATGCATGCTCTTCAATCGAACGCTGCTGGCACCCGCCCACCCGACTAGAATCACTACTCTCGACTGGTCTGACCTAGAGTATGTGGACAACTACAAATACCTAGGTGTCTGGTTAGACTGTAAACTCTCCTTCCAGACTCACATTAAGCATCTCCAATCCAAAGTTAAATCTAGAATCGGCTTCCTATTTCTCAACAAAGTCTCCTTCACTCATGCTGCCAAACATGCCCTCGTAAAATTGACTATCCTACCGATCCTTGACTTCGGCGATGTCATTTACAAAATAGCCTCCAACACTCTGCTCAGCAAATTGGATGTAGTCTATCACAGTGCCATCTGTTTGTCACCAAAGCCCCATATACTACCCACCACTGTGACCTGTACGCTCTTGTTGGCTGGTCCTCACTACATATTCGTCGCCAAACCCACTGGCTCCAGGCCATCTATAAATCACTGCTAGGCAAATATCCGCCTTATCTTAGCTCATTGGTCACCATAGCAACACCCACCCGTAGTATGCGCTCCAGCAGTTATATCTCACTGATCATCCCCAAAGCCAACACCTCCTTTGGCCGCCATTCCTTCCAGTTCTCTGCTGCCAATGATTGGAACGAACTGCAAAAATCTCTGAAGCTGGAGACTCTTATCTCCCTCACTAACTTTAAGCATCAGTTGTCAGAGCACCTTACCGATCACTGCACCTGTACACAGCCCTTCTGAAATTAGCCCACTCAACTACCTCATCCCCATATTGTTATTTATTTTGCTCATTTGCACCCCAGTATCTCTATTTGCACATAATCTCTTGCACATCTATCATTCCAGTGTTAATACTAATTGTAATTATTTTTCACTATGGCCTATTTATTGCCTTACCACCATAACTTGCTACATTTGCACACACTGTATATATATTTTCTGTGGTATTTTTTACTTTATGTTTTGTTTCACCCCATATGTAACTCTGTGTTGTTGTTTTTATCGCACTGCTTTGCTTTATCTTGGCCAGGTCGCAGTTGTAAATGAGAACTTGTTCTCAACTGGCTTACCTGGTTGAATAAAGGTTAAATAAAAAAATACTGACAACCACTCAAGCTAATTGATGCTAGTAGATACCCATAGACTTTCAGTCATTGCGCTAACGCTAGTTAGCATTGGCTTGGGAAACTACCTCTAACTTCCTTCATACTGGATACGGATACATAAAAGTGGTATCCACGAGTTCATCTGACTCTGGGGAAGTAGTTAAAAGTCCCTCATTGCCAAAATCTCGTATTATCTCTTCAGTATTGATCATGAATATGAAGCTCAGTTTTTGCTGATGCATCTGTATATTGGCCTGTGTGCAGTGGCTTTTCCGTTGCTCCTCCGCTGGTGTGTGAGGTGGGCGGGGGACGAGGAGGAGGAGGCGGTGGGGAGGAAGGAGAGGACAATGCTATCATGGAGATGAGACTGAGGTAGAGTCCCCAGCAGTTCAGTTCTGCCCTTCTACAGCTTGCAACACGCTCCCTCTTCATTAATGGGGCACAGGTAAACACACACACACCCCTGCGATTGACTCAGGACCTCCTCTCCCCTCTGCTCATGTCTTTGCATCAGTCTGTGCAGCTGTTATCCTCAGAAGACATCTAATGTTGTGGAATGTTTTTGCACCCAAATACTGTAAGTGCCTTTCCCAATTCACACTAACCACAGTATGTTTTTTGTGTCCTTCCTTCCTACTCTGTGTGACTGCACTTGTCATTATAGTGTGTCTAAGTCATAGATCATGCTCTCAAAATGAGTCTTGTGTATTCTCTACAAAGTTATTAAGCATTGCGTCTTCTCTGCCATGTTATTAAGCATTATGTATTCTCTGCCATGTTATTAAGCATTATGTCTTCTCTGCCATGTTATTAAGCATTATGTCTTCTCTGCCATGTTATTAAGCATTATGTCTACTCTGCAATGTTATTAAGCATTACGTCTTCTCTGCCATTTTATTAAGCATTACGTCTTCTCTGCCATGTTATGAAGCATTAGTCTTCTCAGCCATGTTATGAAGCATTTCGTCTTCTCTGTCATTTTATTAAGCATTACATCTTCTCTCTACCATGTTTCCTATACATTTGCAGGTTGATGTTCAAGGCCTCAGGGTTCCTGGTGAGCAGTGTGTTTGTTCTTGTGGGGGTGACCCACGTGATGAGAGTGGACATGGCAGTGGGCCATTGGTTTAAGAGACTTCCCTGACATGCCCAGGTAGCGCTGCTCATGCTCCTGCTCCTGCACTGTTGCAACTGACCAGGGCTCACTCTAAGGTATCCTACACTGTACATCCCTATCTGGTTCTAGGGGCGAGGCAAGGGGGGCACGAGGATGAACAGAGGTGATCGGGGGAAGTCGTCATAAGGACAGCCATAAAGATCTGCCATAAAAGATCTGGAGAGTGTGAGATGTTTGGGTGACTTGTCCTCTTAAACTCAACTTCAGTGTAGGCTGTATGTTGTCAGCAAAGGTGCTCTCTCCTCTTGCTCTGTCAGAGCAAACGGAGCTCAATGGAACTGGATGGTGCAATGTTTTATGTCCATCCTCAAAATGATCAACTCTAAAACCATTGAAGAACATCTATAATACTCCACTGTATGTTCCTTGGTCATGTATGGGACAGATCCAACCATTACTCTCCGTTGTATTACCTATCGGGTGAACAGATATCGAGGCTGTTTACAGAGTGGATGGGAAAGGAACCTAGAGACCCACAATGCTCTCTTGCACATACTCAGTTAGGTGAGACGGGTCAAAAGGAAATGCGTGCATAATGTGCAAAAGCAATGAATTAACCCATCCCTGCAACGTGCATTATGTCTGTCAATAACTTAGTTCATCGCTAATAAATAGTTTAATTCATAACAATGATTTCTAATCACAAATATACAGTAGTCTTACATGGGCCAGTTAAACACATTTTCCCTGGGACAGGTGCCCAGCTTTATTGAATGCCTTGTGTGATGTGTTGGATAAAATAAATAAATAATAATAATCCAGGACATAAGCATTGACTGTTTTGATTTATTTCTCTGTGGTAGGTACAGTGTGCTGTAGGTTACCGGACAAAGACATTTTACATTTCTCAGCTATAGTCTGAAATGCATGAAACTGAAAGTTGAGCTCAGGTTGAATTAGCCCCAATGCAATAGAGCTGCCTTGCTCAAGCTGTCTAAGTGAATGATTTATGCCTACTTCTCATGGTGGCAGGTAGTGGGTACTATATTTATGCCAATCTGAGTGATATTGGCATGCCTTGTTATGAGTACTGATGAGTGGAAATAGGTTTAGTTGGCACAGATTTTGTTTGTCAAATGTTTTCTTTTTATATAACCTTTGTTTAATATAACCAATGAAGTAAATTGATCTTATTGTGAAAATCAAATTAAATATTTTGTACATTATGTAGTGTTAGTTGGTTTTCTGTCTCTTCTACAAAGTTGGGTAATTCCCAGAACACAGAAGTAAGAAGACTTCCTCTGTCATGCTGATGCATGTAACATGTCAAGGTACTATACTATCCCTGCAGCCGCACAACTCCTGAACAGCTCTGCTCAAGGAAGTTATGCTTGAAATGGGTCCCTGACTAACACATGAAACATTGTCCAATTATTTAAAAAAACAAAGTGAAGCTGAAAAAGTAGAGTTTCATTTAAACATAAAACAAAAAATAATAATTGGGCAATCTCCTGTATCAATTATATGGAAGCGGTCACCTGCACTCCCACCTAAAGAGAAGAGCCCATGTACAGCCCATTTTCACAGCTTGGTTATGGCTGTGAGGCAGGTATTGATATGTTTTGTTGATTCAAGGTTAGTTCAGCAGTTTCCATGGCTCTGTGAGAAAGTGGGAAACCCCCGCTGTCTGCCTGGGGAATTCTGGGAATCGTAGCCATTGACCCCTAGTCAGGGCGACACTCCCCTCCGGTCAAACAGCCTTATCTCTGATTGTTGCAGAGTGAACTTGGGGCTTTCCACAACTCCCTAACTCTTCATTATCACCCAGTAGAAGATTAACCTCATAATCATGTACAAATATACAGTGCCACTACCACAGCCTTTCCTTGAACACAAGGCTAATAACTGGAAATCACATTACTAACACTGTCAATAGTATAAAGGAATAATTGTGCAAGACGAGCACAATATACAGTACATTGTTAAACAATAACGCTTTTTGTAACGCTTATTTAAGAAGCTAGGATTGTTTTCCTATGGCATTGCTTTCTTGTGAAATGAGGTGTACATAGCGTTCCGTTGTTGTTCTTACGGTATCTGGCAGGGCTACTGGTGAGATGACTTCCCAAAAACCAATAATTCTTGGAACTGTTACAGGGATTTTCTGCTTGGACTGCTGGCCAAAAACAAGCCAGGGTCTGTAGACTACCATCATACATACAGCCCTGTTAGTACTGGTTACCCTGTAATGACAGTAGTGATGGGGGGGGGTGAGCACCTATTACTGATAACCACCAAGGTCTATTAGGGTTTGACATGAATTTGTTAGTGGTTAAGGTATTAAACATTCATGGCCTGTGAAACATGAGAACAGACATTTGCACCATCATCCTCCATTTGGCATCGTCATCCGGTCTCGGTAGCTCCAGAGCCGTTGGTTATGCACGTAACCTTCGCAGCAGAACAAAGCACTGACTGACAGTCCCCTTACCGCCACTGGATGGTTGCCATCTACTGTGCAAAGCCTTACTTACCTGCATATCCTGTGCCTCTCATGCCAGTACAGTGTCAGGAGCTCTATTTCCTGGAATATATTTACCCAACAACAATGCCAGCAGAGACCTGGCAGGCGTTAAATAGAGTTATGAGAAACACTTCTTAAAGAGCTGTCACAGTGATGGATGAGAATTCCTTATAGCCCGTCTGAACAAATATTACGAGATACAAGTTTGAACAGGCAAGTTAATCAGGACTGTGATGGGGTTAGTTAAGTTTGAGATAACAAAATGGGAAAACGGCTGTGCCAGTCGTTATGAGCCATGCAACTATTTTGAGTGCAAAGATTTTCGAACTAACTGAGATTTATTGATAAGTACTTTGTATTCAGCTGCCATATTGTGTACCCCTTTGATAAAACACATTGTAAAAGGAGCTGCTGTAGTCACTGGGTTTTATAGTAATAGGCTGCCTCTTTCTGGCTGGATCCATCATAGAGACTGGGCACTACATTAATAGCAAAATGAACTGAAAGGGAGACAGATTTGTCTTGATGCAGGACCAAAGTAAACACTAAGCCTTCGTCTCTCACTTCATGCCTCATCAGGCTTCATAAACTAACCTTGGATCACTTTGCAGACGGAAAAGGTTCGGATACCTAGACCTGACACAGGGTTAGGTTAGTTGAACAACCACTGGAATGTACAGGTAACTGCCAAAATAATGGAAACACTTGAGTAAATGAGGGATACAAAGTGTATTGAAAGCAGGTGCTTCCATACAGGTGTGGTTCCTGATTTAATTTAATCAATTAACATCTCATCATGCTTAGGGTCATGTATAAAAATGCTGGGTAGGCCATTATTTTGGCTACCATGGCAATGCCCCCATAGGATGACAATGCCCCCGTCCACAGGGCATGAGTGGTCACTAAATGGTTTGAGGAGCATGAAAACAATGTAAACCATATGCTATAGCCGCCTCAGTTACCAGATCTCAACCCAAGTGAACACTTATGGGAGTTTCTGGAGCGGCGCCTGAGACAGCGCTTTCTACCACCTTCAACAAAACACCAAATTATGGAATTTCTTGTGGAAGAATGGTGTCACATCCCTCCAGTAGAGTTCCAGACACCTGTAGAATCTATGCCAAGTTGCATTGAAGCTGTTCTGGCTCATGGTGGCCCAACGCCCTATTAAGACACTTTTATGTTGGTGTTTCCTTTCTTTTGGCAGTTACCTGTATAGTTCATGCTACAGCGCATTTGAGATGTTCTTTCACGTTGATGCCATTGCAGGGCATGGGCAGACAGACACACCATAGAGGTACACTACATGACCAAAATTATGTGAACACCTGCTCGTCGAACATCTCATTCCAAAATCATGGGCATTAATATGAAGTTAGTCCCTCCTTTGCTGCTATAACAGCCTCCACTCTTCTGGGAAGGCTTTCCACTAGATGTTAGAACACTGCTGCGGGGACTTGCTTCCATTCAGCCACAAGAGCATTAGTGAGGTTGGGCACTGATGTTGGGCGATTAGGCCTGGCACGCAGTCAGCGTTCCAATTCATCCCAAAGGTGTTCGATCAAATTAAATCAAATTGAATTTGTCACACGCGCCGAATACAACAGGTGTAGACCTTACAGTGAAATGCTTACTTACAAGCCCTTAACCAACAATGCAGTTTTAAGAAAGAAAAAAAACAATATAAAATAATACGAAATAAAAGTAACAAATAATTAAAGAGCAGCAGTAAAAATAACAATAGCGAGGCTATATACCGTGGGTACCTGTACCGTGTCAATGTGCGGGGGCACCGGTTAGTTGAGGTCAGGGCTCTGTGCAGGCCAGTCAAGTTCTTCCAAAACAATCTCGACAAACCATTTCCGTATGGACCTCGCTTTGTGCACAGGGGCATTGTCATGCTGAAACAGGAAAGGGCCTTCCCCAAACTGCTGCCACAAAGTTGGAAGCACAGAATCGTCTAGAATGTCATTTATGCTGTAGAGTTAAGAGTTTCCTTCACTGGAACCATGGGGCCTAGCCGGAACCATGAAAAACAGCCCAGACCATTATTCCTCCTCCACCAAACTTTACAGTTGGCACTATGCATTGGGGCAGCAGTGTTCTCCTGGCATCTGCCAAACCCAGATTTGTCCATCGGACTGCCAGATGGTGAAGCGTGATTCATCACTCCAGAGAACGCGTTTCCACTGCTCCAGAGTCCAGTCCAATGGCGGCGAGCTTTACATCACTCTAGCCGACGCTTGGCATTGTGCATGTTGATCTTAGGCTTGTGTGCAGCTACTCGGACATGGAAACCCATTTCATGAAGCTTCCGACGAAAAGTTATTGTGCTGACGTTGCTTCCAGAAGCAGTTTGGAACTCGGTAGTGAGTGTTGCAACCGAGGACGGACAATTTTTACACGCTACATGCTTCAGCACTCTGCGGTCCCATTCTGTGAGCTTGTGTGGCCTACTACTTCGCGGCTGAGCCGTTGTTGCTCCTAGACGTTTCCACTTCACAATAACAGCACTTACAGTTGACCGAGGCAGCTCTAGCAGGGCAGAAATTTGACGAACTGACTTGTTGGAAAAGTGGCATCCTATGATGGTGCCATGTTGAAAGATTGGCCATTCTACTGCCAATGTTTGTCTATGGAGATTGCATGGCTGTGTGCTCGATTTTATACACCTGTCAGCAACGGGTGTGGCTGAAATAGCCAAATCCACTAATTTGAAATGGTGTCCATATATGTTTGTATATAATAATAAATAATAATATAATATGCCATTTAGCAGAGGGTATAGTGTACCTCAGATGTGTGTTCCCTATGTCACACAGTAATAAACATACAGTACCAGTCAAAAGTTTGGACACACCTACTCATTCAAGGGTTTTCTTTATTTGTACTATTTTCTACATTGTAGAATAATAGTGAAGACATCAAAACTATGAAATAACACATATGGAATCATGTAGTAACCCAAAAAGTGTTAAACAAATCAAAATACATTTTAGATTCTTCAAAGTAGCCACTGTTTGCCTTGATGACAGCTTTGCACACTCTTGGCATTCTCTCAACCAGCTTCACCTGAAATGCTTTTCCAACAGTCTTGAAGGAGTTCCTACATATGCTGAGCACTGGTTGGCTGCTTTTCTTTCACTCTGTGGTCCAACTCATCCCAAACCATCTCAATTGGGTTGAGGTCTGGTGATTGTGGAGGCCAGGTCATCTGATGCAGCACTCCATCACTCTCCTTATTGGTCAAATAGCCCTTACACAGCCTGGAAGTGTGTTGGGTCATTGTCCTGTTGAAAAACAAATGATAGTCCCACTAAGCCCAAACCAGATGGGATGGCGTATCGCTGCAGAATGCTGTGGTAGCCATGCTGGTTAAGTGTGCCTTGAATTTTAAATAAATCACAGACAGTGTCACCAGCAAAGCATCCCCACACCATCACTCCTCCTCCTCCATGCTTCACGGCAGGAACCACACATGCGGAGATCATCCGTTCACCTACTCTGCGTCTCTCAAAGACACAGTGGTTAGAACCAAAAGTCTCAAATTTGGACTCATCAGACCAAAGGACATATTTCCACAGGTCTAATGTCCATTGCTCATGTTTCTTGGCCCAAGCAAGTCTCTTCTTTATTATTGGTGTCCTTTAGTAGTAGTTTCTTTGCAGAAATTCAACCATGAAGGCCTGATTCACACAATCTCCTCTGAACAGTTGATATTGAGATGTGTCTGTTACTTGACTCTGTAAAGGGGGCGGCAGGTAGCTTAGTGGTTAAGAGCGTTGTGCCAGTAACCGAAAGGTCGCTGGTTCTAATCCCCAAGTCGACTAGGTGAAAAATCTGTCGATGTGCCCTTGAGCAAGGCACTTAACCCTAATTGCTCCTGTAAGTCGCTCTGGATAAGAGCGTCTGCTAAATGACTAAAATGTAAAATGTAAAGCATTTATTTGGGCTGCAATTTCTGAGGCTGGTAACTCTAATTAACTTATCCTCTGCAGCAGAGGTAACTCTGGATCTTTCCTGTGGCGGTCCTCATGAGAGCCAGTTTCATCATAGCTCTTGATGGTTTTTGCGACTGCAATTGAAGAAAGTTCTTGACATTTTCTGGATTGACTGACCTTCATGTCTTTTTCAGTATGAAAAATGTATGCACTCACTAACTGTAAGTCGCTCTGGATAAGAGCATCTGCTAAATGACTAAAATGTAAATGTAAATGTCTTCAAGTAATGATGGGCTGTCATTTCTCTTGCATTATTTGAGCTGTTCTTGCCATAATATGGACTTGGTATTTTACCAAATAGGGCTATCTTCTGTATACCGCCCCTACCTTGTCACAACACAACTGATTGGCTCAAACGCATTAAGAAGGAAAGAAATTCCACAAATTAACTTTTAACAAGGCACACCTGTTAATTGAAATGCATTCCAGGTGACTACCTCATGAAGCTGGTTGAGAGAATGCCAGGAGTGTGCAAAGCTGTCATCAAGGCAAAGGGTAGCTACTTTGAAGAATCTCAAATATATAATATATTTTGATTTGTTTAACACTTTTTTGGTTACTACATGATTCCATGTGTTATTTCATAGTTTTGATGTCTTCACTATTATTCTACAATGTAGAAAATAGTAAAAATAAAGAAAAACCCTGGAATGAGAAGGTGTGTCCAAAACTTTTGACTGGTACTGTACATAAAAGAAAGAGTACTGACTGACAGTAACAGCCCCCCTCTTCCATACACACAAACACACACACATCGAGATGCACACAGACACAAACTGGAATGTGGCCATCCTAATTCTCCGATATCAGTTATCATAGATTATGTATTGCCCCATCAACGGTGAGAATGATTTACAGATATTTCCTTGAGGTGTAACTGCAGAGAAAGTACCCTTCAACTTCTAAGAAAACTACTTTGTTTGTTTGTTTGTTTTAAAGGTGAGAGTTGAGGGGCGTGCTGAGCTGAAGCATGGTTTACGGGAAATGGGTGCGTGACTTGAGGGGAGTGAAAGTGAAAGGAGTTGTGCTGTGAGGATATAAAGCTGTGCCTGGACCACAGTAGTCCATTGATCTGCAGATCCTTGTCTAACACATTAAGACATACAGAAAACAACTGAGACAGGATGTCCTTACGGGTGGCTGCACTTCTTCTGTTGACATCAGTCCTCTGGAGCCATGCAGCAGGTGAGATCCTCTCTTCTACTGCAGAGCTGCTGTTATTAACTACTTTTACTCCAAGTTGTTATCATAGTAACTACTATAATAACGTCTTGGTTACATGATGCTGTGCCTTGATCACTAGTTGGAATACACAGAGAGGATACACAGAGAGGATACACAGAGAGAATACACAGAGAGAATACACAGAGATACACAGAGGGGATAATCTAACCTGCTGTGTGTGTGTGTGTGTGTGTGTCTGCAGCAAACACAGATGAAGCAATGGACTGCTGCTTGACAACAACCAATGCCAAGCTTCCCCGCAGAGTAGTGAAGTCCTACAGTATCCAGACAGTCAGTGGAGGATGTCGGATAGCTGCCACTGTGTAAGCAACATTAAGCATTCCACACACTTGTTCAATAGGTTGCCAAATGTAACACCTCACCCTAACCACAAATTAATGTTTTCTGGCTGTGTGTGACTGCATTGTTGCAACTGTGTCTGATCTAAGTCACTTCTGCCAACAGGTTTGTCACGAGGAAGAATCTTAGACTGTGTGCTCCTCCTGCCACCAATAACAACTGGGTGACCAAACTCATCAAGCAACTGAAGAGGAAATTGCAGAAGGGAAAGGCCAGAAAAGGGAAAAATGGTGAGATTCTATCTTAAAGTGTGATGCAATCCACATTTATCAATTGTATTAATTATAGAAAAATAAAAGGTTTCATGGTCATCACCCATTTTCTTCCTTCAACAGTGAAGTCCCACCGGTCTGTATTAAACTGTTTCTCTATGTGCATTACTTCTCCTCAGGCAAGAACAGTAGACACTGAAAGACTGTGGGTAATCCCTAAACATGGAGCTCCAGAACACCTCCTGCAAGAAGATTTTCCAGGCTGATCCCTGAAACAATGATCAGCAGTTGGACACATTTTGTCAATGGCATTTCAAGTTAGTTCTCATTGTAGGGTGGATGCACTGTGATACTGTTGAATCGATTGAATTCTCCCAGATGCCATTTTTCTTTTTGACCAACACTGTTTCATGTGTGATGTACGGCAGAGAAAACACTGCATCTTTTCTAACCTTTCTCACAGTCACTTTAAGTCACTATAAGCTTAATTTTGTATTGTATAAATACATTTCATGTAAATAAAGTGTTTATTTTTTAAATAAATATTGCGTTTTTCATCTCAGTATTAATTATTTATTCATTTTGTCCAGTTAAAGACTTGTCCTCGGTTTTTATATTGTACAACATTATTGGGAGTGGTTATTATTTAGTAGTTCAAATTCCAAGTTATTCACATCCATTCATAAAACACAATGAGGAACTCAAGCCAGTAGACTCTGGTGTCAGTAGAGCAGGTTCTAACATCATCAAGGGATAGGTACAGGGAAACATCTCTGAGTTATAGTCTGTGATATGTGTTAAATGTTAAATGCTGCATGAACTTACTAACGGCTGAGCCGGTGCAAGAAATATCTTCTCTGCCATGAACAACTCTCTTGACACATTACAAATACAGCATTAACCCACTTTAAGACAGATTTACACTTTAACCAAATGGGTAATTCCTTATTCTTATCAACTTTATCTCATAATTATGCTCTATGGACCTGCTATGTTTAATTTCCTCTAACAAAGAAAAGGTGCAGTCGCTTGGTCTGGTCCAAGGTGTGGCCTAGCAAAACTCTCTCCAATGATAACAGTATGTCAGCTAGAAGAATGGGGCGCTAGGACATCAGCTGCATGTCTCCCTGTAACTCCATCTAATAGCTCATGAGAGTGTGAGGCCCGATGTGGGTGAAGTTTCATCAGGCTACTTCTCTAAATCCCAGCTTCACACCCAGACCTGTCAGTCTAAAAGACCTCTATACGTGGGGACAGACTGGCCCCTCAGAATGACAGTTGAAATGCAACCAGTCTGTTCAGCCAGAGAGGCGGCAGAACCTGGGCTGTATTCCTATTCCTATCAAGTTTTTATCAAGTTTCAATCCACTATCCATGTCATGTGTTTCCAAGAGCTCTATTCTTTCTAACCCATGCTGCATGATAAATAGCTCAAATGGGATGTGCCACTGAAAGTCATTTATACAGACATTAGATGAGGGTAGTTCATTTCAGTGGCAGATTGTCTCCATTACCTGATACAGGGTCAATTTGTTTGATTTGAGGAGAATCCTCAGTAATGAGGAGGTGCAAGTGAAAGTGTGTCATCTGCTGGGGATTTATGAAGCTGAGCTGAGGCAGAGCATGCTTTGTAATAATGAGCTTTTTTCACCCTTTGGCTACACAGGAAATATGTACCTGCTGTGTGGATGGCTTAAACGTAATGGAATAGGATTGCAAAGCCATTTTGCTGCATAAAAACAATATTTAGTGCTGGGGATACTTTGAATACGACCTTAGAGATTCACATGTATAATTTTCTGTGGATTTGATTATTGTCAATAGACTTCTAATTGTAGTGTTGTATCACAGAAAAGGCTCACACCATACAGAGTTATTTTCTGTACTTTCGGATAATACATTTTCCCAGCTGGCAGGTAATCCTCTGTCAGTCTCAGCTGTTCCTGGACTGGCACTGAATTCTCTCTTCTTTGGGGCTATGGCTAAGATTTTGGACATGAACCACATAACTCACACAAGACGCTCTAAACCAGAAGAGACTTACAGGACCGATTTTTCACCTAGTCGGCTCGGGGATTGGAACCCCCCCTCCCACACACAAAATAGATGTTGCATTTTACTTTATGGGTTGGTCTCAGAATGGCATGCTTTGAGTACTAACGAAAAGGCTATTTGCATGTGAAAACGTGATGCCAAATGTTGCATTTGCTTTAGGCCTATTGTTTAAGTTTTTGTTTGTAACACTTTGATATCTTGATAATTTGCAGCTGTTTAAATCTATAAAAACTGTGAGAGCTTGAGCATGTGTCCGTTAGGCCTATGGACATAAATAATAATAATTGATTGAGCAATAAAAGCCCCACTCGTGGTCGTCTTAAATTAAACTAATAAAAATATATATATACAGTACCAGTCAAAAGTTTGGACACACCTACTCATTCCAGAGTTTTTATTTTCTACATTGTAGAATAATAGTGAAGACATCAAAACTATGAAATTACACATACGGAATCATGTAGTAACCAAGAAAGTGTTAAACAAATCAAAGTATATTTTATATTCTTTAAAATAGCCACTCTTTGCCTTGATGACAGCTGCCGTTGTGCTGTATTTGTGAATTTGTGAATTTTGTCTCTTGTATAATAAATTATATACATTAGTTTATACTGGATTAAGCATACATTTTCGTTAACTATAATTTCTAAGAGATTGTCAGTTGGATATGCTCTCTGCAAGGCTTTGTATAGGATAAGAGCGTCTGCTAAATGACTAAAATGTAAATGTAAAATGTAATTCACATTAAGACCACAAGATGTCACCAAATTATTTCCCCAACACTTTCCCTGGCTGCCACTGCTCTCGCTCAACAAAACATTTCCTCTGTGTCATCACAACTTTTTGAGATATTTCAACAAAACGGATGTGGTAAGTTGTTCTAATTTTTTGAAATTTAGAAAAAGTTGTAGATACAGTGCATTCGGAAAGTGTTCAATCCCCTTAACTTTTTCCAAATGTTGTTACGTTACAGCCTTATTCTAAAATGGATACATCGTTTTTTCCCTCATCAATGTACACACAATACCCCATCATGACAAAGCAAAAACAGGTTTTTAGAAATTTTAGCAAATTTATAAAAAATAAAAAACGAAATAATCCATTTACGTAAGTATTCAGATCCTTTACTCAGTACTTTGTTGAAGCACCTTTGGCAGCAATTACAGCCTCAAATCTTCTTCGGTATGACGCTACAAGCTTGGCACACCTATATTTGTGGAGTTTCTCCCATTAGTCTCTGCAGATCCTTTCAAGCTCTGTCAGGTTGGATGGGGAGCGTCGCTGCACAGCTATTTTCAGGTCCCTCCAGAGATGTTAAATCAGGTTCAAGTCTGGGCTCTGGCTGGGCTACTCAAGGACATTCAGAGACTTGTCCCGAAGCCACTCATGCATTGTCTTGGCTGTGTGCTTAGGGTTGTTGTTCTGTTGGAAGGTGAACCTTCGCCCCAGTCTGAGGTCCTGAGCGCTCTGGAGCAGGTTTTCATCAAGGATCTCTCTGTACTTTGCTCCGTTCATCTTTCCCTCGATCCTGACTAGTATCCCAGTCCCTGCCGCTGAAAAACATCCCCACAGCATGATGCTGCCACCACCATGCTTCACCATAGGGATGGTGCCAGGTTTACTCCAGATGTGACGCTTGGCATTCAGGCCAAAGAGTTCAATCTTGGTTTCATCAGACCAGAGAATCTTGTTTCTTATGGTCTGAGAGTCCTTTAGGTGCCTTTTGGCAAGCTCCAAGCGGGCTGTCATGTGCCTTTTAATGAGGAGTTGCTTCTGTCTGACCACTCTACCATAAAGGCCTGATTAGTGGAGTGCTGCAGAGATTGTTGTCCTTCTGGAAGGTTATCCCATCTCCACAGAGGAACTCTAGAGCTCTGTCAGAGTGACCATCGGGTTCTTGGACACCTCCCTGACCAAGGCCCTTCTCCCCCGATTACTCAGTTTGGCCAGGCGCCAGCTGTAGGAAGAGTCTTGGTGGTTCCAAACTTCTTCCATTTAAGAATAATTGAGGCCACTGTGGTCTTGGGGACCTTCAATGCTGCAGAGATGTTTTGGTACCGTTCCCCAGATCTGTGCCGCGACACAATCCTGTCTCGGAGCACTACGGACAATTCCTTCGACCTCATGGCTTGGTTTTTGCTCTGACATGCACTGTCAACTGCGGGACTTTATACAGACAGGTGTGTGCCTTTCCAAATCATGTCCAATCAATTGAATTTACCACAGGTGGACTCCAATCAAGTTGTAGAAACATCTCAAGGATGATGAATGGAAACAAGATGCACCTGAGCTCAATTTCAAGTCTCATAGCAAAGGGTCTTAATGCTTATGTAAATAAAGTATTTCATTTTTTTATTTTTAATACATTTGCAAACATTTCTAGAAACCTGTTTTCGCTTTGTCATTATGGGATATTGTGTGTAGATTGATGAGGATTTCTATTTAATTAATCCGTTTTAGAATAAGGCTGTAATGTAACAAAATGTGGAAGAAGTCAAGGGGTCTGAATACTGAATACTTTCGGAATGCACTGTATATTCCAATGAAGTTAGATCTATAACAGTTTTTTGAATATACAAGTAGGAAAGCCTTAAGATAAATAATCCAATTGTTTAGAGAATGTTTTTAGATCATTTTTGAGTAAAGTAGTAATATGTTGGATGAGTGTGCTGGGGGCAACCCCCCCCAGCAAATTTTTGTCATTTAGCAAGCTAGTTACCCCTTTATGGTTATGAATATGTTTCTACCTGTCATTTATACAATGACTAGCCCAGTTAGCGCTAGTATATGTTAACTTGCTAGCTAGCAACTTAATTAGTTAAGTTATTGTTATGAAATGTTATTACATGTTATATTCCAATGTAATTTTAATGTTATTAGTTATATTCCATTCCAATATTATATTCCAATGAACATGTTTTTGTATGAATTAAAAACAACTATTGAAATACTTTTGCTCCTCAATGTCAATGATTTAAAATCTTGTATTATTCAAATAATATTTAGTGCATTTGTACGTAATGGATTGCATGTCACACCAGACACTGACTGGTTTTCTGATCCACGCCCTTACCTTTTTTTTAAGGTACACTATATATACAAAAGTATGTGGACTCCCCTTCAAATTAGTGGATTCGGCTAATTCAGCCACACCCATTGCTGACAGGTGTATAAAATCGAGCACACAGCCATGCAAATGCCGTAGACACCCCTTAAAGTTTTCAGTTTTTTTGTCTTATTTCTTGTTGTTTCACAATAAAAAATATTTTGCATATTCAAAGTGTTGTGTAAATCAAATGATACAAACCCCCAAAAAATTCATTTAATTCCAGGTTGTAATGCAACAAAATAGGAAAAAACGGCAAGGGGGATGAATCCTTTTGCAAGGCACTGTAAATAGGTTCATGAGTACAAATTTGCTTAACAAGTCACATAATAAGTTGTATGGACTCACTCTGTGTGCAATAATAGTGTTTAACATGATTTTTGATTGACTACCTCATCTCTG